GGTTTGGGGTGCCATGTCATCTGCTGGTGTTGGTCCATTGTGTTTTCTGAGGTCCAGGGTCAACGCAGCCACATACCAGGAAGTTTTAGAGCACTTCATGCTTCCTGCAGCTGACCAACTTTTTGGAGATGCAGATTTCATTTTCCAACAGGACTTGGCACCTGCACACAGTGCCAAAGCTACCAGTACCTGGTTGAAGGACCATGGTATCCCTGTTCTTAATTGGCCAGCAAACTCTCCTGACCTTAACCCCATAGAAAATCTATGGGGTATTGTGAAGAAGAAGATGCAATACACCAGACCCAACAATTCAGAAGAGCTAAAAGCCACTATTAGAGCAACCTGGGCTATCATAACACCTGAGCAGTGCCACAGACTGATCGACTCCATGCCACGCCGCATTGCTGCAGTAATACAGGCCAAAGGAGGCCCAACTAAATACTGAGTGCTGTACATGCTCATACTTTTCATGTTCATACTTTTCAGTTGGCCAACATTTCTATAAATCCTTTGTTTTTATTGGTCTTCAGTAATATTCTAATTTTCTGATATGATGAATTTGAGATTTTCATTTGTTGTCATTTGTAATCATCAAAATTAAACAAAATAAACATCTGAAATATATGAGTTTGTATGTAATGTATGAATATAATATACAAGTTTCACTTTTTAAATGGAATTACTGAAATCAATCTACTTTTTCATGATATTCTAATTTTATGACCAGCACCTGTAATGATCCTATTTTAAGAGTAAAATACTTACTCCAATTGCAAATCATATTATTTACCTGCTCAAATGGAGGGTCAGTACACCTAATTTAAGACATTTTTACTTATTTCTAGATTATTTTTGCAGTGATCTGGGCCGATCTGAGACTAGCTAATAACTTTGGCTAAAAAAGGAAAAGAAATTGGAATAAATGAGGAAATCAATTGTTATTTATGGTGAAATTTTTAGTGTTTATATCCTTTGAAGGAAAATTGTATTAAAAACTCCTGATCTCTGCCTCTATGGTCTTGCCTCTGAGCTTTCCATTTTGAGTGTGTAAAACTGGCTGAATTGATAAAAATGGTACAATGATTATTTTAACAGGAAATAAAAGCTGAATACATTTTTTATGGAACTTCTGAAGGACAAATGGTTCAAAATTATTTCAGCAGCAAAAAAGCCAAGGTTAATTATTTCAACACAGAAAGTATACAACAGTGTAGATGCAGATAAAGCAGGTATCTCTCTCTGTGTTTTCTGCTGTTGTTAGTGCACCTTCATTTTTTATCTCATCTACCACCTCTTGAATCCTGCCCCCAACCCCAACCATCCTGTTGTGTGTTTTCCTATAGTCAGTGAGTGTGAGACATCATTTGGCAGTACCTCTACTGACCATCTGGTGCTGCTTGTGTGTGCGCACGTGTTTGTGTGTCATATTTTTGGACGCTAACAGCAGACTGGGATAAACCTCTCATGCTGTGAAGTTAGCTGTAATGTGCATGTTGATCTAGATGGTATTTAAAATGCTATGATGCAATCCTAAGTCTTACTGATGTTTCTATATATCCTGACCTAATATAGGGTGTAATGACCATATCCCGACCACACTGAGATGTGACATTTACCTGCTGTTAATCACCACTCTTTTGCTGCGTTAGAAGACCATTACTTAATGTTGTTGAGGATATAATTGGAACCTTTTAAAAAATTCAGTATAAAGGTTACTCTTAAGTGATATAAGGTGCTCTTTTATACATTTAATGGTGTGAATAATTTTTTTCTTTTGCACTAAGAGGGAATTTATATCAGATTTATATTTATTTAGACTACTTTTCTAATTTAGAATTTAACATCTTTGTCTTGTTAAAACCTTAATGTATTTTACAAGGGATGCACTTATTGATTAAATAAGTTTCTGAAATAATACATTAATCTAAATAGATATAGTTTAAGTAACGTTTTATTTCTAAAAAAGCTTAATTTGGAATATAGAGAGAAGAAAAACATATTGCACATTTGGAGTGAACTGCAAATGGAAAGAAAATTGAAAAATATATACATACATTCAAGCCTTAATTAAAACATTTTATGTATTTCACATTTATAAATGCTTAGACGTTATATTTTTACAGTTTTGTCTTCACTACTGATGTAAGGTTATTCATTCAGCAAAGGACATTTTGTCTTTGTATCAACACTCTTAAGTAATGATTAAATTACAAAATTAGTTGATGAACATTTCAGTAATTAGTTAATAATTATTAATCTGGTTCATAATTTCAGCCCTAAATTTTACTAGGTTCTTTTGTGTTACAATTGAAAAAGCAGATTATAGATTTAAATAAAGGCTTTTTGGATTTTGATAACTTTTAGATCACCATTTTGAAACAAATTGTGTTTATTTTTAACATGAACGGCTGTGAAATTATAATTTTTCAAATCAAATCTTGGTGCAGGGGAGATTTTGCCCATTTTATTACTGAAAACGGTTGAGATTCAGACAGATTCGGTGGAAAACACATGCTGCTTCCATATTTTAGTAGCGATGGTTTTGTTTTAATGCCATCCACTGCAGTTAGCATGTGAGTTCGATTTGGGTCTCATTTAAACAGGGTAGGCATACCCATCTCCACATGTTTGGTTAATTTCTTTAGAGGCTTATTATAAACTCCGCCCAGAACGTATTGTTGTCATATTGTGAAGATCAATAGCCATTATTTAGTAACCTATTTTTGGATATGGTACATAATACCCAATTCGGACCTTCAGATCTCAGCATATTGTTTTATAGCCTAACCCTGACCTGTATTGTGTTTTCCTTGTTGCTTCGCTTTATGGAGCTGCATTTATACTGAAATAAAGCTACACACAGCTGGGAAATTGATAGTACCTTATTTTGTATATATACATATATATATATATATATATATATATATATATACATATATATATATATATATATATACACTATATTGCCAAAAGTATTTGCTCACCTGCCTTGACTCACATATGAGCTTAAGTGACATCCCGTTCCTAATCCATAGGGTTCAATATGACGTCGGTCCACCCTTTGCAGCTAGAACAGCTTCAACTCTTCTGGGAAGGCTGTCCACAAGGTTTAGGAGTGTGTTTATGGGAATTTTTGACCATTCTTCCAGAAGCGCATTTGTGAGGTCGCACACTGATGTTGGACGAGAAGGCCTGGCTCTCAGTCTCCGCTCTAATTCATCCCAAAGGTGTTCTATCGGGTTGAGGTCAGGACTCTGTGCAGGCCAGTCAAGTTCATCCACACCAGACTCTGTCATCCATGTCTTTATGGACCTTGCTTTGTGCACTGGTGCACAGTCATGTTGGAAGAGGAAGGGGCCAGCTCCAAACTGTTCCCACAAAGTTGGGAGCATGGAATTGTCCAAAATGTCTTGGTATGCTGAAGCATTCAGAGTTCCTTTCACTGGAACTAAGGGGCCAAGCCCAGCTCCTGAAAAACAACCCCACACCATAATCCCCCCTCCACCAAACTTTACACTTGGCACAATGCAGTCAGACAAGTACCGTTCTCCTGGCAACCGCCAAACCCAGACCCGTCCATCAGATTGCCAGATGGAGAAGCGCGATTCGTCACTCCAGAGAACGCGTCTCCACTGCTCTAGAGTCCAGTGGCGGCGTGCTTTACACCACCGCATCCGACGCTTTGCATTGCACTTGGTGATGTATGGCTTGGATGCAGCTGCTCGACCATGGAAACCCATTCCATGAAGCTCTCTGCGCACTGTTCTTGAGCTAATCTGAAGGCCACATGAAGTTTGGAGGTCTGTAGTGATTGACTCTGCAGAAAGTTGGCGACCTCTTCGCACTATGCGCGTCAGCATCCGCTGACCCCGCTCCGTCAGTTTACGTGGCCTACCACTTCGTGGCTGAGTTGCTGTCGTTCCCAAACACTTCCATTTTCTTATAATACAGCTGACAGTTGACTGTGGAATATTTAGGAGCGAGGAAATTTCACGACTGGATTTGTTGCACAGGTGGCATCCTATCACAGTTCCACGCTGGAATTCACTGAGCTCCTGAGAGCGACCCATTCTTTCACAAATGTTTGTAAAAACAGTCTGCATGCCTAGGTGCTTGAATTTATACACCTGTGGCCATGGAAGTGATTGGAACACCTGATTCCAATAATTTGGATGGGTGAGCAAATACTTTTGGCAATATAGTGTATATATATATATATATATATATATATATATATATATATATATATATATATATATATATATATATATGTCTCCAAAGCACAAGAATAGTGTACAAAGGGATGTTAAAAGCTAGTTTTCAATACTAAAGGTGTTTACACATAGGCTAACTTATTAATTTTTATAGAAAAAGTATTAAAATCTATGTTGTTTAATAGAGTACATTACCTTCCCATCATGTCCTTGCACTGCTTTGAATGTGTCTGTTGCCTAAAATCTTAAAGACAACAAAAGTTTGGAACATTATCAAAATTAATTGCACATTTTTGAATGGCACTACATCCACTACCTTGCACAACCATATTTGTTGATTCTTTTCTTTAAGTCAGAAAAATAAACTGACAGTTTATGTTTATTCAGGCTCCAACATTATTTTTTGGTGCCGTAGGCAGTTTGGAATATTACATGCTTTATAACCCAGATCTATTTTCACTTAATCTATATCTGAGGCTGTTCTGAGGTTTGGATTGAAACATAAATCTGCTGCAGAGATACCCCATGCTGTGAGATATCCCCAGGGATGCTATTTATCTCTGACTTTAAAATTCAATATTAAATACAGCAGCTAAAATATGATTGGTTTGTATTTAAAGATCCTATGCAAATGTCTTTCCCCCCCGGTTGTATTTGTTTTTGCACATTTTCATCCTTTTAGAACTTAAAAAGTTTGGTTTCTTTATTTAATGGGCAAACGCTAACGAAAACTTCCAGCAGCAGTAAAATAATCTTATAATCTGATTTCTCCCCCCTCTGCTGCAGATGGAACACCGGCATCGTAAGAAGGAGACTGCTACGCCTGCGAGCACACATCACTTATTTGTTCATGTGAAAAGCCTGATGAGTGCCAATCTGGGGGAGGAACTGGAAGTCTTCTTTCACATTTATGATGGGCGGGAGAATCGGCCTCTCAGGTAAAAAAGCTGACAAGACTGACTACCATGGTTACTCAGTCTGGACATTTGCAGAATTACCTGTGTGCTTTTTTCATCTCTGGTTACATTTTGGATTTTACTGAAGGCTATTGAAAGACAAAATAGGAAAACAGTACCCTGCTGACCCAAAAATAGGACTATCGTGATTATAAGATGACCCCCTCTTTCCAGGACCAGCTTTTAGAAAAATAAAACAAAAAGACCCAAAAAAAAATGTATTTTAAGAAAATAATTTTTTTATTGAAGTGCTAACAGTTTTATTGATATTAATATTGCATGAAAGATTTGTGCAATTTAACTATTAAACCCCCCCCCCAGTAATGACACATTTAATTGAAATCTTGCAACACTTCAACTAGAATGCATTCTGAACTTTGCTCACGCAACGTCTGAGAAACTTGTATGAGCCTTTTACTCAGACGTCCTCTGCCTCGCCACACTCACTGTCACTCCAACTCTTTCCCTGCAGCTCTGCAATTTTTTTGATAAGCTTCTCTTTTGCTGTCCGCATTTTTCCGCTCTTTTTGAACGTGCCATCTTCTGACATTGCACTCTGTAACGATGTGTTTCTTTGCTGTCTGACAGTTCTTTGATGCTTCCGCGACGTTGACCACCGTTATTTTAAAATAGGCGTCACAACTCCGCCTCAAATGTCTGCAAACTTGTCTGACTTTTGATCCACTCCATTCCGGGCAGCGACTCTCCTTTTGTAGCGTCCATGTCCTCTCTGTGATGATAGAAACATGACCCCAGCGACAGTGAGGTCACGGGCTTTGCAAATAACTTGGGTCCTCTGCTGTTGCGTTCTTGTAGCGACCCCAGAAAACTGTCAGCCTGTGTAATTGGTTAGACCCTGATTATAAGATAACGCCACATTTTCACATTGTTTTTAATGAAACAAAACCTTGTCTTATAATAAGGCCAATAGTATTTGAATCCATCCATCCATCCATCCATCCATCCATCCATCCATCCATCCATCCATCCATCCATCCATCCATCCATCCATCCATCCATCCATCCATCCATCCATCCATCCATCCATCCATCCATCCATCCATCCATCCATCCATCCATCCATATTTTTGTGGATTAACTTTCTGCAAAGCTATATTTCATAATTGGCTGTTATAACTTTTATTTCCCCATTTTTATTTTTTTTTATTCACAAAATGTATTAGAATGAGCTGAGCATTAGAATGAGCTGATCAATTATGAATCCTCTCTTTTTGGTGAAATAGCAGTCGTGGAGATTTATTGATGAACAGGAACAGATAGCTGCAGGAATGCTTGTTCACACACGTCCGCCCGTACAACATCCTCCTGATGAGGTGTCACCACCCCCCACCCCCCACAAAATGCTGTGGCTGTGTTTAAGTTCCCTATTTTCACAGCTCAAAGGGAAATTCCATATTAATGCAAAAATAGCGGACAAAGAAGGAGGGAGCTGAAAAAGGGACTGTGTTGAAAAATGAGCTTTGCATTTATTGAAACTTCCTTCAAGGTTATGATGCTGCTCTCTTTGCTCCAAAGTATGACATCAGAGAAACATAGATGTTATTGATAGCTATGTTTTATTACCTCATCTACAGTAGATCACGTTTTTAATAACTGCATCTTAAACTTTATTACTTGTGTGAATGATTCACCTTTATTAGCAGTGGTATGGTAGCTGTGAACAGAACAGCTAAACACATTTGATAGTTTTAAATAAAACAGCAATGCTACAGCTATCAGGCAAAATATTATTATATCTAGTCAATTAATTGAGGTATTTATAAATGAAGTAAGCCAGAAGGATGTGGTTAAAATTGCTGTCAACTTTAAATAATAATTTGTCATTCTAATCTGACAATGGCTTGTTATTTAGTAACAGAAATATGAGTATTGCAACTTGCATAACACTAAAATTATTTGAAAACACATCAGAAATGAACCAACAACATATTTTAGAAACAAACCAACACAGTACAAAGATTTTTTTTACACATAGTGAAATATTTCAAGCATTTATTTATTGTATTTTTAATGGTTGTTGCTCATTGATGATGAAAATCTACAAGTAAAGAATCCAGGAATGTTAGAATTGTGTCAAAAAGTTAAATACAGGAAACAAAAAGTGTCTCATTCAAATCAGCTGAATAAATTGAAACATCTGCAAACATTTTCAGAGCTTCCGAATGGTATATTAGTCTTAATCAATAGGCTGTAAAATCAGGATGAAGACTGCTATCTGGATGGATGTCAAAAGGTCAGTCATCAAGACCCTTCATAAGGAGGGTAAGTCACTAAAGGCATCACGAAAGAAGCTGGTTACTAATAGAGTGCTGCATTCAGACATTTATAGACAATTACACGGAATTACAGTTAACGCAGTCATTTTGTGTCTTCTGCTTTATGGAGTTCTTGATTTCATTTTGAGCAGAACTTGGAACCTGCCCACACTACCAAATGTACCAATTTTACCAATTAATGATTCAATTTAAAGCTACAAACTTTTAAAAAACCTGTCATTTTTATTTTAAATATTCTCTTTTCTGTATATAGTAGAAATAAAGACTTGAATCACTTTATTCTGTCTACTAAATATATACAATCTACAAATTTCAATTTTCTGAAACAAATGACACAAGCTATAAGCTTTCGATATTCCAAATTTTGGAGATGTACCTATAAGATAGATGTCAAATTTTAGTTTAATAATTAAGTAAGAGAGTGGCCTTTGCCTTGCTTTACTAACTTTGTTGCTTTGTTGTAAAAAGGCTTTTAGTAAACTTTTAGGCATGCAGTAATAGGAAGAACCAGACTTGTGGGAAGAAAGATGAAAGATGCGTCTCTAGCATTTTATTATCTGGTTTAAAGGGCTGGAAATCATTTCAAAATGTTAAACAAAAGTATTTAATATGTAAGGTAGAACTAAGGATTTATTGATGAATGCTTTGAGGTATTAAGATTGACATCTGTAATTTTTGTATCTTTACACAAGTTCACCAAAGCCACAGTTATGAAGGATTTTTAATTTTACCGGCATTCAATTAAAAACAGTTTAAATGCTTTACTCAATCTTTAGCTGTCATGGTCAAAATAATCCTGTTTTCCCCACTATTTTTAAAATGTCTGCTGCTATGTTGCACTTAAATCACTTCTCCTTCTGATTTCCCCATTTTTTTCTGTAGTTGTCTATATCTCTATTTCCTCTTTTTATCTTTTAGCCACCAATGATTGAGTACCGTATATGAGAAACACGTACGTGTTGACGCACCATCAGCTTTGTGAAGCAATTGCCTTTGAATAAAAGCAGTAATCAAGCTAATCATGATGTTATGTGATGCATTCTAAACATCATTTATTCACCTTTATCGCAAGGCTTGTGTAAATGAGTCATAACAGAGTCGTTTTGCTTAAAGATTTCTTCTTTATTTTGCTTCTGCGCATGCATGAATGTTTCAGATATTTAAAGAGCAATTAAGATCAGATGATGATAACCTGAGTTAAAACAGAATACAATTATTATTTAATGATGATTAAGTACTTGCCCCTAGACCTGAGAACTCAATGCAACATCTTGGGGTTAATGATATGCAACCTCATCGAAATTAAATTTTGGCTCAGACTTTCACTGGGCTGCTTCATTACGGTGGGGATGTCCTTCAGATTAAACAAGACAGAGAACTTTCAAATGTTTTTACCTGATCAAAAATTTTGTTTTTCTCAAAAATTCCTAGATATTAAAAAATCTTTTTTATAAATTTGAGACAAAGCTTTACAATGGATATAATTTTTAAAGAGGCTTTTTCTTCATGTTAAAACACAATCTCCTCCTCTAATAGTGACAGATTAAGCTCCTTTGTGACATCCTGGTCAATTAAGATGTGCTTCTGGAGTAAAGGCCAAAACACATCAAATCTGATTTTGCATCCAGGAGGACAGAAATTGTGTCGGACGAAGTCTATGCGTTTAGCTTTCAATCACACATCACACGATTTTACACAATGGGGCTTGCATAGGTCCGACTGAGATAGACCAGGTCTATTTTAGTCAGTCTACGCAGCAATTCAGCAATTTCATTGATCTGACATAACGAGACGTGGTTGCAAAGTAAAACACATCTGCTTTGGGGGAAAATACAAAATGAAACCTGTTAATCGCACAGGGAAAGAGTCAGTTTTATAGTCGCTCACCGCGTATATAGTAAGCTAAAACAAATGAATGAAACTTTATAAAAGAATACTTTACTCGTGATAGGAGTTCAAGAGGATAGAAAACAGATAAAGTAGGGATCCTCTATGAGCCTTGCAAAAAATACCAAGGGACAGAAAGTTTTTTCTCTTTGAAAAAAATGGAAAAAATAACTTTAGGAGGAGAAAAAACGGATATAGTAAAATAGTGATCATCTTTCAGTCTCACAAAAGAAACTATATAAGGAGAGGCACACAGCAGGTAAGTGCGGCGTATCTCTCACCTTTCTATTAAAAAAAGAAAGAAAAACTTCCCTCTCACTGCCTCAGCCAGTATATAAACCGTCCCAAGGCGTTAATTGCTGCATTTTTCTTTTCTTTAGATGTAGATCTCATTATGATTTTAATACAGACATCTGAACATTATCTATTCTAGTTTGAGACGCTGAACAGACTCATTAACTGGGGATTTGCTTTGTAAAATGCACCATGGATTTATTTTGTGTAACTTTTCAAAATCTGTAAAATGTGGAAAATTGCCTTAATTTATGTATAGCACAGAGACAGAGGAGGAAAAAATCTGCACAGATCTGCCCACCCTGCCTAGCCGGAGCCTCTCTATAGGCAGTGTGACATGGAAAAAAAATTTAATCGGAGATTAAAAAGTCCTATGCAAGCGGTGTGTTCAGGCCTTAAAGTCGATTTCCCAGCCACTCAAAGGGAAAAATGTCCTCAGTTTATAGATAATCTGCCTTCTTTGCTGGATCTCTAAAGCCTCAGAAATGACTTTGAAACCCTTTGAAATTAATGCTTTTAAATGTATGCTTGTTGACTTGAATGCTTAGAATTTTTTTTACCTTTTCATAGATTTCTTTTTGTCAGTCAGTTAATATTTCCGTTTTTGTGTTTTTTTTTTTTTATGTAATACATAACTATTTTACAAGAGAACTGTGTCATGTATTTACATGTTTTTTCTTGGTTAGAAGTTAGCTAACAATATAAGTAAAAGTGCATGGAATCTCTAGTTGTGAAATATTTTTTCTCAAGAACTCTACATTGTTCCTTTCATCCTAATACTCATAAATCAGCTAAATATAGAAGGATTTTTGGAGTGAAGAAAAAAACATTGCCATCAGACTGCCTTTTCCTCTGTGTCCTTTTTGTAAAATGTCACAGTGGTAACTTGTTAGTGTTGTCTCTCACTTTGCGGTCACATGCGTAAACACAGACACGCACCCGCTCACACATTATCGTAATCCAACTGGCATAAAGCCATACTGTTGCTGCTCCCATTGTAGTGTCACTGGCGTTTGACAGACAGTGTGCACTAGTGTGCAACCAGATGGGGGTCTGACCCATCGCCTCCAAGCTATGCCAACACTTGCAGCCTGGCAGTTTCTCCGTGTCCAATAAGGATTTCTTGGTTAGCCCTTTGGGAGGAAGCACACACATGCACATGTTATACTGTACTACATTCAAATTGATCTTCCTTCTTGTTTTTTTTTTCTTTAATGGTTTATTATTGTAATCCAGAGCAAATCCAAAAACTCTTATATTCACTGCAATATTTTTCTCCTAATTAATTAATAACTTTTTGTCACATATTTGAAGTGTCTTCGACAATTTTTTCTTTAACTTCAAGTGTCACATTTAGACTATCAATGGAAGGCACAGAGGGAGTTAATTTTAACCACCTTTTTGCCTGTCAGCCCCCCCACCAATTTCGAGTGTGCACCTCTCTCCTAATGCAATCATTGATATCATGAGGGAGAGCAGAAAGCGCCACTAGACCCCAGAGGGGAGGAAAAATGGCCATTCAAGTTATGTTAATATGAGGGGTGATAGAGGCAGATAAGATCCCGCCGGGAGGGGGGGGGCGCTGGTCCCCCTGGTCCTGGTGATCAACACACTGCATTTATGAGGCAGAGGACTTGGCGGCAACTGAGGGTTTGCGTCAAACCAGGACCGGCCAGTGCCGCAGTGTTTACTGGAGCAGCTGTTAATTGGCGGTTGGGGTTTTGACAATGAGGGCGCTAATTAGGGTCGGTGGTGGTGGTGGGGGGGAGTTGCACACAAAATCTCATGTCTGATGCAAAGGCATCCGTCTCCATATGGTTGGGATAAATTGCGTGGAAAGCTGCAGAGAGTGCCGCTAATGAGGAACAACAGTCTGTAAATCAAATTAGCGGCAAGCCGGTTCAGTCCAACACTTGCCGACGATAAAAAGGAAAAACTTTACAGAAGGAATACATGTATAAAAAATCATGAGAGCTTGATTAATTAATTACTAGAAGCATAATTAATTCAGGCATGGCCACCCAATGCCCTACATACACAAAACAGAATTACAGTGCAGGCACTTGCCTTGTTTTTATATCGGTGACAGTATTTTGGATTATGTCTTGACTTTTATTCAGGTTTGCATTAAAGTCTGAAACTTTTAAGATTTTGCAGGAAACATAAACAGAAAATGGAGCAATGTGTCTTTATTTAAGACTTTTAATCCCTTTCCTTTTTGTAAACATTCTTCTTTCTTTCCTTTCTTGCTTCCTTGAAAAAAACTAAAACAAAGAGTTTGCAAAATATGCAGGAATTTGGAAATCAAGCATCTTAATTCCTTTGCAGTGCTTTCTATGCTGGATAAACCTTTAGCATCGGAGCTAGCACGGCCAGTGATTTGGTTGATTGTCAAGTGCTGGTGAATTACAGGGTTTTTTTCTCTGCTTATCTATGGACTGTGAAAGTCACCTAACTGGATTAGCCCTCAGCTTGCCAGCCAGGACGAGAGGCACGCAGCAGGACATTGCCGCTGCCTTGTTTAAAATGTGTAATATCGAGGCTGGGAGGATGAAGTACAAAGAAAGAAAAGACTGTTGGGATCTGTGCTTACCCGTTTATGCATGACATTCAGTTTCAAAGGCGGGGAGGAGCATTTGGGGTCAGAGTTTCTTTTCTTCCTCACAAATTCCTTGTTTTATTCATTATGTGCAATTATTCAGACCAGGAATCTTATGAAAACTGGAATTGTGTAAAAGAATTAAATACAACACACTTTGGTTTAATGTATTAATCCAAGTAATGCTGTTATTAAACAGATCAACTGGACTCTTTTTCTTGTTTCTGTTGAAAATTTTTTTAAATTAAAGGTGAAATGTTTGTTAAAAAGGAGAAAACCCATTAATAATTCACTAAAGTATGACTAGCAATGATGGCAGCATATTGCTATGGGAAATATGTATTTTAAGTATTATCAAATGTGTATTTGTATTTGATATAATTTAAGTTTTGTATCTTTCAAAATCTAGTCCACAAAAAAGATGAAACACATTTAATTTTTATCTCATTCTCCTCATTCCTTCAGTTTTATTATTCGATTCCAGTTGCGTTTAATGGCAATCCACCTTTGGAATAAAACAAGCCTTAAATGATTCAGTTTATATAAAGTTTGAATTTTACTTGTCTATAAAAAAGCCTAAATTCATTGATCAGACGTTTTCCAGACAGTCTGTGTTGGGGATTGAATATCTTCTCTCGCCTTCCTTTCTCTCTGCTTTTCTTTCTGCCATCTGATACTCCATTTCAGACAGCTATGGCATGCAGTTTGGTCTTTGAAGTTATTCCTCCCGTGCATGCTGCTCAACACTTGACATGTCTGACACGGTTTCTAATCTTTATTCTGTTCCTGTCGCGGAGGAACTTGGACACAGTCGTTTATTTCTGCACGACAGTCAGCCAATGCTCCTGACCTCTTTAATCAGCGCGTGTCTGCTTTCTCTCACCGTCTGTCTCCTCTCCTACAGTGAACGCTTCTTTGTCAGGCTGAATAAGAGCGGATTGCCCAAGTGGCCGGAAAAGACCGAAAGGCAATGCACGCTGTTTGTGGTAAGTAATGAGGACATTCACGAGGCAACTCTGCACAAATCTTCCACGCTGTGTCATAAAATCAATGCTATATGAGTCAAACATCTTCTTTCAGGATTTGGGAAGCAGTGATCTACGAAAAGATGTCTACATTGTTGCACACATCATAAGAATTGGTAGGAGTAACTGAATTCTTTCTTTTCTTCAGCTCTTTACTTACTCATCTCAGTGCATGCTCAAGCATATTGATAAAAAGTTAAGTGAAAGGAATAACTGAGGTGAAAACTGCACAAGCAAAAGGGAATACCATGGCCTTGAAATGACTGTAAAAGAAAGCCCATTCAAGAATATGTTAGAAACTCACCATGCAAACGTAAAAATTCATGCCATATTGATTCCTAACAGAGCAAGTGATTTATTTATTTATCTGTTTCTGTCCATGTCAGTGCATCTATGTGAATCTAGTGTGGAGTATATGCTAGATGAAAAATTATTTCTAACACGCATTTCTTCCCTTCACTAAACTTTCTATTAATATATATTTTGATACAGCAACTTATAGCTTGACCTTCTTGTGGAGCGTGTCAGTGACTGCTGGATATTAAATCTGCAGCTCTCACTGTAGTTGTATTAACCATATAATATGTATTTATATATCATTTTTTAAGTTATTCTTGTTTAATACATTTTTGTAAAAGTAAAAATTTGTCATTTTGCATTTGCAATGCATATACAGTATATCTGTGTTTTCTGTCTGCCTTTATTAGATAATTTATTTAGATTTGCTAGTAGATTTCAGTCTTTTTGTCTGTTCAGGGAGGATGGGAGCAGGAGAGAAGAAGAACACATGCAGTGTGCAGTACAGGCGGCCGTTCGGCTGCGCTGTCGTCAGCATTGCTGATCTCCTCACTGCTGACTCCAAGGATGACCATTTGCTCAAGGTTTATGCGTAAGTCAAAGGAATCGTTTGCATTTCTGAATACAGAACTAAGATCAGTTGAGCATTTCTATTGACGAAATAAACTAAGTGAAAATGAACTAAAACCTGGTATCTCATTTTAATTAAACTGGAAATAAAACTTAAAATCGGACATTTATGTATTTCAAAGGTTGGGAGAAAGCATCATAATGTTTGAAGCCATGTTGTGGTTTTGTTTTTACGGGTCGCAATAAAGTTTTATCTAAACTGTAAATGGATTATTGAGTAAATTTAGCTAAAAAATATTGCCACTTAGTTTAAACATATGATAATACTGAACAGGGTCTTGCAGTAATGACCTTAAGAGTTTTAATTACCGTAATTTTCGGACTATAAGCCGCGACTTTTTCCCCATTTTTCGTCCTTGCGGCTTATATAACAGTGTAGCTTATCTATGGACTTTTACAGCTAATGGCCTCTAGGGTAATACCTAAATCTATGGATTTTACCATCCACCATGTTGACGTCACATTTGCTTCAACACACAAGTATGGTAGCCGCGCGTGGGGGAATGCGGAGGTCCTCCGGAATCAGACTTCTACCGCGAGTGGTACGAGACAGAACGACAGCGAGAAAGACAGCGAGCGCAAGACAGTTTGTGTGTAAACATAAAAAACCTAAGGCTTATACTCTGGTGCGGCTTGTATATGTACAAATCATGCAATTTAGCTTCTGCGGCTTATATTCAGGTGCGGCTTATAGTCCGAAAATTACGGTATATGTTCTTTAATTGTATTTTGCTTTTATGACACATATTGTGATTACATTTATCGACTATAAATAACTACTTGTGTTATCTTTAAAGTTGAATTCATACAGCACAATTAAAACGATGAGTTTTTGAAACGAGTCGGTAGCAAAATGTTTTAAATAATTGTGGATGTTCTCTGATTTATCTGAAATTGGACATATGGGTTAAATACATTCTTATAATAACATTGAAAGGTATATTTTCTTCTTTTTAGTCATCATAAGAATTTGTTTAAGCAGCTGCAGTTTCATTTATCCTTAGTTCAAACATGTAAACTGCCCCCCTTAGATAAAATTAAATGGATATGGATGTTTAAGAACAACTTCTGATGCTCTGTAGATTGCTTCAGTGACCTGTTATGCAGAAAATCAGGCCCATTCCCTTCTGGATAACAGATTTAATATCATATTAGGCGATGACTGATTGATTTCTATTATATAAAAAAAAGAATGTTCAAAGAAGTTGTCAGTTTAAAAGCAAGCTGATGTTTTCTAAGCCAGAAAAGGCTTTAAATAAACCCCAGGCCTAAATCTTAATCAAGGTTTGTGGAATATGTGACCAGAACTTTGTAATAAAAACAAACAAGAAATAAGTCATCTCTTCTTTTACATTAAATATGCATTTATTCCTACGAATTGATTTTATTTTTGTTTCCATTCAAGATGCAACACAGAGATTGAGTGGTACCAGATTCATGAGAACATCATTAAAAAGGCCAATTCCAGGTACAACTTGTCTGGATCCAACACCGGTAAGACTTTAAAAATGTTTTCCTCTATCTTGGAAAAGTTAATTTATTACATTTACACTCTAAACAGTAAATTCCAGTGTTAAATATGCAGTGCCTAGGTGCATTGACTCTTTTAGAGTTATTACAACAACTACTGGAGTAAAATATAAATTACTTTAGTGTTCTAATTTAACACTAATCCCGACTGGGACCAAATGCACTCCTAAAGTGTTACTTTAACACTGCAAAATATACTGTGACAGGCCTTCTAGCGAAGTTATTTTGGTCATATCTTTCAGTCTGACATTGTTACCCGATACAGCTTTTATGTGATGTTAAAATCCCAGCTTAAAGGAGCACTAACCTGCTTGTGTGTGCAGAAAAATCTGCGTTTTCATTTGCGTTCAGATGCTTTATATAAATAGATAGCTGCATCTGCATCATACTGAAGATCAGCATCAGCAGTTTCCCATAGCAACAGGTTGGCAGAGACTGAGAGCATTCAGCCTTGGATGTCAAATGAAAACCCTCTTTCAGTGGTTAAAGGTATTATAAAAAGATTTTCTAGAGGTTAAAAGATCTGCTATGTAATTATTTAATATTTTTTATAATTCCAAAGATGCATCACTGCTCAATACGTCATTTCTCAAACAAGGGTACCAACTAGAGGAACTTTACCTCGTGAACAACGCAGAGTGACCTTGGAACTAGAGGAAGGCTGCACCGAAAATATAGAACTGAAAGTAGAAAGGGCAACGAAAGTGAAAAGTTGGGTATACTCCACCACGCATTGATGAATCAATTTCTAAGGAGGGCCCCCTTACATGGGAACTGTAATTTCTACTTAACCTGATGACAGAAAGTGGTTGTTAAATGCCAGCCATCTTTTTTCAATTCTTTTTTTAGCTAGTAAGTTGCATTCTATAAAAATGTAAAATGATCTTGTGACGATATACATTTGGTAAGTAAATATAAACTGAGCTATGATATGACTAATAGTAGCAGACTGTTGGAGAGATGTTTCCACTGGAAGTTAAGCGTTTTGTGCATCTTTGCTAAAATTAAAGATGCAGCATTCATCTGTTAGAGACAAGAGCATAAATCATTTTGCAAGTTCTTTTGGGGATTTTATTCAAAGCTCCTTTTTTCTTCTTCTCATTTGGTAGAGGATTTACAAATCACTGCATTATCAAAGCCTAGTTAGGTTGGGTGAAAAATAAAAACTCTGAAATAAAAGATCTGGTCCTACTTATTTTCTTTCCAAACTCTCTTTATGTCTTCCAGACTCTTAGGTAGTTGTTCTTGCTTTCTCTTCTTTTTTTTTTAGCTCATCCATGAGGTATTTAAAGGAGCTTATTGAAAGAACTGAGTGTCATGATTAGTTTAAGGAATCTGACCCACATGCAAAGAAACCACTCAGAGAACACGGGGAAAAGTTTTATAGGTTTATTTAAAGTAATGTACACAGAGGTTGGATCTGGAACTCAGTGAACTGGTGAACCGGAACTGGAAGGTCTGAAGGGGATATCATAGAGATAAGTTCAGGGACCATGGGAAATGAGACTGTGGCTTGAATTATGCTGGAGAGAGACTCAAGTTTGGGCTCCAGTCAATCCTTGAATCAAGTCTGTGTGGGATTATCCAGAGAAGAGGATACTCGTTAGAGAGCAGACAGGTTGACTTACGTTGGACCCAGAGGAGTAATGGAGCGGACTGTCACTTGGATTTCCGATGGGGACTTGAACGGATCATGTGGAGGTTTTCCCCTGCTCAGTGTGAACTCAGTAATTCCTTCCAGAGGGAGAAGGTCCAGGTATCCAGTTTTCGCAGGAAGGCTTCCCAAAATTGGCAAACACTCTGGCATTAAGGTAGTGACAGTCCACAGCTCAAATACTCCTCCAGTAATGAACCAACGAGCAGCAGGTGTGCAGGGAGGCCCAACAAGGACAGGGCACCACCTGGTGGTGGAGAGAGAAGAAACACACAAACAACCCACACAAACTGGATTTCTAACACTGAGAAGACATTGGTAGAAGGAATGAATTTGTGCCTGATTAACAATTTCTCTGTTGATTTGTCTATATTTCGATTATTATTCAGCCAAAAAAGACCAAATCAGTAACCATGCTGTTCTGAATATATCAACCAGTACTTTATTCAAAACGTCCGGTTATAAAATAAATCACGAGACAATGCGTTTTACCAAGTTTCCTTTGGAAAAAATGTCAGGAACACCAGACTATTGTGATTCATCAGTAAGCATGAAGGGGTTTTCCATGCTTTATTTTCTCCCTTGTTTCATGTCATACCCACCTGGAGTGTTTGTGAGAGAATTTTAGTATATATTTTTTTCTGTATATATTACATCGAATAGCCAGTTTTAAGACTTGGTGACACCAAGATGGAACATGTTGCTCCTAAATGGATTTTTTTCTGACTAAACCTGATAAGATGATGGTAACAAGTTTAGAATGCAAAAGAAGAAACTTGAAAGGGATGCAGAGAATTTAAGCTTTAGTTTAGTTTTATTTCTATATATATGAATGGTCTTCACCCACTCATGTTGTGTCAATAATTTATCAGAGAAGCCCCATTATTCCCTGGTAAAAAGGCTTGATAATTCAGGACTGTGGTCGCAATAAGCAGAACAATTTGAGAAAAGTGTTTAGCAGTAAATTAAGACTCCCCCAGAACAATATCTTCCTGAGTGCACTTATTGCAAGTCTAAGATGGGAAATTTCTCATAAACACACATTTAAGGAGCTGTGTTGATGCATAAGAGCAATTAAAAACATTGCGTAGAGTCTAAGCATTGTTTCCTACACTAAATGTTATCCATGGAATGATTTTTAAATGACCTAAAAGATTTAAAAATGTGTCTATAGTGGGAAAAAAAGTTGTCTGCTTTCACTTTATGGTATTTAGAAAATGAATCCCATGTTGATTTAATTCATCACAACTTCCTACAGCCCATTTCTTATCTCTTACTGAACTTCAAACAAAATTTTAATGAGGTTTCTATTATATTTGGTTATAATTTGTTTTACTAAATATATGCTTATACAGCTTGACCCAGTGGATCACACGCAGATAATTACTGCTTTATCCATGATCATGCTGCTCTGCTTTACTCTGTTTAATGCCTACAAATTACACTTTCAATTTTTCATACCTGCTGTTCAAGTATCTTTACAGTACTTAAAGACATGATGTTTTTATGATTTATTTTTCTTTAAGATTTGCCTATCATATATTTGGATTTAATTTCAAAGCACCCTATCAGATCGAGTTTAAACAGGTTGTTCCTCCTCTTAAAAAAAACGAAAAAATTATACAAGCTTTTATACAGATTTTTTTAGTGGATGTTACAATGAAATAATAACAAGTAATTCCACATTTTGTTAGGTGTTTTGTCCAGTTTGATAACAGGGTCGTCAATCATTATTCTCTCCTCTTATTAAAGATTTGAACAGTTTATTTTATAAATTCAGTTATATTTAGAATAGTTTTTTTTTTTTATTGAGATTGATAGACAGATGAGCAGTTTTAAAGATACAACCTTTTTTTGTTCTCTATATCTTAATACTTGCCACAAACCCAATCCCCCATGTGTCTGGAACAGGCCTGTCTGAACTGGCAGCACAGTTTGCAACAAATGGGGAGCAAGATAATGATCCAAAGTTTTTAAGAGCAAATCAAATGTCAGTTATTTTGAATGTTAGATTATACAACAGGAATAAAAATCATATTTTTTTTTTACATCTCTTTAAAGTGCACACAAAATCTAGAAGTCATTACATAATTGCAGCTGAGTTCTAGTTATACAACAATGTGAGATATGACCTGAAGGGGCAGCCCTTAAAAGGTAAACAAAGAGTGTTATGGATGTAGGCATAGTATCAGTATGCAAGCGTTATAAAACTAAACTTTTAGCACTGTATTTTTACTATTTAGGAAAATGTTTCATTTGCAGTTTGCCCTTGCAGCAATACAGTTTTAGATTAGAGCGTATCATTATGTGTTATAGGAAGTGGAATTTATTACTTTTCATTTCAACAGAAAAGAAAACATACATGCAGCACAGTTACATAATCCCATGCTCATTTTTGTGCATGCATGCACATATTTGTCACCTTTTGTAACCATGGCTGGATGTGTAGTCATTTAGCACCATACAGGCAATTCTGGTCTAAAATATGAAGCACATTAGCTGTAGAGTTTGACTCCTATAGATATTACTTCTGAATTTATATTATCAATATATTTCTTTTTCTTCTTTACCTGTGTGCTTTGTGGCCATATTTCAGTTTCAAGTAACTAAACTCAATAGGCAGTGGAGCCCATAAGTGGCAATGATGATTTTGTTTACTTGGACTCTGTAATCCATAAATTTATATTTTATAAGAATTTGGCTCTGTATGAGTCAGGCTGATAATTCAGCTCCCACGTCCACATGCGTGTGTGTAGGCAGTGACAGAAGAGGCTGCGACAACTCAGATTTGTTTTTCTAAAGTTTTCTTTTTTCTCTTTTTGAAAGCTTAGAAGAGGCAGTTCGGGTGGGCTGAAACAGCAAAGGTTGTTGGCTACAGCTACCAAGCTGAATTATCTTACAGTAGTTCTCTGCAATGGTTTTAGGAGTTTTTTAGTTTGGACTTAAAACTATAGTGGATGATTTTTTTTTTCTGGAAAAAAGTAAATTTTTATATAACTGCCCAAGTGCAAGATGAGCCTACCTGCTCCTCCGTTCCTAAGGATGAGCACCTATCAATTGTTCAATATGAAGTCGGTCCATACTTTGAGTTAGGCATGTGTTTATGGGAATTTATGACCATTTTACGTGAAGAGCATTTTTTGAGGTCACATTGCCATTCAACCCCCAAACAGAAGACGTGGGTGTAAGAACAGGACGAATGCTTTTACAATAGAGCTCTCCTTTAGAGGCCTTATCTTTCCATTTTTGTCTCTGTCCATTATTTTGTCATAAACACTGACCTCAGATCAGACAAACTTGGCCTTCATTGCTGTAGATGTTGTTTTGGGTTCTTTTTTGACCTCCTGGATGAGTCTTCAATACACTCTTAGTGATTTTTGTTGGAAAACTTCTCCGGGGATTCTGTTTTTTCCATTGTTGGATAATGACTCTCCCTGTAGCTCAATGGAATCTCTGTATAACCCTTTCCACTATCACAGATCTCAGTGACTTGGTTAAATATCTGTGTTTCACAGGATTTTAGCTGGTTCTGAGAAAAAGATTAATTGTAAATGTGTTTTACAGCTCTTCTTTTTCCTTTGTGCTTCGGTTCTTCCATTTAGTTTTATTCATTTTCCGCTCCAGTGTTCATAAGGTGAAGACTTTTATAGTGACTTAAACTGTCAAGAGGAAGATGTTAGGACAGACAGCAATTTGGGGAAGCATTCTATCAAGCCCAGTCTAGCAGTATTTTACATTATTATTAAATAAAATCATAAGGCAAATATGATTTTAAAAAAAAGAATAATCCAAATGCAATTCATGTTCCCTAGCTATCTTCACTTTTATACATGTTTAATAGTCTGTGCTTTATTTGCAATGGTTTAAAGGTAAGCTTTGTAAGACACGCTAAGGTTAGCTTATTCTTGATCATGCACAGTTTGGTTCTAAAAAGAAACTTCAAGCTAATTTTACACATTTAGTGGCTAAAAAGAAAATTAAAATACTTTCTCTCAATAGCTAAAAATAATGAGTTGCTGATGCAGCTAATTGTGACTCATAAGGTCGTGCAGAGATAGGTTTATTAAGGTTATCTACCGACACCCAAATATTGTTTTGACACACGGAAAAGTAAAAAATATGGTAGGAAAAAAAAAGCTGTTAATCAATAGAACACTTTGATACACATTTTATTGTTAAAGCATAGATTATATTTTATTCTTTACCTTACAGTTTGAGGTCACTCCTCTCCTTAAGACCCAAAATTTCAAGTATTTCATAAGGGGGAAAGTGTTAAGAACTCAGATTTCGGTCAGAAGAAACACGTTTTCACCAAGTTACTCTCATACTCTGACCCTTTTTTTTTTGCTGGGGGTTAGAGTATTCCTTTTTGTTTTTATAAATAGAGAATGATATATTCATTAGCAAAATATTGGAAAACCTCCTGAAAAGCTCAGGTTTTCAGGATGTTTGGCTACAAGTTACCTTTTTCTGATAGGGAAGGGTGTATTGAAAATGTTATACATATTTTCTTTTCTTTTTCACCAATTAGTAGGAATTAAACATGCTAAGAAATTATTTAAAAAGTATTATTTCAATAGGAAATTAAAAACATAACATTAGAACATATTAATATTGACAAATAAATATACATTAATATTGACAAACCCTCTTTCGGACATTTAATGATCTGTTTTTTGGCTTTTCTTTTTTTAAATTCATGTTCCCTTCCAAAAATATGCCGTTAATTCGAAGAAAAGGAAACCCACTACAAATACATTGAGGGAAACCCAAGCTATAATAAATCTATTAGAGAAGCAATACTATGCCATACTGTTTTTACTATACCTTCGCTAATATTGGAAGCTACTGCATGAGTATATTGATTTTACACTGCTACAATCATGCAAGATTCTACCTAAGGAAAAGTTACAGATGACTCATTGGCTGCTTATATTTCTCTGTTTTTATGCATGTGTGGGTGTTAGCTTGGCCTGTATACAGTAAATAGCAGTAGCATTTGGCACAAATTAAATGCAGTTTCATGTTTGTAATGAAAGTTAATGTGTCCTATTTTGTACTTTATCTCAGAATTCACCATTACTGAAGTCTATATAATGTTGACAGAAGGGGGACGATTTAGTTTGAGCTCTTCATTGAGTGGTTTTGATTCAGAAAATGAAAGGAACAAGCCAAGATGATGCTGTTGCACTGTAAAAGTAAACACTGCTATGTTTAAATGTTGGGATTATTCTGTATTCCAGGTCTGTCGGTGGCTCTACAGCTTCTCCATGGAGACATAGACCAACTAAGGCGAGAGTACATGGGCCTCTTCACCCGTGGGGTGTGCATAACCAGGAAGCTGGGCTTCTCTGACATCATCATGCCAGGTAGGACTTTTCAGACCTTCCTTCTTCAGAACATTCATAACTTATTTACACAGTTGTTATAGCACAGTGGTGTCTTTGAAATACAGGATATGTTTTACCAACTAATTATGAAATGTCTTAAAATCAATGAAAACACAGGGTTTAGTGATTCCTTTAGGTAGAAGAAAAATTATAATAATCACAGTGTAATCCATCAGTTTGAAATGTTTTAAAAAAAATATTTTGCGATGCTATGTTAAAATTACAAACTTCAGTGGTTTTTAGTTTCTTCTTTTAAGCTCATCATTTCTGTCCTTAGCATCATGCTACCCCCACTGTGCTTCATGTAGGAAGGATCTTTCTTTTTCTTATTTTTACATTTTTAAGCTATAGAATTATTATGCGCGAACATGTTTAATCATTGTAAAGCGCTATGTTTATTTTTCAGCTTAATACAATTTCGAAGACCAAAAGGGGGAGTGGTGGCACAATGGCAGCCCGCTGCTCTTTAAGGGGATGGGTTAAATGCAGAGAGTTCATTTCGTTGCTCTGTACTTGTGACAGTGTAATTAAATTAGCATTAGGTTTCATGTTACCAAAACACTTTCTTTATAAATTTCCCATGCCCTCTGCATGGTTTGGACTAAACTCACTATCAGCTTTCTTTCAATAATGGCTATCTACTTGCCTCAATATCCTTGATGTGGCTAGGATATGGTAGTGGTAAAAAAATATTTTGCACTTTGCTTCCTCTTTACAATTCTTTACCACTTTGTAGAGAGATACATAGAATTCCCTTTTTTTGTGTGAAATGGATTAAATTGCCCCATTTCTTTAGAATTAAGAGTGCTTTCTCACCATTTTATACAATGCCCTCAAGATCCTGGTTTAACAGCAAATTACACAAGTAGGAAGATATAATTTCATAGAACATTTAACACAACATTCTTGTGTTGACACAGCTAATTTTGCAGCCAATTAATCCCCTAACCATTTCTGGATTAATGTGATTTTCTTTCGCTTATTTCAGAGATATTTTTTTGCAGTTTTTTTGTTTTACTTCTATAGATCCCTGAGCGTAGATATGCAGTAAACGTCCTTTTGTTCTGTTCTGTAATCAGTATTAATAGTATTGTTTCTGTTTGAGTCCGCTCACCTTAGAAACTGTTACTTATACCGAGTTTCAGAGCTTTAAACCCTTGACACATTGGCCCAGTGTGCATTCTGTTCCACATAGAGAGATTATAATAAAGACAATGCACAGTACAAATAAATGTTTAATCACTAATTAATTTGGAGACTGTATCCTGCAGCCTTAAATGAGGCTATTAGTGTGATGGACAAATGTAGCACTGAATGGCACATGAAGCTAAATATTATGCCTTCACCTGACTGTTTAGCTTGTTGCGAGAAGAATATGTCGACAGCAGTGTCTACTCTAAACCTCCCCTACTGCACCAATGAATTTGACTTGTTTGGAGATTGTGTTTAGTACTTAACTTAAATCCCTGATTGCTTTTTAGAAAATGCATTTCTTTTATTATAATGCTGGATTTTTATGGCTGTGTCCAGGTTAAAATATTTTGCAACCTCTTTACCCTTTATTTAAAAAAAATGTTCTATACTAGGTGCCACCTGTTTTCTCTTCAAATCTTACCATCTTCCCTGCCCTTGTGAAGAAAAACATCAGTAGAAAAACATGTATCTTTCAAATGAAGGCCTGGGAGACACTGTGAGCAGCAGTTTTCAAAGCACCAAAGCTTTAATATCATCTAGCCATGAAGTGTAACATCACTTCAGCTATTTAAATTGCAACACTAACACATTTTTTTAGAACCATTTTCTTTTACCGCCATTGTTTTTAAACAAGGGAACCTGCCCACTAAATTTAAAACCTTTAATATCTACTCTGAGCCTTCCAAATTATAAAATATTGTTTTTTTTTTCTTTTTTAACAGTGTCCTGTATAACGATGTGGCAATAAGAATAATTGTCTTGATGCCAAAAAGAGAGCCCAACAGATTTTGCTTTCACAAGTGGAGCAGTACGGCTATCACCATAGTGTTCCGCTCATTTATGCCTATAAATAACTTTATCAAAATTCATGCAGGGAGTGTTACAGATAATATGGACACTGCAATGTAAGTAGAACACGAAAGGAAAAACGGAAAACAGGAGAAAAGATGAAAGGAAGAGGATATAAAAGGGGAGATAAAAGGGAGATAATGATAAAACATCTTCAATCTGCTTCATCACCTGCAACGAGATGTAAAAAAAAACAGCACAACCAACGAATATAGCATAAGAGACACAATAAAGTAAGACCATGACACAATCGCTGAAGTATAAGTAGTATTATTTAAGCTGACATGCATACTGTGGTAGCTGAAGATCCGAATATGGGATCTCTAAGTACCTGGAGCCAAGCACCTGTAGTTGTTTGTGAGAGAGCACTTGTGCATTTAGAGTTTATCCAAAGGAAAAATGCTCAATAGTGGTTGTGAAGAGCCAAAGACGCGCCCCTCCAAAGCACTGAGGCGAGCGCCGGGGGACCCAAAGCCCCAGACGCCCAAAGGGATTCCAAGAGCGAAGGCGCCCAGGAGGGGCCAACCCAGGAAATCCGACCCCCCACCAAAATATTGTTTTTTAACGGCTGTTGCATCTTTAAATAAGCAAGCCGCCACACTAAGACCCTAAGGCTAAGCTGGATGTTGTCTCATCACCTTGGAAACAAAAGAAAGGAAAGAAAATACATTTTGTTATTAATTTGGCATAAAACTGCAGGAGAAGGAACTATGTAAACTAGTTGTTTTTTTAAAGTAACATTGAAGCTTTTATTAATGGAGGTTTGTTGGTTTTTTCTAGTCAGAATGGAGTCTTGTCTGGTCAGACGAACTAGTGACTGTGCCTCCCCTGGGCTTTACTCACACAGATTTACCTTTAGGATCTTTATCATTGTCTTTGTTTGGATGCAGACCCTTAATGCTGAGTGCTCTCACTTGTTCCTCCCATTTAAGTCAGCCCTCGGCTAAAGGAAAAAGTCTCTGTTTCTTTGTCTGCTGCTGCTTGAATGGATTTGTATCTGACCAGCTGCATAATCTTGCTCGTTATCTTTGGCACAATATAGAGTGCTTTTTACCTTTCGATGGCTCCTCCACCTGCTTCCGCTTTCCCCATTGTTGTGAACAGAACCCCCTCCCCATAACTTGGCCTTCCTGCTTCTTTTGAGCTTCTATAAGTGTGTTTTTCTGTGTGTGTGTGGTGCAGGCTTATATAGAAAAAGTCATGTTGCCAAATATTTTGCTGTTGACTGCAGAAAATCAATGTTGTGTCCTTTGGTAGAGATCTAATGATTGCCCGTACACTTTATCAGGCTTTATATGTCAAAAATGTCTGTAAACATTGCAGCAGAGGAAGCAAACCAATACCAACTCATACCCTTCATACTTTGCAGACCAGAGGATATGATTAACAAGAAAGCAGGAATGCAAAGTCTGTAGAAGTGCAACTTGTTTTCTGGCAAACAATTTCCCTGTTGAATTGCCACAGGATTTTATTATGGCATGCATTTGTATTTTAAACAGTTTCAATCGTACCATGTTCTACAGAATTACTTTATTTGAGGTTAATAGCATTAAAAAATATAGATTTCTGAACAAATAGTCAAATAAATACTATTCAGATGCAGTATTCTTTAAAGTGAAACCTTTTTTAAAATAGTTTTAGTCCATCTGAGGCCGATTTATAATAAACTGACATGTCAGTAGATAACATAAATGCTGCTGACTCTAAAGCTGTCCTCCTGTTGTGAATTGTTACTCAAAGGTCTGGGTGCTCCATCATACTGCTGTATAGACTATGTGTTAATTCTGCTTTCCTCTTCCTGCAGGGGAGATGAGGAATGACCTCTACATGACGCTGGAGAAGGGAGAGTTTGAGAAGGGTGGGAAGAGCGTTGCTCGTAATGTGGAGATCACGGTGTACGTCCTGGATGCTGATGGACAAATCCTCAAGGTAACAAAAAAAAGGCTTTTTGAATTTTTTTTTAAGGTTTTGATCAGAGAAGTTTGAAGCCGTTTGTTTCAAAATGGCACACCCAGATGGGAGCTGGGTGTGTCTGATATGTTGCCAGTTTCGTCTCCTGTTTGACTTTTTGCCGCTGTGGTTTCCTGTAATGCCTCGGTCTTGGAGAGAAAAAAAAAAAAAAACCCGCAACAGCACATAAACATCCACATAAAGCTTGTCCTCATAACTCTCTTGCTACTCCTTTGTTTCGCCACCCGCTCACCTCTTAACTGCCTTTGTCTTTCAGGGTTATGTGGCTGCCGGCTCCGGTGAACCAGGCACAGATGACTACCACTCTCTGGTGCTGTACCACAACAACAGCCCCCGCTGGGCGGAGCAGATCAAGCTGCCCATCCCAGTTGACATGTTCCGAGGGTCTCATGTCCGCTTCGAATTTCGGCATTGCTCCAGTAAGTGAGCGGTGACACTGTCTGCAGCACAATTCAACACAATTTGCAGAGCTTTGAGTTACAGTGAATGTTGTCTCCCTTGCCGACTTGCTGTTTGCCTGTCTGGAAGTATTATAGACAGAGTTTTCTTCTTGCATGTACATTTTAGAACACAATTGAAGTTTTCTCACCCATCCTCCAGTTCCCACACATCCTTTTTTTTCAGGATTCCAATTTTATATTTCAAGATTTGATTCCCTCATACAGTTGTCTATCTTACCTATATTCTCCTGGTATATTTTCTACCTGCAGTTCTTTTTTCTTTCTGTCTTTCCATTTTTCTTTCTGTTTTTAATTCAGTTTTGTAGTTCTGTCTATCCTTGCTTCCTTGTGCCCTCTTTTCCTCCCAGTATTTGCTTAGCACCTTCTTTCCCTGCCTTTGTTCTTATACCTTCCTGCCCTGCTGTTATTTCTGTTTTTTTGTTCTCTGTGTCTTTTTCAACCATTTTTCTGATCCTTTCCTTGTCTCATATTTCTATCTTTCATTCCTTCCTTGTGTCCTACCTTCCATCTTTGCCTTCCTTCCTTCTCCCTTAAATCCTCCCTATACAGCATCCCTCATTACTTGAAACCTGCCTTGCATCCCTGCTTGTGTCCCTGCTGTTATTCTTCCTTCCTTCCAGTTTCTAGTTTTTATCAGTTCTATTTTGAAGCAGGTCAACTGAAAAATAAAAGTCACTATTTTTTGCAAGTAAAAAATGTAGAAACTATTCACCTTTCCAAACACCATTGCCAGAAGAAAAGCTGTTTCATAGTGACTTCTGCCAACTTCTGACTGTCAAATGACTCAACATTTTGCAGCCCATTTATTCATCTCCACATCTCAGTATTTTATCCTGGATCTTTTTATCATAACTAGCTATTATTATTGTTTTTAAGCCAGTCGACTGTGTGGCGGTTTACAGTAGACTTAACAGCCTTATTAATCTCTGCGGGGCTTTTATTACATCCCATCGGCTGCTTGTTAGAATCCTATTTTAAACCTTTGGTGACATTAAAGTTAGGGAGGCCAAATAAGATTAAATGCTTAAGGAAAAATTGGCAGCTGTGATCAACCAAGATCCTAAATGTGAACAAGGTAATATTCACATGTAGAGGTGCATTTTATTTATTTATTTAGTTATTCATTGCAAAATAATGTAACTTAAATAGATGCAATATAAATGTCTCTATTCACAAAATTCAGTTTTCTTTATGTAAAGTATTTATAACAGGAGGGACAGCTGTGTCTGTAAACCATTATGAAATTCCAAACTGTTGAAAGGGTTTGTGTGAACTACTTAAAACGATTTGTCGCCCTAAAAGTATTTCAGGATAAACAAGGCTTGCCCAAAATATCTACAGCTGTTTCCTGGCTCCACGGCTGCTTAACGGTCTTACATGTAGCAGCATTCACACTTCAGCCTTATTTCTATTAAAAACATAAAACATTTGAGTGAATTTTTTTGGCATGCCTCAAAATCTATAATTTGCAAAGGAGAGAGTGCCTAATTGCTAGACCTTATACTGCAAATTAATTCCTTTGAATTTTCATCTTATTTTAACATCCTCTTTAGAGTTTGTAATAGCAAGAGATCTCATAATCCTTGTAAAGGTTCAAGATGATTAAATTTGTATTTGCTGTAAATAAGGACAACATTAGACAATATTGTTTTTAAACCATGTCCTCTCTTAGGAAAATAAACACACTTTAATCTGAAATGAATAATATGCTAAATAAGTTTTACCATTTTTGACATATCTTTATCAAAATGATTCTTCTGTGTCACATCATGTAATAAGTGCCATTAAGCAAAATTTTTAACTTAAGATTTTTTTTTTTTTTCTTTTTACTAAATCAAATGTACTAAAATTAAATTATTCCTCAAATGTACCATTCATCTTTCAAACACTGTTAAACTTTAAAAATAAAGTTTGATTATCTATGATGACTCTTAACACCACACAGATTTTTTTACTAGACAGAAATGTTCATTTGTAGTTTTTTACTTTATATATTTCTCCAGTTTATATCCAATTGCTTGATGAAGTAGGCACTCAATGATGCACATGCATTAAATTGGAAGAATTGCAAGCATTTTGCTCCTTTGTATGCACACTTGGCGTTTCACTACTATGTAAACAGAAGCATCAGATTGCATGTGATAATGTTGGGTTTTTGTAATGAGGGTAGTCATAGTATAGTAAGTCCATCATGTAATTACTGCACCCTTTGATTGACACAGGTAGTTTATCCCACATTACCATCAAATATTTATTAAGGTAATTTTTCAAAAGCTTTTATGGATAATGTTCACTTTTGCTGCAGCGTCTTCTTTTGTTCCCTGTAAAATGCAGCAGTTTACTGCAGATAACGTTTTTTGTACAAGAGATTGCAAAGATATGTTTTCCCAAGCAGAGATAATTGAACCTGTTTAAGGGTGCAACCTTGTGACAGGAAAAGGACAGCTGGAACCAAATTGGGGAAAGGCAGGTCACTTAACAGTGCAACATTGCAGAGCTATACTAATTCCTGTTCATATACAAGCTGGGTTTAGCACTGCAGCACACCTGGCAGACACAATTACAATTAAAACATTTCCTTTAACAACCGTTTTTTTATGAGCCATGTGGCAAATCATATATTATTTATGGTTACCATATGAATATCTACAAAAAGTCCCTTATATTTGTTTGTATATGTGTTTTTTTTCCTGCAATTAGGATGTTCCTAATGTATCCAAATCACCACGTATTTACAAAGTTGAAGCTGATTTTATCCAAAAACAAAGCAAATTTTGACCTGATTTATCATATCTTTTCAAATCTATTCCTGTCGGTTTACTTGCAGTCTTCTTTTGTCTATTTTGGGCTGATATTGATGTCCATGTCTCGTTGTCTGACAGCTAAAGACAAGGGAGAGAAGAAACTGTTTGGCTACTCCTTTGTTCCTCTGATGCAGGAAGATGGCAGGACTCTGCCAGATGGCACCCATGAGCTCATTATCCACAAGGTAAAAACTGCTTATCCTTAGTATCAAGGTCTGCCTGAGCAGCACTGTATTAAACACTGTGTCCTTGGTAAGCTTTTGCTCGTCCAGTCACATTCTGTTGATTAGTAAAATGCTGCATCACATCTTGCATGTAAGATCTCCCACCAATTGGCTTTTGGGAGTACTTAATAGGGGTTACCAGCCCTGTTTATTATTATGAGTAATCTCTGAATTGCAGAAACTACTTATCTGATTAATCATACTGCTTGTGCCACAGGTTGAGATGCAGTTCACATTGCACCCAATAGGCCAATGAGTAAAACCCTTTTGAGGTCAAATTTAACCTCAAGCCAAAGCAATGCAAAAAAAAAAAAAAAAAAAAAAGACAGTTTGTTCCTTTTTTTTTTTTTTACTTCACCATATAGTTTCACACATTCAGAGTTTGAGGTGTTACAGAACTAATAAAAAATAGATAAACGTCTTCTATTAAAAGCCATTGCTACTATGTCGTGAGTGCAAATGTCACCGTTCGGTGGAGGTTTAGAAGACTCAAATGCAAAGATCTGCATGCAGAGGTTCATCTTGTAGATTTAACGATAGAACTGAGGCTAAATTCAAGAACCAAAGGACCAGAAAACATCAGGAAAAGCTCAAGTGGGAAGCCAGAGATGACGAAGCAACTAAACAACAAAAAGGAACCAGCACTGAGTGAGTGCAGAGGTGGAGTATATAAGGGAAACAGAACAAGGATGGGCTAATGAGCTGAACATGGAATAATTGAGATTGGAACTTACTAGAAGGAAGCAAAGAGGAAAGGAAACAAGCACAAGGGGGTAACATAGAGTAACTAATGACTGCCTGATATAATGGAAAATAAACCAAAAATCAACAAAACAGAACAACTTATACTGTAACTGAAAACTAAACACTCCCAAAAGGGCAGAACCATAACAGCAAATTTTTGAAGACTACATTGTTTCTCCTTAGCCAGATCTACAAACCTCCAGCAATTTTAGCCCTCTAAAAAAAACAAGGTTATTGTACTGCATGTCCAACCCATGTCCTGTATATATGGAACCATTATTTATCCTGCACTTGCTGCTAATGCACTTCTGGTTAGACCTAAACTGCAATTTGTTGCCTTGTACCTGTACCTGTGTAATGACAATAAAGTTGAATCTAATCTAATCTACACTGTTGTCTGATAACACAATATCTAGTTTTGTCCGTCCCTAAATTTGTGCTCTGCCTATTTTTCAAGCCAACTTCATTAGCTTTGCATACTCCCACCATTAAATGGGTGAAGTCCCATTGTAATGTCAGATGGATAGTTGCTGAGAAACTCAATGAAACTGGCCTAGTTTCTACTCAGACCCGAAATAGACTAAAGAATCAAAGCCTCAGATTTATACTAGATTTAAGCTTTATAGAGGCAAATATTGATCTCCAGATACTAAACTGGGTGTTAACCTCAACTTTAAGTCTCTTATACCAAATTGCATACAGATTGCTTTTCCTGCATTTAATTTATATCGCAGAAATACATTTTGGCTGTTCTGTTGCTTTAGCTTTGTTATACAGTTAGCTCATTTAGCTCATTATTTTGTACTATTGTGTTTCTCTAGTGTGAGGAGAACACCAGCTTTGCGGACTGTACCCGCTACCTAAAGTTGCCGTTCTCCAAAGTCAATCTTCCTTCAAACAATCAGACACTGAAAGGCACCAAAGAGTCTTTCTGGATCACCAGCTTCCTCTGCTCCACCAAGCTCACACAGAACGGTAAGGGATTCACTTCTGATTTTTTTTCCAAATTTTAGTTGGCATGTTTAGACTTGATTACCGAGTTTTGAGGCTTCTGTTTCTTGGAGATGCAGTGCATGAATTAGTCGTAGAGGATGGTGTGTCCACTTGTTTATCGTGTTTATGTGCAAGCTAGACAAGTCTGCAGCACAGCAAATTAATGCAGGTGGTTAGAAGAGCATCACAAACAATCCAACATTATTGTTAACTTTTTTGTAAAATCTCCCTCCTACTGTAAAAATTATTTTCTCACCAGCTGTCTTAAAGCATCATCAACTTAAAAACACAGATTTTTATCCAAAGTTACAGGATTAAATTGTCTTAAGGGTGAGATTTTTTTTCCTGTAGTTTTTAAATATATTCTTGGATACAGCAGTTAGAACAGCAAGCTTCCTACGAAAATACTATTTGTAGCTAATCTCCCCTGTGGAGAGAGCCATTGCTCACCTTCTCAACATCTGTCCAGTTAGCAGTTATCCCCATGGTTGTGTAGCTTATTGACCCAGGCTAGATCAGGGGTTCCCAAATATCGATTCATGTTAAAATAAGTTAGTTTCATATGATACATTTTATTATATAATTATTTTATTATTAAATTAGTTTTTTCTTTCAATTAATTATTTTTTTCATAATAATAATTGAATTTCATTGACCTCATAATGGAGAAGGCTAAGAACTCTCTGCATTTAACCCATCCCCTTGGGGAGCAGTGAGCTGCCATTGTGTTGCGCTTGGGGAGCAGTGTTGGGTTAAGGGTCTTGCTCAGGAACCCAGAGTGAAGGCAGTGGGATTGGAACCGGGTACTTGCAACCTCTTCAGAGCACAAGCGCACTGCTCTTAGAGGGACATTTAACAATCTAATAAATAACAATCAATGATTTATCAGTAAGAAATCATTACAATGAGAAGAAATACAGGCCTGAAATACTTATTTTGTAAAGCAGGCATCCCCAACCTCGCTCCTCGAGGGCCGCTGTCCTGCAGGTTGTAGAGGTTTCCTTGCTCCAGCACAGCTGATTTTAATTGAAAGCTGATTAACATTAAAATCAGCTGTGCTAAAGCAGGGAAACCTCCAAAACCTGCAGGACAGCGGGCCTCGAGGACCGAGGTTGGTGATGCCTGTTGTAAAGAATATATTTGAGTTTGCCTTTGAAATACTAAGCAACAAAAATGTTTAACTGTTTTCCAATATTCTAATTATTTGAAATGTATCTCAATGTGAAAAAGATGGAGAGGCTTGGATTTACAGATTCCCTCTAGCAATATGTATTTCTAGAGTTTTAACTATTAGGAACATAAAAAAAAAAAAACTCAATCTAATGGTTGATATGAGTGGAAAATGGGTTCTGTGTAAGGTTGAATTTCATAGAACTATTCAAGTCAGACTGCAATAACAGATGTGTAAATATTAAGAGAGGAAACTTGGCCTTTGTGTTAGTAATTAGGAGAAAGAGTGATACAGTACCTACCTAGCAACATCTGGCTTTTGTATTTATTGTGAACAAAAGACATGGAGTCCACCACAAAGTTTACACTACTTGGATACCTTTTCCTTTCAGCAATAAAAATCTGCACTGCAATGTGTATCCTGCTCTGTTCCATGTAGGCTCTCTGCAACAGGAAAAAACAGTCTATATGCAACTTTAATGTGCAATGAACACACATGTCTATTTCCCCATTGAGGAGTGTAAAAGTCCCCTTTTCAACATAATGAGATAGAAGGTTTTCTCAGAAGACGTAAACATACTTGAGATGCTGAAGAAGTGCATTGATTTTTTTTTTTTTTTTTTTTTTTTTAGCAGACTGGTTGTTGAAACGTTCTTTATGGGTTAGATAGATCCTTACAAGGTAGATTAGAGGAATATTTTTAGTCAAACTGTGGCATGCACACGCAATGTTAGATTTTACACATACAGTAGCACAAAAGATCCGCCTTAGAAAAACTCAGGAGACAGTTGAAAGGCTTTCTTTTTAAGGCTTATGTTTTATTCATCCAAGCGTCTGGGGACCCTTGCTCGGGAAAATAACTGTTTATCTCCTCCATTCCTCCACACCAGAGAACGGTGTCATTTGTTTGGATCCGCTGGTGTTTTGAGGCTATAATTGAATGAGTCTGAGAGAGCAGAGTTAAGTTTTGCTCTGCTTGTTACGTTTTTATTCACTTAAGACAGAGACTTGCAGCTTCAAGTCTTGTAACTCTCTTAATTATTTCGATGCATACATGTTTGGCTCTTTTTAAAGGTGACATGCTGGACCTGTTGAAGTGGCGAGCCCACCCCGAGAGGATCAATGACAGCCTAACGAAACTGAAAGAGATAGACGGGTCTGAGATTGTCAAAGTAGGTTTATCTTTTCTGTTTCCCATTAAATTTAAATCCACCCAGTACGCTCAAGTGTAAATATATGTATGCTTTACTGCATTAATCAGTTTCTTCAGGACACCTTAGACACCCTCTTTGGCATTCTGGATGAAAGCTCTCAGAGATACAGCCTCAAGGTGTTTGATTCACTCGTAAGTACATTTTTTGCACCCCTTCTCATCTTCTCCATCTACAAAAAGGACAAGTACAGATACCCAAACTTAAAAAGAAAGATTGTGATGTAACGCTTCACAGCTCGCTAAACCAATCCTGGCGTCCTCGTGCTTCACAGAGCAGAGGCGGTAGATCGATCTCCAGGCCTCTCCTCCTGTCTCTCCATGCATCAGGCTCACACTGAGGCATAAACACACTCTTTCCACACTTTTTTTATATGATGAAAACACCTGGTGAGCCACTCTTCTCTTCAAATTAGCTTTTTTATGGTTTTGAGATCAGTATAAGAAGCTTGACAAGGTTTGGGCAAAATTCTTACAACATCATAGAATCAATAAAGGCCCCAAAAGGCAGTCAGATAAATTGTTCATATACTTTAATATACAATACAATTTTTATGCACAATATTGTAGTACAGAGTTTTATTTTAAGACTCCAGAAGTGCAAAAACTAGCCTAAATTATTACTGTTTTATATGAACGACCAAACAAAATGGATGCATTACAGTAAAATAGATCTGTGTAGAATTTTCTGAAAATATATACTCGTAAAAGTTAAAATAGGGTTGTATGTATTTGTATTTTAACTCCATTTAATCTGCTACTACTTAAAAAAAGGGCTAAATTTGGACCTTTCTGCTCTGTGTCTTGGAAAACTGGCACTGCACTTTAATCTGAATGTTCCAAACTCTGCAGCCGTAGTAAAATTGGGATGTTTTTGCTGTCGTTGTTTTATCAGTAATATCAAGAAAGCTGGTTGACTGAGCTTGAAAGGCTAAAAATATAGTTCTCTGGCTGTTCTCTGGCTGTGCAAAGCTGCTAAACTCATTCCCAAAAAGACTTTCATTAGGGAAAAGTGGTTTTAAAACTTATCAAAATAAAAGTAAATTTGCATGCACAATTTTCAGAGAATTTTTTGTTCTTGTAAAAAAAATAAAAATAAATAAATAAATGAGCAGGTCAGAATACAAATATAAAATGTGCACAGAGGGCTTTATTTATTTCTACTTCTAATAATTATTCCCCAACAAAATGTTTGGCTTTGATTACAACTCAGGAGTTTCTAAAGAGGGCTGAATAAGGATGCATGTCTGATATTTAAAAAAATTATAAACCGTGCATAATTTTCCCTCTGCAACCATATGCTGCTACTACGGTAAGAAATGCAAACTAAGAACGATGTGTCCGTTTTTTGTTATCATTACCAGGTTCATATCATCAACCTCCTTCAGGACAGTAAATTCCAGCACTTCAAACCAGTCATGGACACCTACATTGAGAGTCATTTTGCTGGAGCTTTGTCCTACAGGTCTGTAGATTCTCTGTTTCTGGTTCCCTCATGCGTAGCTGCTTATGGACAACAGCAGCACGTAGCTGGAGCATGAGTTCTGCAGCCTTTCCTGCTTATTGCATTTTAATATATCACAACAACCAGACTACAGCATTGCTGAGAGGTGCCTCTGTACAACCTGCTGCTTTGAGTCAAGTTGAGGAATGAATTCAATGCTCATGGTGCCACCTGGCTGATGGAAAAGGAATTATTGAACTCCTCAAAAAACATGCAGACTGTATACTACTGCAAACTTAAAGTGATGTTTTTTTTGTTTTACTCTGACCTGACAGACTCTGTAGACATCTTCTCTAGAACCACTAAAAAGGCTCTCGTTCCGCTGCAGTTCCAAATAAGTCTTTCCACTTTTTATATTCTTCACCTTGCTACAAAAAAAATTTATATTTTATTGGGAATAGATGCATTTGTTTGCTTTGGACGAATGTTCAGGGTAATTGTCCTACTGGAACTTAAAATGTTGCCCTGGTTTTAAATCTTCTGCAGCCTTTTTCAGGGTTCCTTCCATGATTTCCCAGTCTTCATTGCCATCTGTCTTGCCTTGAACTCTGAGCAGTTTGATCTATCTACTGCACAGCATGTGGTAAACTATAAAAGGACATTTCACCATATATTTCTTAAATCAAAGGCTTTCATAATGAAATATTTAGAATGCTCAACAAACGGTCTTTTCTCTGCAAGTAACCATGGTCCTCTTGGCTCCTTCACTGATGAAGGCTCCCCTTCACTATTGTTATGTCAGGTGAAGGCCATGTCTTTGAAGCTTTTCAGTCATTACTTAATCTTTCTGCTTATGGATGATAGATAAAACAGTCCTCTGTGAGACATTAAACTTCTAAATGAGCTCTAATACCAAACTCTTCTTTAAAGGGATAGTTCGGGATTTTTGACATGAATCTGTATGGCATCCCCATCACCAGTGTCATGCAATCACACTGACTTACCCCTGGCAGCGTCCTGTGAGCAGAGTTCTCGTCCAGCTTTGGTCAAGCCGAAAGTAGTCCGGCAGGTTTGCTAGACCCAGCGAAATAAAACGTTTCTCTTCCCAAAACATTATGTGTTCAAAAGAGTGATATTTTTGCATCCCAAAAACATTGTAGTGGAAAAAGTCACACGTCGTTATCACTTGGTCCTATTTTCTCTCTGTTCGTATCAGTGAGCGCCGTCATTCTGACAGCAAGCTCAACTTTGAGGAGGGCAGGGAAGTCGCTGTTGTTTGTGATGCAGACAGCAGCTGCTGCAACTCCGACATCCTCATCAATGGAAAGGTTCTGTATCTCGGGCATTACTAAATCCCACTTGTGGCAACAGTAGCATCCACCTCTGTCTGCATTAATTCGCACTTGAAACAAGTGCACCATGATTTGTCGGCCACCCTGGATATCGCAGCTCCAGCTGAGGCTCCTGCGGCTCCGGCTTCAGCTTCCATCACCTCTCTGTCCACCCTCTCTCTTTCTGCCCGATCTAACTCCATTTGTCGAAGTTCATCGTCAGTGTACTCGGGTTCATAAAGATATCCCTTTGGCTCTAAGTGGAAGTCGATGTTTTCCTCGTCGCTCTCGTAGTCAGACATCTTCCCCAGTAGTAAACAATCGCGAATCAAACAGGTAGGCCCTTAACCTGACAACAGCCAGATGCATGCCTCGCTCCGCCCAGCTAGGAGCTAGGCGGAGCGAGACATGCATCTGGCTGTTGTCAGGTTAGTAGGCCCTAGCTGTCAGGTCATGGTGTCGCGCGCACTGATACGAACAGAGAGAAAATAGGACCAAGTGATAACGACGTGTGACTTTTTCCACTACAATGTTTTTGGGATGCAAAAATATCACTCTTTTGAACACATAATGTTTTGGGAAGAGAAACGTTTTATTTCGCTGGGTCTAGCAAACCTGCTGGACTACTTTCGGCTTGACCAAAACTGGACGAGAACTCTGCTCACAGGATGCTGCCAGGGGTAAGTCAGTGTGATTGCATGACACTGGTGATGGGGATACCATACAGATTCATGTCAAAAATCCCGAACTATCCCTTTAATATTATCCCCTACTTTGTCAAATCTCTAAGCCCTTAGCAGAAAAGCGGCATCAGTGCGAACTTTGCATCTTACAAAGAAGCTAAATGCTAAAATGGCTTATGAAGGGAGATGTTGCACTTTATCTATAGCTATCAAAGTAGTAGTAGGTATGTATCTCACACATGTCACTGATCTAATTTTTGTTAGCATATCACAAAAAATTGTGAAAAAAACAGATTTTCTTGGCTGTAATGTGACCAAATCAGGTTTATTCACATCATGCTTTTATCAAAAGTAGATTTTTTTAATCTGCAATATTTTTTTATTGCATTCAATATTCCATCATTACTCTCAGCTGCACCATTAGCGTCAGCCATGTTGATTAACTGGGTGCAACAGGGTTGCATGTAACACCACGTCATTGCCTCATGGGCTGTGTTTTTACCCGCCATTTGAGAAAAGCGTTACAAATTTAGATAAACTGGGATGTGTCTATGTCTTCCCCAGGGACCTGATCAAAGTCCTGAAATGGTACGTGGATCGCATTATTGACGCCGAACACCAGGATCACATACAGCAGGTCCTCAAGGTGAGGCACACGTAACGGTAGCCAGTGAGTTCATTTCAGAATATATGTCATATGAAATTACAACATTTACACAGAAACACAGATTTATCCTCTCTCACTTTCGCTTCCTCTGTCTCTTATTCGGTTCCTCTGTCAGTCTTGCTCTAAGAAGGTTAAATCAGCAGAAACACAATGCCTCCGGTGCTGAGGATCCTCATCGTTTTATTCTAATGATGCATGTTGAAATATACTGCAACTTGTCTGCTGCTAAACAGTAAATGGGGAAAATACGTCGCAGACAAATCTGCAGCACTGCGCCACAGAAGTAATCAACTGATACTGTGCTTTATTAGACCACTAAAAGTCATGGGGAATGAGGTGCATGTCTCAAGATTTAAATCATGTAATGATTCCATAAATGCACATGAATTAAGCATAAGATTGAAGTTGTTAGTCTATGATTTATCCATCACTAGATGTAGAACAGTGTTTTCATGTACTTGTTTTTTCATTGGTTTTATCAGTGTTTGGAGAATACCTGGCTCTTCTTTGCACAGAAGCTTCAAATAAAAGAAATTTGCCAATTTTTTATGACTTTACAAATCCTTTAAAGTAATATTTTAATCAGGTTGACCTTTACTGAACCATTGGAAACGCTTTGATTCTTTGATTTTTTTTTTTACTTTCTCATTTATAGCTCTGCTGGACTTTTTGTTATTCAGTTAGTATTCATAATATAACTTTCAGGATTTAGGCTTCTTTTGTCTTATCTATCCCCAGAATGCAACTATTTTGTTTTAATTCTGATACGTCTGATAGCCTAAAGTCAGCCATAGTCTGTTAAAAGAGAAAAGGCTGTCCATAGCGGTAGATGAGAACGCCAGAACAGTCAGAAAATCTCTGAAGTTTATCAATACTTACATAACAGCAAAGTCAACTGTTAGCTGTTACACAGATGAGGCAATTTGGTCAAAATGAGGGCAGATGTTAAACCGATTGCTGCCATAATGCTGAGGTGGTCGTTACAGAGGAAGTAGAGAGAGCACCTGTACAGCCTGTACAGGGATGCTCTTACTTTAAAAGCTTTAAAACCAAAATAATTCAAAGCTACAATGAAAGTATAATCTATTTCACCAACAAACTGTAACTGTAAACTTTCTCTGTCCTCCAGGCCAGCGATTACATCTTCAAGTACATTATTCAGTCTCGCCGGCTCTTCTCTTTGGCCACTGGAGGTCAGAATGAGGAGGAGTTCAGAGTCTGCATCCATGAACTCTTCATGTCCATCTGCTTCTTCCTCTCGCAGGAGAACAAAGGCATCAGTCCAGTTGCTCAGACGCAGGTGTGTGTCTAGATCTGTCTGCTAAAACATGCAGTAAGCCTTATGAAAAATAAAATTCAAAGACGCTCACCTCTGTATGTACAAATCTATGCCTGCTAATGCATAATGCACCACACCATGGGTTCTTTGTGGAGGATGATAATGCTGTGGTGATGAGTTGCGATTCTGTCTGTAATTGATTTTTATTGAGCCAGAGGAGCCCGAAGTCAAGAGTTAGAAATTTCGGTGACTGTTTTCCTTTTCTTTTTTTATTCCTTTGTTTTCTTTCCTTTTCTGGTGGGAGGCTCGCACAGCGGGACGGCTGCTTTCTCGGATTGCAACTTAGACCAAAACAAGCAAGTTAAAGATGCCAAAGATAATCCTAATTACACAGTGGGAACAAATGACTGTGTGGCTGAACACTGTTGTCAGGAAATTATTTCAGTGTTTGTGTTCTGTTGCCTGTTTGATCTTTTGTCCGCTCTTCCTGTTTGAACAATTAGAATAATTTACAGCTCTCCAAAAAAGGAGTTGTGTAGACCCCCCTAAGCTTTTAATACACTATCTGGATTACAATTGTGGTCTTTTGCAAAAGTATTAACACACCCTAAGAAACAACAGCCCTTTGGAGTTCAACATTCTGAATTTATGCTTTATGGCTGTGTTCAGACTGCAGGCCTTGATGCTCAATTCCATTTTTTTTTTGTGAAATCAGATTATTTTTTTGCGTTGCCGTTCATATTTCCAAATATATGCGACTTGTATGTGATCTCCTGTGTGAACTGCAGTCAAAGACGCAAGTGTCCCGCTGGTGCAGTAGAGGACGCAATGACTTCACGGGCCAGCGTGCTCTATTTTTACGGAAGTAAACATGGATGGTAGTGGCGGAGCGCATCTAGAGGTCTTTTCCAACCATAAAAACTCAATCTTTTCAAGATGGTGAAACATAAATACTGCTCTCCACATCATTGTCCGCCATGGTTGTTGTTTTTCTTGCCGCTTCTGCGTAGCAAGACCCAGAATAGTGACATTTGTCGGGTATTAATGACGTGCAGGTCGGATGAATGCGACCTGTGTCTGAACGGCCAGGTCGCATTTGAAAAGATCAGATTCGTGTCGGATTCAGGACCACATAGCCAAGTGGCCTGGGTCAGATTGGAAAAAATCAGATCTGTGTTGTTCAGAATGCCATGAAAAGATCAGATCCAGGTCGCATATGGGCCAAAAAATCGGATTTGGGTCTCTTAAGGCTGCAGTGTGAACGTAGCCTATGAAACCCTATTTCTAAGATCAATGCATCAGAACACTGAACAGTTTCATCAGAAGATAGAAATGCTGCAAACATGCAAGAGGCTGCTCTGATTGAATGACAGCAACTTTTTGTTTTGTTTTGGCCCCATTAAACACTGCAATGAAAACAAACACTGGAAATCGCTATGAGCACCCAAAACCTCCTGCAGCGTTACTACAGCTAGGTGGTGGCAGCATCATTTTCCCAAAGCAGGGACTAAGAAGATTGGCAAAGATAATGGAAGAATTCCGGTGCTAAATACTGTGCAAATCTAAACTAAAAAAACCTTTTCAGATTCACCTTCTAGCAGGACAGAAAGCCAAATCTTTTTGAATTAAATTAGTGTTACTGAAGAATTTCCAGTGTATTTAAAGTAGACCTGAATTCAGATGATAGTTTGTGGCAATAAAGATTGGAGTGATCTTTAGAAAATAAACATAGATTTTTAAATCCTTATGTGCATAGTTTGCAGAGAAGAACATATAACAACTTAAAGCTTTACTGCAATTGTTTCAAAAGGAGCTTTTACCAGTAAATGAAAGAGCAGAGTTGGATACAAATGCATGCTGCAGATTATTTATTTGAAAAAGAAATGCCTCTGAGATGATGCACTACATTGTTTTTATCCATCAGATATCCTTTAAAAATCTAATTTAAAAATACATTTTCTTTTAAGAGTTTAGCAGGAAAAAACCTAAACATTCTTAAGGCTTATAACTTTTTGCAAGACACCTTATAAGTACATAATTAGATCTCCCTAAAGATGCACTCTGCTTCTGACTGCTACTGCACTCTGACTTCTAATTGGTGTTAATCTTTTTCTACAAAACAGTACCTGTGGGAGGATGCAGCTCAGGCTGCTGTTAATCCCACCGAATCTGCAGCCTTCGCTGTTCAACAAGCAATAACCCTTTGAGAATTTGGGGTGGATTAGGGTTAGGGTTGATAAAAGGTGATATTTCTACATTTTAGCGCATGCTTGTGTTTTAGTTTTAATGAGAATCATCATCTTAAAAAGTTCTGGTCAGCAACGTTCTGTTGAATCCTCTTAGCCCCAAATTACAGAAGCTCCAATCAAATCACCTTTGAGTTGTTTTCTCTTTTTGTTTTGTAGTGCAGATCGACTTTGGTTTTATTAATAAAATATCTCTTTAATGACACAGCAGTGAATATGAATATTTGCTGTGTGCTTTGTTGTAAAAATTAACATCTGGTGTGATGAATCCCCTGACAACACTCCTTTTTCTCTCCTCTTTGCAGCAGTAGACTTTCATCATGCTGTTTTGATTTAGCCAAAATAGTAAATGTACCAAAGTATTATTTACTGTATGAATTATGATATTAAACTTGTAAATGTGACTGAGAACTCCTGGTTTTTATCCATCCAGGCGGTGTTCCTGCGAACGTTCCCGGCCATTTACAGCGAGCTGCTGAAGTTCTTCACTGTTCGAGAGGTGGCCGGTTTCGTCCGGGAGACACTGGGTAGTCTGCCCAACGTAGTCCAAGCAGACAGTCCCCTGGAGCCTGTCAAACTGCAGTGCATTTCCAAGACAGTGGAAAGCCAGCTTTACATTAACCCAGGTAAATCAAAATACATGAATGCTTTAAAATCATAAGGAAATCATATTGAAATGTCAAAACATTCTGTCTTAAACATGTATATAAATTTACTCTTTATAAGATGATATTATCCCAAAATTTAGAAAAATTCTAAAAAAAAAAAAAAAAATCCTGTCTTAAAATCTGTGTTGTTGTTTTTTTCATTATCTTATGCAGGCCAGTTAATTATATGTTAGTCTGTACACCTTAATTTGGCCAATCACATATATCAATGGTCATCTGTCAATCAAATTATTTCGGTCATAGCATCTTGAGTCATATGTCGCAGCTAATATACGCAACGGTTGAAATAAGAATAATTTACTTTAACTTTGAGTTATGTCCCAGAGCAACGCTGCCAAAGCTAGCAGAACTGACACTGTTGCGAGGCAAGGGCTCAAACGTGTACAGCTGTAAGCCTTCTACACATAACGAAGCTTCTGCCGCCCAGGTGTCCTCTTCCACAACAGCTTCGTCCACACTTTCCTCCTCTAAATAAAAAATGTATGACGGAGGAGGCTTATCTACGACCTCCGACACAAAACTCTTCTCCTCTTGCATGTTTCTGCTGTCCATAGCGTTCCTTGACAGTGTCGTTGCTAAGTCACCAATTTAGTGCTACTTGGTCCCAATGGAATTTCCCATTGGGAACCTACTTGCACTATGTTTCTAACTGGTTAGCAAGATGCTTATGAGAACTTGCTTGCGAACTCTCCGCCACAACAATCCCGCCATCTTGATCATGACCAATCAAATTCACTTTATTCACTCGTGTTTCCCTATGACTTTAAAGGAAACATGTTAAAACAAATCTATATTCCTACACCCAGTTCTTGTACCTTATATGTTAATTTTTTTTTTTTTTTTTTTACGAACCTTTGCACAAAAACTTAGCTATAAACAAGAGTTATATTTTGATGCTTGACAACCTTTCCAGAGTCCCGGTGCATCCTGCTACCCGTCGTGCTCCGAGTGCTTCACACCTGCCTACAGGATCAGAGAGATCTGGTCATGTGTGCACGCATCTTCACCAGCATGCTGTCCCTCATTAAGAAGGAGGAAAGCGGAACTGTGGTGAGTATAAAAATGTCTAACGCTCATGACCAAATGCTGCAATAATGCTGTCTGCGCTGCACAGGTGCTACAGAGTTAAGTGTCAATCAAGCACAATTTACAGTCGTGATTTAAGACAACTGCAGTTGATTTTGCAGCTGTAAGATTGATTCAAGTGGACTCCTTGGCAAAACATTCCCCAAGCAGACTGCTTTATTTGTTGTGCACTGTCAATTAGTGGTGGTAACATGAACATTGGCAGGTGTGCAGCTCACTAATGAGGCTGGTCAATTTAGCAATGGGGCTGTTGAAATGACTTTGAGCTTTTCCATCTGTCTGATTGGTCTGTATGTGTGTGTGTGTGTGTGTGTGTGTGTGTGTGTGTGTGTGTGTGTGTGTGTGTGTGTGTGTGGTTCTGTGAATTGCACCTTTTCCTGCCAGAAGGGCATTTAATGGTAAAGACTCCTAGAAGGACAGACGCTGCACAGATTGGCAACACATTTAAAGGGCGTTGAGAGTGTAGGTAGCCAATGCGTTAGTGAGACTTCTTCTCATTATCGGTCCAAAACTGTCTGTCCTGTTAGGCAGAGAGAGAGAGAGGACAAAAGGGGGGTGAGCAGACACAAGTCTTTCTCTAGTTTCCCCCCTCTGTTTATTACATTGCAATTCACTATTAGCTCTTTTATGAGCTTTATTCTATTTTTAAAACCTAGTTAAAGATGCATTTATATCCAGCCCTTCACAGTTATGGTGATAAAGGTGTACAGTAAGTAAATATGTATATAAATAATTTATGATTATGATTGCTTAAAAAGTTAAATATATAATTTTCGGTAATTCCTATTCAAAGAACTCAACATGTGAATCGATGCCAAATCTGATGTAGTCTCACATCTAAAAGTATGATTGTCTCTTCTAAGGGGAAATGAGTCAAAGCTACAATTGATTTATTGGAAAGATGGAACCTAACTTTCTTCTGCTTCCAAAAGATTAACACCAATCTCTTCTGACCCATTTTATAAAAAAACGTTATTTTTTCAATGTGTAATAGCTTTTATGTGAACTTAAAGTCAGACTGCCAGAAGGTGCTTGTTTCATCCATAGCTGCAATCACTGATCAATAATCTATGACTGACAGTACATTTCATGACACAGCCTAATTTATTTTAGCTAATCTAAAAATCGGGAAACATTGTATAAAAAGCACTTTCATTAAGTGCAACATGTGTTGATCTTTTCGTATATTGAGTCTATAAAATGAAAATAGGAATATTTTTAATATGCTGCCACTATTGTGCGGAACAGAAAAATAAAGGGGCATGAGTTATTAATTTGATTTGATTAGTTCTTAACCTTTTATATAAATTTAAAAAATAAATTGTTCATATTAATAAGCATTTGGATGACATTAATTAAAACTATCCCTTTTTTTTCTTTTTTTGTTTTACAACAGAGGAAAAATTATAAATGTGAAGAAAAATGTCACTATTGGTTTCCTCAATATTTTACAGCTTAAAAACTCCACAATTTTGAACTCTGGTATATCTATCTGAGACTCTTAGTTTAAAGTTATAGAGAAGCATTTGCTTCATTGGGTCATTTTAATGCATGCTGCTCATGTTGCAAGTCAAAATAGATTTTACAAAAGGCCTGTTATGATTAGCATCAAATAACAACCTTCAGTCTTACCAGTTTTGAATCGTTTAAGATGATTGTTGCTGGTTGGAAATAAAGTTATAAGTGATCACTTCATAGACAAGTTATAGAGCATGGAAAAATGTATTTAACTACTCAGACATTAGCTAACAATGGTGCTAAGTTGCTTCAGAGCATATCGGTGCATTTAATGACCTACTTCCAGGATTTAATATGACTGAACCATTCTGGTTTGAAACCTGGCATACCTGGAGCGATTAAATCTGAGCTAAATAAATGCTCCCTGTATTTTGGATGTATTAAAGGCAGCATGTTGCCCTGCAATAGATTGACGACCTGTCCAAGGTGTACCCGCCTCTTGATGGACAGATGGATGGATAAAGGCAGCATTTTCAACAGCTTTCAAACATTAGATTGTCATGAACCGAGGACAGATGGACCCAGTATTCAAGGAGAGACAGTCAGTAGGAAAGTTCAAAAAGGTTTATTAAATTAACAAAAACTAAAGTGGAGCTGTGGCTCGCGGACACTGCAGGATGGGGAGTGGGGCACCGGCCAATCACAGGACTCTGGTTTAACAGTCCAGTCCTAGAATGTCCCCAAGTGCTGCAGTCCCAGTGGACATGCTGGAAGCCAATCCTGGTCAGGGATCCAGAACAGACAGGGACAGGATCCAGATCAAGCAGGAACAGAAACAGGTGGCAGGATTCAGACTTTCAGGCATCCACAGGCTCCCAGGAGGGTTCAGAGTCTGACAGGGTCCGAAAGCATGACCAGGTGGTCACACACAGGAGCAGACAGGATCAGGTGCAGATGAGCAGGCTCAGTGGAAGAGGGTAGCCGAGACAGGACGTGGAACCAGAACTTGATGCAGGACTTAAAACTGGTTTCCTCCCTGGAGCCAGGCTTACTTAGATAAAAACTGAACCTCCCCACATATAGAGCCAAAAACCCAGAGGACTCCGCAGGGGAGGAACAGTGGACAATCAGGAAACGAGACAAACACTAATACCCTCTTTCCACTGGCTTCTAGGATCCAGGACATGAACCAAGGCAAAAACTGAACAGACAGACTAACAATAAGACAAGTAATGATCTGGCACTGAATGCTCAGGCTGAACTGAATATAAACCAGAGGAAACAGGTGAGAGGAATAAATTATAATTGAGGCAGGGAGGGAAAACAACAGGTGAAAGGAATGATGAATTAAGGGAGAGCAAACAGGCCAGATCATGACATAGATTCACCTTTAGATACAAAGAATAGGATATAAACATATGGACTTCTCAATTTATATTTAACATTGTAGTTGATCAAAAAATAATAAAATCTAATTTGTAATCCATAACCTTTTTTTTATAAGACAGAGCAAATTTTCCTTAATCGCTTTTAAAAATGAAAATGTAACATTCAGTTCAGACCAACGTATGTTAATCTTCTGAACTTGTTCAGATCTGCTATCAGAGCTCTTTTCAAACAGTTGGTATCATGACAAACAAAACTTAACAAAGACCTAATTTAATCTTGGCACCAAGTGCAACAGAGCATCTGCTATAGGGCAGGTGAAAAAAGAACTCTGCAAACCGCACATAAAAAACACGATTTTCTTCATTTAAATATTAGCATACACCGTTTTATTGTGACTTTGGCAGCTGAATATGGATACTCCCACATGTCTTCCATCATTTAGTGAGAAATATTTTTTTTCCTCTGCTTTTTAGGAGCCTGCTGTGTCGGAGGAAGTGGAGCTCATAGTGGAAAGTCTCCTGGGAGTATTACTGAGAACTATCCTGGAAATCAGCAACCGGCCCCAACCTGCAGGACCCGCCATGAGACTGCAGTTTCAGGATGTCACTGTACGTGTGTGTGTGTGTGTGTGTGTGTGTGTGTGTGTGTGTCTTTGCGCAAAAATTGGTTTGGGAATGTGCAGAATCGTCAAGCCTAATTAGAGATTTTAAATTGAGTTTCACCAGTGGCAACTATCACTCCTCTATGATTATTAATATTGGAGGCAGTAATTAAAATTTATCATGCAAGCACAGATGGGGAATAGTGACGTGGATAATATTAACATCAACATTTATACTGAGAGATAATGGGAACTGACTAAGGTGAAATAATTTCCTCTTATTTAAGACATTAATCACATTGGATTCCTTCTTGTAGGCTTTTATCTAGACGTCTTATCTGAAAAGTGTAAAGGATAAAGTAGTTATTAAAACTTTGCTTTAGCTTAAGTGGGTACGGTGGAAGTACTTCAAAATCTGTAATGATGTTAAAAATCTGACTGTCTAATGTCTATATCTCAATTTAACTCGGCAGTTTCTGGCTCTTTTAATTTTACTTACACTAAAACTAATGTTTGTTTGTTTTTTCTTTTTGCATTTATTCTGTCAGGGTGAGTTTGTGGCGTGTTTGTTGGCGCTCCTGCGACACATGAGTGACAAACACTATCAGAAGCTGCTGCAGGCATTCAGCAGCAAAGACGACCTGAGGGTAAGATACTTGTTCCTGTGTTTCCTTTACAGCACCTGAATGTTTTTGGGAAACTGCTGTCGTTTATCCATCCCAAAAATCAGAAATGCAATTAAAACTTAATGCAACTTAGTTGTGTGTTTTTGTCTTATTTGAATATATATATATATATATATATATATATATATATATATATATATATATATATATATATATATATATATATATAGTGTTTTTATTTGTTTACATATATGTTTAAAAATCATCAATGGAGGAGAAAGCTTTTTTGTCCAACAGTGAGCACAATAATTAGTTTATAATGGGACTGGACCAGGATGAAGATTAATGCAACGTTATTTGGGGAAAAAAAACAGAAAATTGTTTATCTTAATATGTTAACTTCCTGTAAGTGTTGCCTGACCACATGTTGTTGTGTTCATGTTGCAGGACTTCCTGCTTCATATCTTCACAGTCTTCAGAATCCTAATAAGACCCGAAATGTTTCCCAAAGACTGGACGGTGATGCGACTCGTCACAAACAAGTAAGACATTCAACAAAAAAACATCTAAACCTGAGATTACAGCAAGATTTCCAATCTACCTTTTTACCTTTCTTGTTTTTTCTTTCTATTTGATAATTAGCATAATAGATATTCTGTTGTCATTTATACTTGCTGTTGGTCTTTTTCTTTCAGCGTCATCATCACAACCGTCCTCTACCTTTCAGATGCGCTGAGGAAAAACTTCCTCAATGACAAGTTTGATTATAAGGTATGACTTTTTGAATCTTTTGGAGCATAACTGCAAGATTATTAAAGGATTTAATTCTCTTAATTATTTATTGATCAGTAATAGTAAATAGAACTAAAACAGATCAGACTATAGAAATAAAATGTCTAAATTCATGAAAATCAAACATTTCAAAGGAGAGCTGGATTTGTCATGTTTTTCAGGTTTGGGACTCGTATTTCTACCTGTCTGTCATATTCATCAACCAGCCCTGTCTTCAGCTTGAATCCTTCTCGCCATCCAAGAGGAAGAAGATTCTGGAGAAGTGAGTGCTATCTATTGCTCACCAACACTAACTTCTGAAAATTATAGACATTCAATCTGTATTGCAAGTCCGTAGAATATTTTGCATGTCACTAACATGCATTTTGGATAATGTTAAATAATTTGTCATGCAGATACGGAGACATGCGTGTAATGATGGGCTGTGAGATCTTCAGCATGTGGCAGAATTTAGGTAACTGTCCTTTTAAGTGCTTAGATTGTTGCTTACAAGGATTACAACTTCTTGAAAAATGTGTCTGTACTGTAATGTAATAAACCAGAACTATTTATTACATATTTACATTTTAAGATAAACCTTTAATTGTAGATGTACACAATTTGAGAAGCTAATGATTATTTTGCTAATCGATTAACCTATTGATAATTTTTTCGGTTAATCGATTGATTGCGAAAGATTCCTTAACAGAATGAAACCAGGTAAGGCTAAAACTTTTCCTCTTATGGAGTTCTGGATAGATCATATTGGCAAAAATAAAAGTGAATATTTAAATATTACTTTAACAATTTTGGTATAATTAATGCTCTGAGTGGGTTCCTTTTTCAGCTAAAAGAAAGTATTTACTATACTTTAGTATACTCCAGATAAAGATTAATTGTTTACTAAATTAGTTAGTGATCATTTCAATAATCAATTAATCCGATTCATTGTTTCAGTCCTAGTTGCAAATAATTTCTAATGTGTCACAGGTGTGTTTGAATAAATAAAACCATCATTTAAAGGATATTTTGTTTTGGTAATTTTGATGATTATTGGTTAAAGAAAATGTAAACTGCGTGGTCATGCTTTGGCGTAAATATTCAAATATCTTTGCTAAAGAAGCTAGTTTTCAGGGTGCTTTATCCAAGCAGGATATTACAGCCTAGCAGAGGAAAAAGGGGCTTTAAAAAGTTATCCAGGTAGATTTTTATTTTAATTTATTGTAAGACATATTCATTGAAGTTAACAGAAAAAATCTTAGATTGTAACACTGTGTAAAGGAGCTTATTTTTAAAAATTGCTATAGTATTTTACAAGCAGCAATGGATCACAATATGAGAGTAAATGGAATCTTTTAAAATTAATATTGTACCACAATTAGATGTAACATAAATGAAAAAAGAAAAAGAAAAAGAGGACCTGATGAAGCAAATTCTTTGAGAAGTTTTACAGTCCATAACCAACAAAGAAGAGCTTTTCAGAGTAAAACTGCCTCAGGGTTGATTTCAAGTCCAACGGTTCATCAGTAAATTGAAAGTCTAACCTTTGGTTTGAACCTTGTCTTGGATCCAGGGGAACACAAGTTGAACTTTATCCCGGCCATGATTGGGCCGTTCCTGGAAGTGACCCTGGTCCCTCAACCTGATCTAAGGAATGTCATGATCCCAATCTTCCATGACATGATGGACTGGGAGCAGAGGCGCAGCGGCAATTTTAAACAGGTGGGCCACTGTTAAAATTACATCAGGTGATAGTTTTCATCTTTACGCTTTAAAGGAGATGATAGCAGCCGTTTGAGTTGATAAAAAGTCAAGTTTGAAATGTTTTGTCAATGTTTTTTTTTTAAGGCTTTTGCTATACATTCAATTTCAGATATTTTCCCTCTAAACAAAAAAATTTTGGGTTTTCTCTTGGAACACCCTCTAAGTAAACCGTAAGCCTGCATTTATTTGCAGAGGAGTTGTTGTTTTTTTTAGCCGACAAACTCTAAGTTGTTCTAAAGAGGCACCAATCTAAGTGAAAGTGACTTTATTTCATGATGAATAATACACAATACTTTAGCTGCTTTAATGCATTAGCAGTCCTTGTGTGTTTTCTGTTTAAAAATAGATTCTCCTTCATGGTGTAAATCAGTGATTCCCATATAGAGGTACTCATACCCCTAGTGGTCCGCAAGTGCATTGCAAGGGGTACATGAAAATACTTTATTTGTTAGTAAAATAAAATAGGGCTGGGAGCTGATCTGCTTTGTGAGGACCCAATTGAAAATTTAAACAAGCTTTTATCATCCAAAAAGTAAGTTTTTCTTATATGTTTGAGTTCAACCTTCAGCTTTGACACACTTAAAAACCAAGCAGAGGAACAGACTGGATGTAGAGAACAGCCTGGGATCAGCTGTTTTTCACTCTGAGCTATCAGAGCTCATCAAAGTAGCTCAGGTGTCTTGATGAAAACGAAACTAATTAAATAATTTTGACTATAATTTTTGTTCAGTATTTTGTTTGCATTTCATTCAAATGTAATTATAAGGTAGTCACTCAGAGGAGGTCCAGTTTTATAAATACTGGTTTATAGTATGGTTTTATTTTGTATCTATTTCCATTCCTTACTGACTTCCAGGCAACATATTTTTGTTGTTTTTGCTTGAGACGGAATGAATAAAATGCCTAAGAATTAAATGCTTAAATTAAATTATTAATAGTCATTTTTTTAAATCAGTGATTGTATGTTTCACATTTGGACAATTATCAATACTTTTGACTGAGAAGGGTACTCATGGTAAGACAAAATGCCCAAAGAGGTACACAAGTCAAAAACGGTTTGGAAACACTTGTGCATGTTACCAAACATTTTAGAATTTACTATGTTACATAACATGTAGAAAGCTAAAAAAAATAAATAAAAAAAAGAGCCTCATCTATAAACCGTTCAGCTTTCTGAAAGGCGCATTTGGCTCAAAATAAGCAGGGTGAGTGTAGATTAATGATTTCATGCAAAGCTCAGGTTGCATCTATACAAAAATTAAAGTCAAAAAAGAGACAAAGACAAAGAAACGCTGCTGCTTTTAACATGCAAGTTATGATGCAAATCAGTCATTGGTTCAGAGCTTTAAAACCTCAGAGTCTGACTTCTATCCAGTCATTTTATTAAAGTTGCTTTGTCCCCCTCACAGGTGGAGGCCAAGCTGATTGATAAACTGGACAGTCTGATGTCTGAGGGTAAAGGAGACGAAACGTACAGGGAGCTCTTCAACAGCATGTGAGTTAATAAAAGATTGAGAGAACCCAGACGGGGTTGAATAATAAAGAACCTTTTTTGCATGGAAACCTTTTAAAGTCAGAGTAGAGACAAAACAGAGAAGCTCTGTTTGAAATTCTATTAATAGTCAATTTCAAGATTAGTATTAAGAAATCATTGATGAGGAGTTTTACATTTGGAGCAGTGAAGATCAAGTAGATTAGTTACATGATGAGGTAAGTAGTGAATCTTCTCCCTTGGTGTTGTCACTGTGATCTTCACTCACACTACATCTATCCATGGGCCTTGTTCCTATCTGTCCTTTTCTTTGCAGATTTTATTTTGCATCTGCTTAATGTTTGTTTGTTTGCTTGTGTGTATTTGTTTGCTACGTTTATCATTTGTTTTTATTCTTCTTGTTGCCCTTCATTGTGGGCTTATAGTTGGAATATATTTTTAAATCACTCCTGTTTAAAATTGAAATAATCCAGCCTCATTTGCATAACAATTGTCTCCTCACTTTCACAAACAGGACTTACAAAAGTATTCCCACCCCTTGAACTAGGTCTAATTGTTGTATTGCTAGAGCCAGAAATACAGTACAGCTCAATGGGATTTTAAGCAATAGCAAGAAAGCTGTGCCCAGCTACTTTACTTAAGGAAGAGCTTAAATAATTTATAGAGAACTTTTGCAAATAAAACTACAGACTGTGCATGATGAATGTTTGCAGGTCCCTATGGTAATTCATTGAACCTCCTCCTTTTGCAGTTAGTTGACAGTCTTTATGGGTGTGTCTACCAGCTGGCCACATCTAAAGACTAACAAAATCTAATTTATTGTTCTCTTCAAAACATCTTAAGGCCAATAATATTTAAGTCATACCAGACATTCCTTATTGGATTTAGGTCAAGACGGCCTCGTGAGGGAGTGGCAGCCTAGTGGTTAGGGCATAGGGCTTTGAATCCTGAGGTTGTGAGTTCAACCTGAGGTTGTGAGTTCAACCCTCCTCTCCTAAAGACTGCCACTCTGGGTCCCTGAGCGAGACCCTTAACCCCAAGACCCTTAACCCCACACTGCTCCCCGGGTGCCGCACAAAGGCAGCCCACTGCTCCCCAAGGGAATGGGTTAAATGCAGAGATAAATTTCTCCAACTTGATATAAATAATAATAAATAATAATAAAGTTCTTATAATTTTTTTCTGTTTCCCCTGTTGGCTGTTTGAAAGCAAAATTTCTTATGGCTTTCTAAAAAAAAAAGATGACTTTCATATTGCCTTACCTACAGAAATGTGTGGACTAAACCATCTAATGATGGCACCGCTGCATAATGCTCTCCTCACTTAGCTAGTTTGCTTCATTTCAACAACAAAAATCCTGTTTTTATGCTAAGACTGAATTGCATGTATTGCATCATGGAATCAGTAAATCCGCTTGTGGGAAGTCATTCCTTGGGTTTTAATTCTCCATCTTATTGTTAAATTTCTATTTTAGGATAATAATTTAAAAACATTTATTACTTAGTTTCTTCCTCCCTCTTGTATCATGGGAGCTTTTTTTCTGCAGGGTCAGGGACCCCACAGGTGTCCATACCCAAAATCCCACAAAAAAAACCTTGAGGATTGCAGTCAGAGCCTGCCGAAATGTCTAAAAGTTTAAAATATATGAATACTTTTGTAAGATACTGTAGGTGGGAATCAAACTGTGATGTTTTTGTTGTAAATCATTCACATTCCCATAACTGATACACATATTAGATAACAGACTGTATCTAGATCACCAAATATTGATGCAGATTAATGTTTATATGTAATCTGTGATGTGACTGTACATATGCAATAGAAGAAATTTTTATCATGATCTGATTTTATTATTATTATCATCGTTGTTTTATTTGTTCTAGTCTTTAACGTTTTGCTTTTACTGTTTAAATTGCAATAGATTGATTTTCTATCATTTCTGCATATTTTAGTTCTATTTTGTTCTCCTATAATTGTCCCACCTGCTGACTTTATCCACCCCGTAAGCTGAGCTGTCTAAGTTTGTGCTGATTTTAATCATGTTAATATTAATTTATTCCGCCTATGCTTCCCGCCTGGAGTAGAATTCCTCTGTTTGGTCCGTACCCTAGGTAAGATGCTCTCCTCTTTGGTCTCTGTGTCGTCTTTGTGAAAGGAAACAGGGGAAACGATTGGTCGGACCCAGAAAGAGCTCTAGTGTGTGTGTTCTAACTTTCCATCAAACCAACCAGTTCTTATAATCGATATTTTGCTTGATTTTATATTATAACTCCAGCAGGCGAGCCTACAAGCATAGGTGATCCTTGCATGACTGAGATTAATTTCCTCCTTGCTTTGTGCCATCTTTTTTCTTCAGTAATTTCTTCCATTGCTGCTTGTGTTCCCATTCCACCTCTTTCTCTCTCGTCTTTTCAGATCGTGACGTTCTCTCTGTCTTGTTCTTGTCTCTCTTCATTTGTCCTGTAGCCTGCTGAAGAAGATTGAGAGGGAGACGTGGAGGGAGAGCGGGATCTCTCTGATTGCAACCGTCACTCGTCTGATGGAAAGGCTGCTGGACTACAGGTCAAAGATCACACACACACTCACTCACACTTGTCTTCTGAGATGCATGAGACTGTCTGCTTCAGTTCCCATGACAATTAGTTTTATATATTTGTATTTGATCCCCAGGGATTGTATGAAGTTGGGGGAAGTTGATGGTAAAAAGATTGGTTGCACTGTCAGCTTACTGGTAAGTTTATAGCATGCTCTTTCCTTAAACAGATTATTTTTCTTTAACTTGCCCTCATATAAACATCCGGTGGATATATGAACATTATTGTAATATATGCCCTTAAGCAGTTGCATTTCAACTTTAAAAAAGACAAGATCACAAAAATGGAGCAGCAATTTAAATTACATTATTGGTTTCAAGAGAAACAACAAATAATTGACTGACCTTATCAGTATCATACAGCCTCTGTCATGTCCTTTACTCAGAAAATTCAGAATTGGCTAACAATAAGTTGGTGGCATAAAGTTAACAAACAGATTGTTTACACAAGCCAAAGCTAACAGGGGTTCTACACATACTGATCAATGTAACGTTATACCAGGTGTTTTTGGAACTACCATGGCCGTTTTTCAATTCACTAGAATGCGAGTACGGACTCTTGTCCTCGCCAAGTATGTTCTTGAGAAGAACACAGGAAAGTATGGACTTGGTGAGAACGGGAGTACGCAGCATACATATGGGTCAATTGGAACAGAAGCGTACTGATGACGTTGCCATATGCCCGGCTCGTCTAGAGCTGCATTTCACCTCCTGTTATTAATAGTCTATGGATAATAATAAATTATTATTATTCTTTATTTAGTGGGGGAATAATAATTAACAGTCAGATAAACACAAATCAAATCAACATTTTGCCAAATAAAGCAAATAATCGGCATTAGAGCCAACAGTCCTTAACACACGGCTATGCCGAGAGAGGGCTACGGTTAGCGCTGGCTGCCGTTACCCTCGGAGGTCTGCTGGTCCTCTCAACTTCGGAATTTTTTTTAAATTATGCCTTAAGTTGGTAAATGGACCGTATAGTGACGCTTTAAAGTATAATATTCTCGCCTCAAATGATCTTAAAAGATACTTTTATTGAACAACAGCAACAGAAATGAGAACTTTTATCTTTCAATGGAGCGCTCCGTTGAAAGCTGCTGCAGTGTATGCTGGGACAGCTATTAATCTCAAGAATGGACAAGTCTGCTCTGATGCTTGCTGGGTAAATAGCGAGGGGTGAGAACAACATCCGGGGACTTTGTCTGTTCTCAGTGTTCGCATTCTTATGAATTGGAACTGTACTAGTGCTGAGGGTGATGACGTTTTTAGATTACTGAGCACATGAAAACGCACAAGTACACATATTGAGAAACGGACCATGTTTATGAATGAGAATTCAGAATTGTCCCACAGGTTGCTATGACAATACTTGTTCACTAAAGAAATTGGTACTTTGTCCCTTCTTGATTTCAGCAGGACAGCCTCATTATCTTTTCATAGTAACCCGTATAGACCCTGTTTTTTGTTTTCAAAAACTCCGATATACTGTATCTCCCGCAGTTGTTCTTATGCCATGTGCTGAAGGCTAACTCTAGCATGTCCACCCTCTGTTTTGATATGACTCTTTGAAAATTTCCACCATTAATGTGTCTCAGTTTAACCCCACTACCTCAGCCGGTTAAAAAAAAATACAATTTATAACCTTTAATAATTTGTATTTCAACTGTTTTAGTGTTACACTAATTGTTATCTTTAGAGCAGGTCACATGACTTATGCAGACAAGGAGCCACAGGACAAGTCATTCTCATTGATCTTCATTATAAAGGATGGGAAATGACACATTATTTACAATTAGAATGTTAATCTTAATAGCAATACAAACCATAAAACACATGTTATAGGATCATTTTCAAAATATAATTTATTCTTTTTTTTTCAAAAAAGAATATATTAATATAATATGAAGACAATGTACTCTTTCATGTGCAAAGTGGTTCTGGTTTGTTCCTTTATGCATTGAAATTTTTGCTGAAATTCATGTAACTAAATACATCCTATGGGTGTGTGGGTGAATGTTTTTTGTGATTATGCATCTGATATGTCTTATCTTTTTTATTATTATTTTTGTGCTCATTTCCAACTTTTGAATTGATTATTTCAATTGCCTTTCTCCCATTTTCCTTCCATCTTTTTTGGGATCCCTTTCAACTCAATCACCTGTCTGCAGAACTTCTACAAAACTGAACTCAACAAGGAGGAAATGTACATCCGCTACATCCACAAACTATATGAACTCCACCTAAAAGCTCAAAACTACACAGGTACTCCCTTCAAAGAGAGGTTGTCTTTTTTATACTATGCATCTGGTTCTTCATCTGTCATTATCTTAGTGTTCATACTCCTTTAACCTTTCTACGTTTTGCAACATTTTTAGCACAAATATGTTTTATTGAGATCTTATGTGTTATCATTTCTTAAGAATTTTTTTCCCGAAAAAGATAGAAAAACTGTGGCAAAATATATACATAGATACATCAACCTACATAAATACATAAATGTCCTCATGTAGAAACATGGTGGAATCATCATAATATGTGGGATTCAGCAAATATAGGGATGCTGGTCAGAGGCACTACTGATATAAGACAAGCTGCAAAAAACATTTTTTCTATCAAGCTGTACTTCCGGTCAGTGTATGTGTCCATCAGAATATGTCCCAAAATGCATTTGCATTTCAAAATCTGACAATGTTTGTTGGAAGAAAAGGATAAGGCTCGATCGCCAGACTAGCAAGACTAATTAAGCGATCGCTCTCCAACAACAATAGAAAAAGTCTCTATATTTGCAGCTAGTCCCATTTAAAAAAAAAAAAAAAAAAGAGTTGTTAGAGTTTGCAAAACTTGCTAGATCATTTGGTCAGAATTTGAAAACACTATTGATTCCCAATTTGTGTAATTCTGTAAGAAAACCTGTTAGACGCCTTACATAGCTTTTATGCTTGAGGTCCAAGTTGCTAAATTATGCCATTTTAACTTCCATGCCCCCAAGCTCAGCATCCGCACGGACAGAATTTACATTTCGTGGACCTAGGACATTTTTTTTTTTTTTGCACTTTCTTAAAAACATCATTGACGAGTACCAAATCCTGCCGACTAGGTTTTGCAAATATAAACTTCTAAAGACATCTTGTGAAATCTACTGTCATGAAGAGGCTTTTAAAAAGCTGACAACAGCTATGTATTCAATTTCATTGTATAATGCAGCCTGTCCAGGAGCTGTCCAGAATATTAGGTACAAGAGGGAGTATGAAAGTTGCAGACGTCATGTCTGCGTACGTCCTTCAGGCGTAACTGAGCCTTAAGGCTTGCATTTTAGCCTAATTTGCCGTTCCAACAGAACATCAAATAATAACATAAAATACCAGTAAAATTAGTGAAAACGTTTGGTTCCAACATCACAAAGTTAAAGATGTGTAGTTGCATCTGAAAAGCTTTTTTAATGTCATCAAATTGTTCTTTTGCTCAAAATCTCCAATCTGAACAGTTGCTATTGTGTTTATTTTGCAGAGGCTTCCTACACCCTGCTGCTTTATGACGAGTTACTTGAGTGGTCAGACAGGCCGCTCAGAGAGTTCCTTAACTACCCCATGCAGAGTGAGTGGCAGAGAAAGGAGTTCCTGCATCTCACCATCATTCAGAACTTCGACAGGGGAAAGGTGAGCCAACACATCATGATCTAGGTTTCTCCGTATGTACGTATAAAACATTACTGTTCATTTTATGCTGCTTTTTTCTCTCATTTTAGCTGAATACAGCAACTGTTCCACAGTTAAGCAGGTTTTATTGTTATTCTGATGCTATTGCTTGCAAATGCTCACTTCTAGCTAAGACATATGATTGGAAATGTCAACATCCCATATGAATTGAGAGTTTTTCAAACTGCTCCTCTTTTCACTAATAGTCCACATTTCCCTTCCATTCAGCGGCTTCACCATCTGCTGGTACGACAGCGCAGGGGCCAGGAGGCAGCAGGAAACAAAAGCCTTCTGTTTAATTAGCAATTCTGCTGTGCTCTGTACCAGTACCTGTCTGTGGACAGGATGCATTTGGTTTTTGATTGTTGTTAGCTCAATAGTGCCATCAAGTGGTTTGATTGCTACCCTACATACCAAGTTTAATTTTCTCATGTTTTTTTTCTGATGTTTTTTCTGTTTTCTTTCTTTGTGAATCGCCAGTGTTGGGAGAATGGCATCATCCTGTGCAGGGAGCTTGCAGATCAATACGAGTCGTACTACGACTATAGGAACTTGAGCAAAATGAGGGTAAGCTGTGAGAGCAGCAGGTGGAACGTTTTACTTTTTCGTTTCAAAAGAAAGAAACAAATACTGTGAATTATTATTTTTTTTAATATTGTTTTATTTATTTTGTTAGATGAGGGAAGCATCCCTGTATGACAAAATAATGGACCAGCAAAGATTAGAGCCGGAATTCTTCAGAGTTGGCTTCTATGGAAAGAAGTTCCCTTTCTTCTTACGGGTAAAAAAAAAAAAAATTTACATATTCTCTATATTGTCTTTTTTTGTAACATGTTCTCCCTCTGCAAAATTGAAATATACCTGCAGAGAGAATTAACATTGTCTTACATAAGGCTCTTTCAGTGTAAAGGTGACATTCAGCAAATTTTATTCTGCACCATTTAATGATGTAACAGGCACCATCCTTGTTGGAGTCTGTAGTTGCATGCTGCAGCCACTAGATGTCAATCTAACCCTATGATGGCCTTTTCCCTTACATTCGCCCCCTTCTGCTGCAGAATAAAGAGTTTGTGTGTCGCGGCCATGACTACGAGAGGCTGGAGGCTTTCCAGCAGCGGATGCTCAATGAGTTTCCCCACGCCATCGCCATGCAGCACGTCAACCAGCCGGACCAGACCATATACCAGGCTGATGCACAGTGTATCCTGAGCAATACATATTCAAACCATGCAATAGACTACTGATAGCACGATGCACAGGCACCTTTGCGTTTTTTGTATCTATAACCGCCCATAATAAGCTATGACTTGCCATATATTGCTGTTTGTTTTGCAATCATAATCAAAGACCATTCACATGCAAAAGCAAACAAGGAAGTGGTACAGTACTACATAGTTTATGCTGTATGCCAAATTTGCAATCATGCACACTGTGGTGGGGAATCCATTTTGAAAATAAGCCCTGGAGCTTGTTTCTCAAAGAGAGTAACATTAGTTTTTACTAGATTATGGGAAAACTCTTTCTAGTGATGCTGTTTTTTACCAAAAACTAGCAAACAGGAATAATCTGCTATTTGGTTAGTCAAAGGAAACAGTATAAAATGAATCATCTTGATCTAATCTATGAAAAAATAAGGTTAAAAGGAAGGATTTTCCGAAACCTAAGCAAACAACCCCTCTATAAATCCCTTAAGTAGCAACAGGAAAGCATGCTTCCCCTCTAAGCATTGTTTAAATTCATAAATACAACATGCTGGCCTTGTTAATAATTCACACAAATGTATGGCACAAGTGTTGGCCTACATAAAAGTACTGAAACAAAACACAGACTGCAGGGATAAGAAATACAGCACTTATTACCTTCATCAGAAACATATTTATAGGCTGTATGTTTGTATGTTACTACAAATAGGCAATATTGGCATCCATGCATATGTGCACCTAAATATATATATGCACATGGTATGTGTGCTCATGTGAAAGTTATTTGCACTTGTGAACATGTTAAATTTATTTGCATTTATTCTAATCTAAATGTGTTCATGTGAATTGTAAGCATCTACATGTAATTGTCAGGATCAGGATTCATTCATGCATCGCTGTGAAGATGTTAATTCGAAGAGTAAACATGGGAAAAAATTATATATATTTTTGGCTTTTTTGAGCTGGGTGCAGTTACATGGGAACTAGACATTGATGGGGATTTTTTACATCCTCACTGGTTTATTTCACATCAGGGCAATCAATAGCATCTCTGTCAGATTGTTCAGCCATTCGTGTATCCTGGATTCAAACTCTAAGGAACTCAAATCATGTACATCAGCTGTCCTTCCTATTATAAAGCTGCACATCAGGTTGTGTATTTCCTAAATGATGGTTAGACTGGGCCATGCTTTTGTAAGCCTTAGACATCTTATGTTAACAAAGCTTTCCTTTCCCACCATGTTCCTGTGCACAATGCACTTAACAATACTTATGTATGTGAATGTGTCCTCATCTGCCCCTCAGAACAGCCTCAGGTTCCCGTATTCTTTCAGATCTTTGAAAAAATTGTCGTCCATTTCAGCCCCGCAGCACTTTTCATACGTTGCTCTCTTGTACTTTCCTTGACCTGCGGGGGGGCGGGCCCTTTCAGACCTGCAAATATACGCTGTAACTCCCATTCCAGAGAGCCAAGACGTGCTACAGCGAGACGGGGTGCCGGACAACATCAAAAGCTTCTACAAGTTTAATCACATCTGGAGGTTCAGATACGACCGGCCTTTTCACAAGGGCACCAAAGACAAGGAGAACGAGTTTAAGGTAGACATAAAGTAGATTTCTGCAAAAAGGCATGTGGGGGGAATAAAAGGCTGGTTTGAATGTGAGTGGAGAAACTCTGAAATAATCCATGGTGTGAAGTCAGAGAATAAAACTCCAGTAATTCTATCGGCACCTTCTCCTACAGAGCCAGTTGAAACAGCCTTATTGACATCTTGCATGACCTCGCTCCTCCATCATGCAGCATGTAGGCAGCAGTAGGTTCTGCTCAGGTATTAGTATGTGTATATAGTGCATGTTTTATTCATCGGGAAAGCGGCATCAGTAATTATACACAGAAACCCAGGCAGTAGTCAGAGCCGCGTAAAGGCTTGAGCACAGATGAAGCCTTCTCAGGCTGATTTGATCCTGCAGCTGCACACACTTTGAGACGCCCAGCAACACAGTGCACAATATTACTCTCATAAATATTCAGCTTTTATTGCACACAAGCTTCATGCCGTTTTCTCATCACTTCCATCAAGGTTACTTGGCTAAATTTAATCACAGTATCGCATTTTCATTTAGGCCGGATGTCTCTGGCCTTGAAGTAGAAATAGCGTGCAATAAACATTAATGTTGAGACTAGAGCCCACAGAGGGTGGGCACAAATGAAAAAGTCATCAAACGACACCCTACAAATGTATATTTTCTTTTCTTGGGAAAGCATAGACTTTGTATCTATGCCAGAATTTTCTCTCAACTTCCTGCTTTTTTTTTTTACCTCCTGCAAGTTATGTTCAGGTGGGTTTCTTGGCCTTTAAAGGAATAAAATCAATAAAGGGCAGCAGGGTTGTGTAGTGAGTCGGAAGATCCTCCTTCAGTGTGAGGACACTGGATCGATGTTGCATATCGGCTCTCAGCCGCTCTTTTGGGGGGTCCTGAAAAAAAGACACTGTAAACAAATCAGCCCATCCTGTATCTCAACATTGATCCCAATTGGTGTTTGAAGCATTTTTAGCCAAAAAAAAAAACAAACAAAAAAACAGCACTGCTTTAAATTAAAAAAGGGGAGACATTGCAACAGATTGATGCCAATATATTTAATGCGCTTTTCCTCCCTATATCTGCTTTTCTTCTGTATTGCTTGTGGCCAACTGCAATGTAGGCTAGTTTTTACCAGCCTTGTTTGACTTCTGCCCCCTTGCCCATTTTATCATATTAAGAGTAACCCCTTGGTTACAGGTTATTTTCCAAAAATAGAAAGTATAACTGATTATAAAATAAAATAAAAAATATATAATTTCCTTGACTTTAAAATTTAATGCTCAGACATTTAATGAAAGAAAGTGACTGAATGTACTGAAATAAGTATAAAATCAAATTAAGTTACAAATTACAGTTTTTAACAAAAAAACTGAGCTTTTCCGAATAAATCCCCTATACACACATCTAAACTTGACAAATCAAGAAATAACTGAGTAATATTTGGATTCACTATCTGTTTTACTTTTTTTTATTATTTTTTCTCAACCAAAGTTAAAATAAAATAAAAATATTGACAGATTTTTTTTTTTTTATAAAAATTTTTGGTTGATAAAATCTTGGTTTATTTTGCATTTGGGTCCTTATAGAGCAAAACCCATCCCAGCCCAATCACTGATCTAGACAATTTTATTGCTTTCTTTCAACAAATCTTTATTCCTCCATCATTCTGGCCAGATTAGTGGAGGACACAACTCCAGTTGTTGCACTGACATATACCCTACATCTCTACAGCTCCTTCAATGGCAAGGAAATCAAGATGTTTATCTGATTGGCCGTTCAGTTGAATTGGAACCGACCAGAACAGTTGGATTTATACCCAAATTAAATCACCCTATTTTAATTAGCTTACTGCTAAAGGTAGTTGGTTGTACTTTTCTTGATTTAAGGCTATGAAAATAAAGAAGTATAAATACCGAACACATAATTAACACAATATTTTTTGGTTGCATATCAATAAAAATGCCATGGGTAGAAATACTTGTGCAAGAAAAGAATGTGAGATTTTGAAAATATAATGGATGCAAACACTAGAGAGTTTTATGTGCCTCTTGTAAAAGGCTAAACCTGGACAATGAATATCAAGCAGCTTTCCATTCCTGGGGTTTGTTGACATGCTTACATTGTAGTTAACTGTATCACGTCTGCAGCACTATAGGATGAATGTCTAACATTAGGAGCCTCCTGTAAATACTCGAGTTGCCGTAGTTTACATTCTGTCAGAGTGACCTTGCGAGACGCCGGTGTATTGACAAGTACCCAAGATGACTGTGTAAGCGCTGGAACGTGAATGATGGCATAAGGGATCAGACATGACACCTTATCTGCATCCAAAGTGAACCTTTGGCAGCCTGCTCATCCTTAAGTTTGAGCTAAAGTGTAAGAAATTGAAAGCATCCGTGCATTAGGCGTGAGTGGGGATGGATTTTATTTTATTTTTATGATAAACACGATCTCATGAAAGTGTCTTGGGTTGTTTTTCTTTTTCTCAGAGCCTGTGGGTGGAGAGAACTACCCTGACTTTGGTTCAGAGTCTCCCAGGCATTTCCCGCTGGTTTGAAGTCGAGAAGAGGGAGCTGGTGAGTGTGAACACTCTTGATAAAATTACCTTGAAGACATAAAATCAAACACATCCGCCACACACAAGTACACTACAATTTTTGAAAGTTGCAATCCAAAGCTCAAGCAGTAACCAAGTAAACATTGGCTTCCTCAAGAAAACGCTGCAAATGTTTAGATTTCTTCCCTTTTCACATTTTTTTTCTTCAAAAAAATGAAATCCTCTTTTTTTTTCCTTTTTTTTCTTCAGATCCCAAAGAGCTGGGTTGATATTTGAATACATTATTGTCTTCTGAATATGCAAAACAGGAAGCAGCATGTGTCTCTTAAGGTCTAAGCTCATATTCTTTAGTTCCAGCTGCTGAGCGTGGTGTGAAATTGTCTGAAAGGGAAGCCTGCATTACCCTGCGATGGTTTAACAGCACAAATGCATAAGACATATGAAATTGGTGGAAGGATTAAGCTTTGTGAGAAAGTTGAAAATGGAGGATGAAAAGAAGAGCGTACACAAAAGTGACCAGGAGCGGAGTAATTGCTGCATGCGTACACTTGTTGAATAGATGTCAAGATAATTATCACCCACTTCTGAGCAGTGGAGAGCATTTCGATTTTTAGTTTTTCTTTTTGCGAAATGCTTTGAATTATTTTAGTTCACTACTCAAGTACAGAAAGAAAGAAAAAATGTTTTCTTAAGCAGAGCTTTGTTCATAAAATTGATTGAATATGTAGAATAACATTTCAAGATTGTTGTATTTTAATAAAGTTTTTGTTGTAGTTACAGCTCATTTTAAGAAAAAAATATATTTTACTGATTTTAATCATAACTGAACAAAATAAACACAAATAAACACTTTAATGCTTGGTAAGGAATTTGCGAAAGCGTCCACTATTTTAAGATTATAAAAAAAAACTAATACCCAGCTGCCTATATAATATTGCTCATTAAATGCATACTTTCTAGGATTATTAAAAGGAAAAATATGTTGGAGAATGTTTCAGAAACTTTAAAATGTGGAAGATACCGGTGCTTTTTTAGCTTCACCTGCTTGACGAGCATAGAAAATTTAAATAATTACCATCTAGAAATTAACTTTTTATCTCACAGGATTACATCAACTATGTTTTAGTTGAATCATAATGCACCTATATGATGTTTTTAGTATTGCAAAAATCATTGATTTTAGGTTTTCCTTCCACTAAACTTTCCATGATTACCCTGTGAACAGCCAGCTTTGTTACCAAGGTGGCATCAATGGCTGTCTGCTGGGCAACAGTCAAGTCGTCCTGTTCATTTTTCAAAACTTTGCAGTTTAGTTTTGACTATGCAACACAGTTTGCAAACTAGTATTCATCTCATGGGATGGTGAAATTTAGTCATTTAATTGGCTGTAAGCCATACCCTTCAAAATGAATAAAATCACTGATAGTGTTAAATGTATGCCTGTTTTTATTAAAATTTTCTTGAAATAAATAACCAGTTTATGAGGAGGCGTATGAAGAGGTTCATGCAGTGAGAAAATCTGTAACATCTGAAAAAATGTTTTTCTAACTTCCCTGATCACAGGTGGAGGTGAGCCCGTTGGAGAACGCCATCGAGGTGATAGAGAACAAGAACCTGCAGTTGCGCACGCTGATTGCCCAGTGTCAGAGCCGGCAGATGCAAAACATCAACCCCCTCACTATGTGCCTGAACGGGGTCATCGACGCCGCTGTCAACGGAGGCTTGGCCCGCTACCAAGAGGTACGAATGGCTCAGTCGTACTTTGTTGGGGGGGGGATCAGAAAGCGAGGGTCGAGAAGCACTGACATATAGATTGCCTAATGATGTATGAAGGTGGGATGTATGCAGCAGAGGGGCTGCATGGGGAGGGGAAAGAAAGAGCAGACGAACAGCTGGATGGATGGATGGATGCACGAGCGGCCCGGTGAGGTTTTGATCGAATTTATAGATGAGTGGAGAGCAAGAGGGGGTTGGAAGCAGAAAAATGAGATAGATGGTTGATGCTGGAATGAGAGGATGGAATGGAGCTTTCAGTCAGCGAATAGATGGGTGGATGGAAGGATAGATGAGGGAAGAGAGCTGCGTCACATAAAAAAAATCACATAAAGAGAAATGGAGGGAAGGAGTGTAAAGAGATGGATGGTTAATATTAGCTTATTGAATGAGGTAGGAGGATTTATGCAGCTGCTGCATTGTAGGGTAGAATGGAAAAAGGCAGATAATAAAAGAAAAACATCTTGAGTCTCAAACATTTGCATCTACTTGCCGCTTCTCAAAAGAAATCCACTTGAGAGTGTAGTGTTACCGTGCGGTGAGCTCCAACTCTTCACGAAAAGCTTGACAGCCTCAAAAAAAGAAAAGAAAAAAGCAACTTAAAATGTACTGAAGAAGATAGCTTTAGCCTCTGCGAACTGAGCGGACTCTTCTTCTTGTCGCTTAGCAACTGCTGTGAGCGTGGATCTGGGGGCTGGAGGGGTAGGAGCTTTTTTTTTTTTTTCTTCATCACTCATGCCTGTTTGCAGGCCCCATATGCAGAAAGCGTTCACATTTCTCTGCTGCTTTTCATTTCTTGGAAATTTCTCTTTCAATCCCCAGAAGAAGAAGAAAAATGACACACAAAAAAAAAATAATATCAACAACTGGGCAGATATTTCTTTTGCATTCAAACCGCCGCCGACATCAACGGCAGTTTTTCTTTAACTCAGCAGCCTATAAATCTGTTAATTTCCTTTTCACTGCGTAATACCAATTGACAGCCGTGGAGGCCCTGCTACAAATGAGGGCGAAATTGTTATTAATAATATTCAGATTTATCGCTGTATTCGCCGTTGAAACCCTTCCGAAAGGAAGGGGGCAGAATTGGCTTGTGATTTATTTCCCCCTCCTATCAGCACTCCCTTTCTAATTGGACTTTGCTAATGATTAACTGAAGCTGGGTGCTACCCGTCCCAGCCCAACGAGAAATTTCCATCCCACGTCAAATTATTGATCAGTTTAGCAGCTTTCTTTCCTTAGGCTTTTGATTTGTGTTTTTTTTTTCTTTTTTTTTTAAATGCGACAAAATAAAAAGTACATTATTTATGCACTCAAAGGTTTTATAATTTCTTATCTTGCCATTTTGCAGAGTTTAATAAGATATGCTATCCTGTATGGCGCATACTAATTTGATAAAGATTGCCATCTGGTGATGTTTGGAATATTAAAGCACCTTGAGTATTCAGACTCTGAAAGCCGTTTGATAGGAATCTGTGTTTGTTTGTGAGTGTTTAAAGCAGCCTCGAGCATCTTTTCTCTCAGTCTGTCTCTTTTAAAACAGACAGCTGTATCTTTGAGAGGAATAGTGCTGCACTTTTTTTGAAAACCCTCCCTTTTACCTCATAGTGCCTCTCATTTTTTTTTCTTCTTCCGATTTTCCTTTTGGGGCAGATTTGAGAACAGATTGGGAGCTGGGCTTTTCATCATCTCAGCTTCTCTCCTTGCTTTCGATGTAGTCTAACACAGACTGGAGAGGATTTGCGGTAATCTTAAGACGTATGACAGGCACTGATGCCACTGTAAACAGCAAGGACCTGACAGTGTATGTATAGGGAGTATGAACGGAACAGGGCTTCTAGCTCACAAGTGGAGAGCTCACAATGTTTGGTTGAAGAGTGTTGGTGGGTCTTACATGATGGCCCCTCCTTCTAACATCCAAAAAACAATAAAAAGGTAGAAAGTCATATAAAAAAGGGGTGAGGTAAATTACAGTGCAACCTTGCACAAAGCAAAAAGCAGGGGGCGCCAATTCCAAACCGACTGCACCTTTGGAGGGAATGGAAAACTTTTTCTAAGGGTGCAAATACTTTGTTTTTAGCCTGGTGCTCTTGCACAGCTCACACTAAAAAGCTACAATATTTACACAATTAGGATGACTCCAAATCTAAGAATTGATTTAGGAAAATATAGCTCTCCCTACAAGACGATGTTCTTTTACAAATTGAACAAACTTTATTGCCATCTTTTATACACAGAGTGTATACAAAACTAAATTTCGCTTTTTAACAGTTAATGAGCAGTTTAAAACAGTGAAAAACTGTTAAAAGTCATGGTGCAAAAGGTATTAATATGGAGAGGTTCAATGCACTTCAAAATAAATAAATATAAGGTGCAAAATGCAGTAGAATATTAGTTGTGTTCTATCTAAATGGATTATGAAGAAATCTTCTATTTAGTGCATATGTTCAAGTGTGATGCAGAGTCTTCTTTAGAGTTTCAACAGTTCAACAGTCTTATTAGATTACATTTGATTAGATTCAACTTTATTGTCATTACACAGGTACAGGTACAAGCCACGAAATAAAGTTATTTTAGCCGGTTATTGTTAGCCTGGTCATTGTTATTACATTAAAATGGTATTTATGCGGTTTGTCTGCCTGAGTTAATGCAACAAAAATAATTCATTATAACAAAAAGCACATGATAAGAAAAAAATCTTTATTTGAAATCATTTAAAAAGTGCTGGACCAATTACTGTGTTTCTGATTTTGCAGTTAGATATTATAATATATTTTGTTTTTATGTGTATATACTGTCATATTTTAGTATCTTTACTGCAGGTTGGTAATCAGTGAGACAGCGTGCTGCTCACTTTTTGCTCAAAAATGCAAATGCATTGAAGGACTACACAAATAAAAAAATAAACAAGTAAAAAACAAAACATTCACTGAGTCAGATCTGGTGGGATTTAGGTAACATTGCCATGCAAAAAACATAATCCTCTCCAGGCCTTCAGATGCTCAGTACTTTGTTTATTTGCAGGCTTTTTTCGTGAAGGACTACATCATGAATCATCCGGAGGATGGAGACAAGATTGGTCGACTGAGAGAGCTCATGTTTGAACAGGTCTGAAAATACAGAAATAATTCCCTCTTTAAAAAGCTCAAAAAGTACAGTATATTTAATTTTTTGAAGATGTTATATTTATTATTTCTTTCAATACTATATATATTTATAGTAGTTTTCTTGTGCACATAAATGGGTAAAAGTAAAAACAATTCATGTCAGATGTATGCATCTATATCAAAATGAATTTCCCATTGTTTTATGGCTCTGATGGTTTACTTTTGTAGTGGATGAACAGTTAAAAAAAAATAAAAATTAAAAAGATCTAAAGATTTACATACACCCCTTAAACTAATATCTGCTTAATTATCCTCTTTCAAAATGCAGAAAAACCTCAGAATTTTTGTTTCCAGTCTTAATCTTAGCTCATTTTTTTTCTTTTGCAGAATATCTAGATTATTTGATTTATTAGTTTTTTCTAGCACAAAAACGAATAGCTTTTAATAGGATTGACCTTGCATTTTGTTCCAGAAGTTTAATATGATCCTATATCTTGTTGGGACACCCAGTAATGTTAAAATGTAAGCCAGCTAGCTGTTTATTTAAAGCAATCCACTTTTGCAAAGTACCTTTAGAAATATGGTGGATTGCAGCATATTGCGGTTACAATCATTTTTAACTGTTAATGTTCCTCAGCCTGAAACTCTCAGCTACTCCAACTCTACCTCTCATCAATGTTGGCAACTTGACTCCTGTGCGGTGGCTTCCTTTGGAGATTTGAAGCTGGGTTCATTGTAGACAGGCGCCTCCCTCACGTAACACTTTGGAGCAGGAGCTACATACCTTTTAATGCCTCAGTGTGTTTTTATGTTTTTAAAATCATTGGAGCTTGATCATGCATAACAAGACCAGGGACAAACCTGCAACGGTGATCAGGGCAGCTAGATGACGCTACAATGAGAAGCTTAAAAAAAATCAACCTCTGTGCTAATGAGCAAGCTGCAGTTTAGAATGCTGTGAAAAATATTACCGTCTACAGGATCCCTTCTCCCTGCCTTAAGCACAATCCCCACCTGGCAGACGACGACCTTTACAGCGTCTGCTGCAGGTTTGAAAAGCAGCTGTTTACACCTTCCTCCAACTCATCCACATCTCACTCTGACTGAAAAGCTTCCCATGCTCCGGTGAGACTGAGGAGCATCTTCACACATACCCCTATCTCCTCCTCTCTCTGTACACAAATGACTGCACTAGCAGGCTTGTCTGTAAAACTCCTAAAGTGTGCAGGTAACACTGCTGACACAAGTCTGATCCAGGAAAATGATGAGTCTGAATAAAGGCAGGAAGTGGATCAGCTGGGTCTGGATTCCGCCTCTGATTTTCTCACACAGACAATGTTCAAAATAAGGACCAGGAGAGACTGGACGCACTGTGGGAACTTTAAAAAGGATTCTTCCTTGTACTTAGAACTAGAACAGAATCTCTGCAAACGACACACCCTGAATGCAATCTGTCTAAACCTCAGGTCACCAATGCAGGGCACCATTTACAAATAGTCCGTGCAAACAGGCGGTCAATAGATTTTCTCACAATTGCACAGAATGTTCTCATTTCGACGAAAACATCAATGTACCCATAATATTTTTTCATCCGCAGCTCAGTTTCAAAATACAAGAGAACTTATTAGACATGTGCATGTTTGTTTAATAAAAAAAGAGGCAGAAAAATACCCCCAAAATCTGGTTTAGGGAGATATATGTATATATAACGTTGAGCACAAGTGAACTTCTTGCTGGATTTGTATTTGATATTTCTGTTTCTGTGTTGCAGGCCAGCATCTTGGAATACGGCCTAGCTGTGCATGAGAAGTATGTTCCCCAAGACATGAGACCCCTTCATAAGAAGCTGGTGGACCAGTTCCATCTCATGAAATCCAGTCTGGGCATACAGGTATTAAACACAGATGAATTCAAACCCAACATAAACAAATTAAGAAGATTGCATATTTTCTTACTTTAAATTATTAAAAAGTGTAAACCACATGTGAGAGTAGAACGCATCTGCTGTGCTCAGATTTCTAATTCTATGACCCCTGCAGTCCTAAGGAAGGGGGGTCGGGGAGCCACCACTTGTTAAACAAACCTCCCCTCATCTACATGCCAAACATTTTATTTATGCACCACATGCTGACTGGAGGAGCCTTTAATCATGTGCTTTCCTTCTTTCCTTCATCTGAAACTGCAGGAGTTCCCAGCTTATGTACGGGCAAGCCCCGTGCCCTTCACCAATGGGAGCCCACGGACTTACAGGAACTCTGTGCCAAGTATCATCAGCCCGGACGCGGGCAGAGGGGTATCAAGGCGGAGGTGATGAAATTATTAATTTAATCATTAAATAGATCTATTTTTACATTGGGCTTTAGTAAAATACCATCTTTTATGAAGTGAAATGTTAAAAAATCATCTAGTAATGGATCTTTCCTCCAGCTGTTTACTTCTGTTTTTTTTTTTTTTTTTTTTTGGGGGGGGGGTCTGTCTATTTGGCTGACTGCGGGTGGGTGTTTTGATGTGCTCAGTGACCCTTCCGCCCTGTCTACCTGCGACATTCTCCAACAACAGTCTATTCCCATGGGGCACAGAAACTTTGGCGATGCACACATCGCTTCTATCTCACTTTGACATTTCCTCCTTTTTTTTTTTGCTTGTTTTTCGTGCATCAAGTTTTGCTTTCCAAAAAAAAAAAAAAAGGGAAAATGCACTATATCTGTATATATTTTTTAGACGTTTTTGTCCTTTTGATGAAATACTGCAATTGTCATTCTAACTGTTATCATCCAAACTGACATCCATCATCTCTCTCTTATTTTCTGCCGGTTTTTCCATTGTGTTGGACTCCTTGGTGAATTTACGGTAAGTGAAACACAGCTACTTGTCAACATAACTAAAAAAATATTTTGTCTTGCTTGGCTGGAAAACTTCAGTGTGCGTTAGATTGATTTTAAAGCACCATTTGCTGCCTTCAGGTCGGAATCCATAAATGGATCTTAACAGTTGCTGCTCGGCCAAGAATTGGAATATTATTATTTAATAATAACAATAATAATAATACATGCTTTCATGCAATATCTGAAACAAACTCAAAAGAGAAGGACATCATTTGCACAAAAGTTTTTTCATTATAATTTATTCCACAGCTTATATTTTTTCAGTTCTGCTTTGTCATTAGGCTAATGCGGCTATTTTCCTCTTTATAATGATTTTATGATTTTTATTTGTTTGATATATAGAAAAAATAAAATAAAACATGATTAGATTTTGTTTAAAAGTTGATTCGATGTGTTCGAAGGCTTGTGTAGGTATTATTTCTCAGTGAAAAATGAATTTCATTAGCAGTGATTCCCTCTTATCTTCTAGGGTAAAAAGGCTAACATAAATCAGGCTTGATGTTCTATCCTATTAAATGCATTCCCACAGCATTTTGCTACCACTACCATGTTGCACTACAGGAATGGCTATGTGTGGAGTTTACTTCTAACCATGCATATTGTTTTGATAGTTTTCCATTACATCTAAATGCAAAAAACACTTTTCAGATTGACTGTGGGTAAAAAAAAGTTTGTGTTTTTCCTCCATTGTAGTTATAGGATACTTAAAGTTGTCCAAATATCACATTGATGTATGCACTTTTAAGATGAGAAAATGTGAAAAAAAAGAAGAGAAGCTCTTAATGTCGTCGTTCATGGAACATAACTTAATTTCCTTTGACCAAATCTGCCATAACAAGCCCTCTTTGTCTTCTTAGCCCCTGCAGCTACCCTGCAGTGAACCGTTACTCCTCGTCCTCCCTTTCATCTCAAGCCTCCAACGAAGTCAGTAACATCACCGGGCAGTCGGAGAGCTCAGATGAAGTCTTTAACATGCAGGTAATCTCTCGCCTTTAAACACACATACAAGCAGACTCTTATGCACTACCCACACACCCCAGAAAAAGGTTCTTTAAGTAGTAGATTGAGTCCACATCCCAACATTTGCCTTCCTGCTCCAACATGCTCAACTCGTATCACTTTTCTTTTCTAATCCCTCCTTGCTCCATTCCGTCCTAATTTTTTTTTCTCTCCTCCGACCCTTTTTCTCACTATCATGCCGTCTTTCATGTCCAGGACTCAGTCCGGCCAAACAAATTGTCATGATTATATCAATTCAGGACACGGTGCTTTGTGCAGGCCGTCCAGGGAGCCTGCCTGAGTCTAATCTAAACTAGATTTGCCCAATTCAAAGAGCTGTCGACAACTCTTGGCAAGCTGTCTGCCGCACCTGGCAGGCCTGGAGTAATAGTAGAAGAGGCGAAACACGGAGAAAAAGGCTGCTGTCAGGAATCTGACTAAGTCAGTTTGGATAATAGATTTGGATATTAAATCTTTCATTTCCTGTTAATTAACTATTTACTTAAGGATGGAAACCAGTAATAGAGTTCATTAAGAACTTCCATTGAACATCTTTATTTTTGTTCTCAGATTTATTTGGTAATTGACACTAGTAGTATCAGACAACAACCAAAGCACCTTATGTAGATTGAAGCCCAAAAGTATTGGTCCTTTTTAAAGATTTCGCATTACCACAAAGTTTGCTTTTGCTTGGCTATTTAACAGACATCTCTCAAAAGATAATAAAACAAAGATTTGAAGAAATTCTTCAATCACATATCAATCACTATAGCAGATGACTTCAACACTTTTTCTAATATTGCTCAGGTAAATAAATGGTGAATAAATGTCTCCAAATAAACAACAGCTGCTTGTTTTGGTGGATCAGATCTCATTAAATTTCCAAAGTGTGCAAAGGGTATGATTAAATACAAATAAATATACTGTTAAAAGGTGATGCCCTATGTTAACTATAAACTAGTTCATGTTGTTTGCAAATGACATAAACTAAAAGTAGAAATAAAAAAAGCAGTTTTGTTTTTGTTTCAGTTTACCACAAATTTTCAATCCCTTCATTTTGCTGACCTTCATGTCTTAAATAAAGCAAGATATTTTTTCCAAGAAGCAAAGGTACTTCTGAGTAATATTAACAGTGCTGATAGTGTAAATTGCAAGTAGAAGCTCAATATTTTAGATAAGATTTATACTTTATGAAAGGTGCCGTGAAAATGTGTCTGTATTGGCAGTAATAAAAAATGTTTTTTCTTCAAGGTGATAGTTAGCAATGCTTACCTCTCTGACGGCGCTTTATTCATCTCTACAATTAAACATGAATCTATTATGCTAAGAATATGTGACATTAATTGTACTCTGTTACACCTTCCTGTTATCTCTATAGTCCCGCTTTATGCAGGAGACATGCCTACAAAATAATTTTTAGGAGCTTTGTATAGATTTTATGCATCATCTTTCATGACATCTCTTTCATAGTAAAATAAAATAATCAAAAAGCTAAGTAATCTTCTCTCAGTAACAACTTTCACCCCAAAGAGTGTCGTCAATAGTGCTAACTAGGCTTCATTATGGAGCATTTTATAGCAAAGTTTTCAAGCGTCCGATCCCGGTCGTCAACCCATTTTCATCTACGTGGCTGGTTTGTTTATGCGTTGCAGTAACTGAATTTTTGCTTGAAAAAAAATCCTCAAATTCCTTTATAGATTCAGTTATTTTTACACCAAAAATAGTTCCTAGACAAAAAGAAATTGTGTTAAAGTATTTGCTATAAAGCGTTAAAAAGCTATATGTTGGCAGATCAAATTTTATTAAGATCATCAGCAAAAAATAAATCTATTGTACCCTTTACCCAGATTATTGAAGTGAAAAGAATACTGTTTAAAGTCAGCTACCTTATTTTAAAGCAAGCTCATTTATCCTTTGGTAAATGGAAAATGATTTTAATATTTTGTTTATTTAACAAAAATGTACATAATGTTGTCTTCTCCACCTGCAGCCCAGTCCATCTACCTCGAGTTTAAGCTCCAACCATTCTGCCTCCCCGAATGTCACCAGCTCAGCCCCTTCCAGTGCCAGAGGTGAGATTGCTTCTTAAAAAAAATAAATAAATCAGCATTTCCGACTCTTATCCAGTTGATTTAAATGGAGTGTTGCTTGTTAGAAAGGGCGCACTTTCGACCTTACAGTGGAGTGGTGGGATCCCGTCTGATAAGGTTAAAATCTAGCTAAAGAGTCTCAAAGAGAATGTTGAAAAGTAAGCAAGCCGAGAAAACGAAAAACAAAGAGAATACGGAATGGAGATATATAAATAAATCAGCTGAGAGAAATGGTGTCGAAGGGAACTCAAAGAGCCAGCAAAAACGTGCAACAATGTAAGAGAGAATAAGAGATTTTTAGAACTGAGCTGACTATTCCCGTATAAAAAGCCCCGACCAGGCCGGCCGCAGTTATCCAAACCTCCTCCGCTGTGCAGAGTGAATAGCTAATGCCTCATCCTGCCGCCCTCTCAATCCAGTGTGTTTGAATGTGTAAATGTGTTTCTCCCTGATCCCCATCATAAAAAGCGAGAATATATGAAGACGTTTATGGAACCGTATGCACTCCCCTTTGGCAAGCTCCTGACAGCGGGCGGCGCCCTTATAAAAGTGCCCTCTGTCTACCCATAAAGCGTGCGAAGAATTATTGCCTCTGTGGTGCTACCTGAAGGAGAGCCAGCAAATGCGATCTTATATTCATATGATAGCCCTCCAAGTGCTGTCAAGTTGGCTAATGGTTCAAGATTCATGCAGCAGCTGCTGAGAGGAAGGGCAGCGTTTGTGAAGAATTTGCACGGTTGGTTTTTGCACCTATCTATCGTATCGCGTTACATATGTAAGCGTGTCTGGCTGTTGTGATTGTCCCTTGTAATGGAGGAGGCAAGGGAGTGAAGTTAGAGGGGAGTGAGGAGGATGTGTGAGTGTGGGTGTGCGAAGGAGGGGTCAGGCCATTTATCATGTTGTAGAGCTAGTGAGGCTGAAAGGACGGCGAAGAGAGAAGCTTGGAGGGAGAAAGAGAGATTGGCCTTTCCTGATTGCCAGTATTTGCGGGTAATAGCCTAACACCTTGCTCCCTGTTTGGTCCAGCACATGTTTGCTCTTCCCGTGTGTGTGCGTGTGTCAGAGCTCTAACATATCCTTCTGTTCATTTCAGGTTCGCCTCAAATGGCAGAGAAACACAAGCATTCCAGAGAAAATGCCTGCTTATCTCCGAGAGAGAGACCGGTCAGTGCCATCTTCCCCAACCCCCATGATCCTGTACAGGTTGGCAAATACAAAATTCTTATTTTTTTATTGGATTAAAGGTATAGTGGAGGATGTTCTTTTTCTGGGTGGATCATCAAAATAAGTAGTTCTCCTAATTGTCAATCATTCTGGTTATATGTTTACATAAGGCTCTCCTATGTGCTTGTCCCCATTTTTACTTGCCGGTAGTGAGTCTGACATAGTGGATAAATTGCAAATCTTCTTTGGAAAGTAAGCTTATATGAGTGATTGCATTGGTGACACTTTTAAACAGAGCGCACATGAGGAGAAATGGGTTTGTGCATGCTTTCACACATGTTTAATAGGGCGTTCCCTCTCAGGAGCGGGTACAGGGTTGTGTATGTGCATTATTTTAAAGCGGAGAGAGCAGGTCTTTTAAAAAAAACCGTGAAAATCCTCCACTATACCTTTAAGCTAATCTAACTGAGGAAAACAGCTTTGACTTTGGTGCAACACCAGTAGAGTACATTAGATCAAATTAAACTCTTTTTAAGTAAAAAAAAACAACAGTATTAATAATAAAAAAATGACTGAAACAAAGTATGAATTCTTTAGCAGAGTTTGTGCTTCCATCTGTAGCAATAAGTCAGGTTTCAGGGTCATTATTTAACAGAAACAATATGAGTCATGAGTAAGATACAGCGCATGCCACTTTTACCTTTCCAAATGTAGCTTTTTGAAGATTGACTGGTGATGCTACCAGTCTGCTTGATTTTCAAACAGCCAATTTAGCTAAAAAGGCGGGGGAAAAAACTGCATGAGGCTTCTTTCAACCAGCTAATCAGCAATCAACTGCAACAGATTAAGCTAATCTACTTTATACAATCTGCTTTGATACACCTGGACTCATTATTGTTTCTGTGGCATTATTCACATTCTGAATTATTCCAAAGTTTCAATAGAAAATATTAGTAGATTTAAAAGAAATTGTGTTAAATGAGCCGCAGATTATAATGAAAGCATGGGGGCCTGCAACCTCAGACTTTTAGCTCATAATGAATGGCCACAGTACCTATGAGAACTGCACAGATATTTTGATTGATAATTGAGAAAGACATGGTTATTTTTAAGATACCAGTTTTTAATTTGTTTAAAAATATTTTTTACTTCTGTCCAGTTTCAAGTGTTTTCTTAGTAAGAATATCTAAAAAATTATTGATGGTAAATAATTGTAGAACTCAATTTGCCAGAGTTATGAATAAATTGGGATGCAGACATAGCTTAATAACAGTTAGTTAGCTGATAACTGGTCACACAATGAATTCAACACTTTTGTTTTTCACAGAAATTTTAGAAGACAACATAAAAAAAATTATTATAAAAAGGCCAAAATTGTCTTTGTCAGTTATTCGGTTAGTTATATTTTTCCATTTTGGACTAATTTCCTACATAGCAATACATGAAGAACTGGGACAGCAAGTTAAAATATGATAAATGGAAGGAATATTTATTGCTCACCTTTTAACTAATTGTCAGTCCTCAATGCAATCATTCAGATGAGTTTTTTCATGACTTTATGGCCTTTTTATAACACAGACAAGGATTACTAGAGCTCAACAAATAGTAAGTCTGTCAGAATAATATTATGATAGAATGTTAAAAGTGTCTGCATTCAATTTTTTATGGTAGCTGTAATGGTTTTTATATGACAAGGGGGTGAAATAAAAGACGACAACCTTGAAAGAAGAGCAATTTCTTGCATTTCTGCTCCACCCCTCTGATATGTTTAATGAGCTTCTGTTAAGTTTTGCTTTTTTTAATCAAAGTCAGCAAAGGTGCGACTGGACCACAAAGTCAAATTAGGAAGCAGATCCATAGTTATCCAGCACTCTTTGAAGCAAATCTTGAGTTTATAACAACTTCTGTACCCAATGAGGTGCATACTCTGGCAAAAAACAAGGTCACCTTTTTAATGTACAATACATCTCAATGGGTGACTTCTATGTAGGAGACAAAAATGGTGTAAGGCCATTTTGTCGCTGAGAGGTGCAATTTTTCAAGAGCACTAGACGGTACTTGTGTTTTTGTTAAACATTAGCTCGCCCCTATTCGAGCCTCAGGGGAGAAAAAGGGAAAGTCCTGTACATCAAACCAGTGTTAACACGAAAACAAGAGGTTATGGAAACTGCTTGATATTGTAATTGCTTTCCTAGTTGAAGGACAGAATGTAACCCGACCACACAATCAGTCCGCAGACAAATCTCTGATAACGGAAGCCTTATCTGTTTACTGTTGAAGGCCATTCATCTCTTGCAGTCGCAGCTTCATATGAAGTTAACCTCTTTTTTCACCCTGTTTATGTTTAATTCTATAGAGGGAATATTACAGATGACTCAAATACTACAAAACATTTTTATTAATTGATTAATCTGGCTTCTGCAAAGATTGTTTAGCGAGATTCTTATTTTTGTTTTCCTTATTTAAACAATTATAGACACAATTTTTTTATGATATCTACCAGATTCTCTTCAAATGTCTTTCATTGGTAGAAAACGTTTTGGTATTAATATGTATATTATTCTTTTTAGACATGCATGCATCTTGTGACATTATAAATCGGTTATTTTAATTATGTTTGTTTGCATTTTTCTTGGAATCAACGGCATTGATTTGCATTTTATCTATATTATAAAACCAATAAAAACTGATTGGCTTTATGCTTGTGTTTAGGGTGATGATCATGAACAAAAATACAGAACTGAATTTAAGTGTTTGGGTTTTTTTTCAGTTAAATCGTTTTTTTTTTTTTTTTTTTTTTTTTTCTATAAATCAGCTATTTTTTTATTATCATTTTATTCATTTTTATTGTTTGATACAACATAACGAAAGTTCTTTGTGCATGTGGTGCGGTCAGGTTGATGCTACAGTGTAACTGCAAATGTCTTAATGAATTCTGAGTTCAGTTGAAAAATGAGAGAAATGTTTAAGTATATGATAAATAAATAAATAAATAAATAAATAAATAAATAAATAAATAAATAAATAAATAAATAAATAAAACAAGTTGTGCTCAGGGCTATGTACAATCCGTGTTCCGTTCTGTAAAAAAACAAAAAAAAAAACATAAGATTGAAAGAGAAATTGTGAACTTTACATTTGTTTCTTACCCCACTCCACTGTTGTTGTTCTGTTCTGGTCCTTATAAGAGCTTAAATAGCACAGCTCCGGTGTGTTTTTCATAAGTTTATTTAGAATTTGTTATTTCCTCTTTCTGTAGCGAGCTCCTACTCACCAGATAGGAGACACAACTCTACCCAGGAGTGACCCCAACCTCTCTGCACCAGATAAAGGTACATTCTCAACGCTGCACATCTATTATTCTTCCTACTTGCACGGAGAACTGCTGACTCAGCAATCAGAAACACAACAAAATGACTCTTCCATGGAATATCTATTATTTTATGTCTAAGGGAAAAACCCTTCCATTCATTAATCCCTTATTTGTGTCCATTTATCCTAATCCCCAAGGAGAAATTGCTCCCATCAGCGTTATTATGCAGAGCTCCAGAGCAGACAGCTCCTTAGACTCTCCTCTATGCATACTCTCCTGTCCAGGGTGTCAGCCATCTTGCTTATTTATGCAGTGTGTACCTTTCTCACCACACACTGTGGAGAAGCATTTGTTTTCTGGCAGCTGCTGCAGAGAGCTCCATAGAAGCTTGCTCTAAAAACATAAACGGAGCAGAAATGAATCTATTGTGTTCTCATGACCTTTACAGAAAGCCAATTTTTTTGTAAAGCCATGACTGCACATTTGCCATTCTAGCTAGATCCAAGTTTTCTCATAAAACCGTAATTGACATCATTTAGATTAGTTGTTTTTATATTGGATTTGTTTCAGATTGCGAGACAAAAACTTTTATCAAAAAACCACTGAATAAAAAATACAAAAAAACTGTAAAAATATGCATTTCTAGCTTGTTTTTGGGGATTTTTTCTTTAAATTCTTTTCATTTGTACATAACTCAATACATAAACTAATATCAACTCTTAAAATAAACAGTTTCTGCTATATCCTAAATGGTTCAAACAAGCTTGGTTCAAATGGTTCAAAAATTTTGGACCTTAATGAGATTTGAACATGTCTAGGAACATTAAGCTAGGACCAAAAACATGTAATTTTCAATGCTTAACCTGCCATAAAAAGGTGAGTTTAAAAATGATGTCCACAAAGCTCCTTTCTTTAAACTTCTCTAAAGCAAAGATAGCATACTTCAAAAGTAAGACCATCAGAATTTTAGTCAGACAATGGTTCACTGATTTTAGCTCCTCTAAATAGTGATTACCTTCCCGACTTAAATGTATTACATAGTGGTAGGCAATGATTGATTTTTTTATAATCTAGATTAATCTCACTTTAATCTTGGATTTAAATCTAAATTCATCTATATTTAAATCGCTCCTTTGGATTCTGTCAAAGGCATTCATGATATGTGTGCTTCCTCCAGAATTTATAAGCAAACATTTCCTTTTTTAATTATGTTTGCAAAATCAAACGTAATTTCATCTTCGTGCTTAAGATTAGGACAAAGCTATAAATAATTTTTTTGCTAATTTTTTGTGTTTTTGCAGCAAAAAATAGAGTTTCCCACTTCCAATTATAGATTTTCCACTTTAACAATACAGGTGCTGGTCATAAAATTAGAATATCATGAAAAAGTAGATTGATTTCAGTAATTCCATTTAAAAAGTGAAACTTGTATATTATATTCATACATTACATACAAACTCATATATTTCAGATGTTTATTTTGTTTAATTTTGATGATTACAAATGACAACAAATGAAAATCTCAAATTCATCATATCAGAAAATTAGAATATTACTGAAGACCAATAAAAACAAAGGATTTATAGAAATGTTGGCCAACTGAAAAGTATGAACATGAAAAGTATGAGCATGTACAGCACTCAGTATTTAGTTGGGCCTCCTTTGGCCTGTATTACTGCAGCAATGCGGCGTGGCATGGAGTCGATCAGTCTGTGGCACTGCTCAGGTGTTATGATAGCCCAGGTTGCTCTAATAGTGGCTTTTAGCTCTTCTGAATTGTTGGGTCTGGTGTATTGCATCTTCTTCTTCACAATACCCCATAGATTTTCTATGGGGTTAAGGTCAGGAGAGTTTGCTGGCCAATTAAGAACAGGGATACCATGGTCCTTCAACCAGGTACTGGTAGCTTTGGCACTGTGTGCAGGTGCCAAGTCCTGTTGGAAAATGAAATCTGCATCTCCAAAAAGTTGGTCAGCTGCAGGAAGCATGAAGTGCTCTAAAACTTCCTGGTATGTGGCTGCGTTGACCCTGGACCTCAGAAAACACAATGGACCAACACCAGCAGATGACATGGCACCCCAAACCATCACTGACTGTGGAAACTTTACACTGGACTTCAAGCAACGTGGATGAAGTGCCTCTCTTCTTTTCCTCCAGACTCTGGGACCTTGATTTCCAAAGGAAATGCAAAATTTACTTTCATCAGAGAACATGACTTTGGACCACTCACCAGCAGTCCAGTCCTGTTTCTCTTTAGCCCAGGCAAGACGCTTCTGACGCTGTCTGTGGTTCAAGAGTGGCTTGACACAAGGAATGCGACAGCAGAAACCCATGTCTTTCATACGTCTGTGTGTGGTGGTTCTTGAAGCACTCACTCCAGCTGCAGTCCACTCTTTGTGAATCTCCTCCACATTTTTGAATGGGTTTTGTTTCACAATCCTCTCCAGGGTGCGGTTATCTCTCTTGCTTGTACACTTTTTTCGACCACATCTTTTCCTTCCCTTCGCCTCTCTATTAATGTGCTTGGACACTGAGCTCTGTGAACAGCCAGCCTCTTTAGCGATGACCTTTTGTGTCTTGCCCTCCTTGTGCAAGGTGTCGATGGTCGTCTTTTGGACAACTGTCAAGTCAGCAGTCTTCCCCATGATTGTGTAGCCTATAGAACTAGACTGAAAGACCATTTAAAGGCTTTTGCAGGTGGTTTGAGTTAATTAGCTGATTAGAGTGTGGCACCAGGGGCCATCAATTTTGAACCTTTTCACAATATTCTAATTTTCTGATATGATGAATTTGAGATTTTCATTTGTTGTCATTTGTAATCATCAAAATTAAACAAAATAAACATCTGAAATATATGAGTTTGTATGTAATGTATGAATATAATATACAAGTTTCACTTTTTAAATGGAATTACTGAAATCAATCTACTTTTTCATGATATTCTAATTTTATGACCAGCACCTGTATATTGTCTCCAAAAATCTGACACACGTCGCCTTGATCAACTTCTCATCCTTCACGGCTTTCTCCGTGGCATGCTGGTCATGTATTCTCCTAATGATAGTTCACCTCGCAGGTAGTTTCTAAGATGGGTCACCTGTGGCCACCTGGAGAATGAGCTCAAGCTGGCAGCTTGTGGCTGTCCACCGAGCGAGGAGATTAGTTAGCTATGCTGATAGAGATGGGCTTATAGCGGCATCCATGGCAGCACGTCACGTTCGATGTGGTAATTTCAAAGTATCCCTACACAGGTTGGAATATTGATTGGTTCTCGACACCAGATATGCATCCCCGCTAAAAGATCAAGGAGAAGGTTATCATTAGTATAGACCCAGCTCTGTTTTTTTATCGCCTGAGAAGAGTCTGGAATTAAAACAGAGCGTTAACGCCTATAACGGCCCACCACTAGTATTATACAAAAAACGTAATCATTCTTTTAATAAGCAATAGTACTTGTATCATTGAGAAACCACTTATGCATCTTAGCTAGGAAAGAAAAGCTAACTAAACTATTTTAAGTCTCAGAGAATGAAATAACTTCTTGTTTTAAGGTATTGGAATCCATTAGGGTTATAAATTTTAGCTGATTTCTGCCACATATCATCCTATTCCTTCTCCTGCCAATAAGTGCATTCCTAAGATATACAGTATCATATGGAAACTGATTTTTATGTTTTCCCCCTCTTATTGAAAATATATTACGATTATAATGGATAAGAGGCTTGGCAGGGATACTGATATAGAAATTAAAATAAGTTTTTGGAAAATGTGTTCTTCTCTTTATTTTAACTTTTAAGCCAGAGACAATACTTCCACCATTTCTGAAGCAGGTTAAACAACTGGTCCATAAGAGGAGAGGCTTTGTTTTTTATATATATATGTTGTTTTTTTTCCTCACATCTTAATGTTTTATTATGATAAAGCATGAAAAAAACAACCTTTTTTTCTAAACTGTTAAGAAGGTTTTACAAGTCTGTTAAATGAGTTCCTCCTCTACCAGCTCAGTGGTCGTAAAGACAATTATCCACATAATTGCTAAAATCCAACAACTCCTTCCAGTTTTCTTAATCCACCTCTCAATAAGCTTTCTCACCTCCGTGTTTTTGTGCAATTAAAAAAGTAAACAACCGGCAACAATTTCACACTTTTGCCTCAGCGTAGGAACAATTACAGATGGTGGCAGATGACGCACCTTTAAATAAAGAGCGAGAAACATGGATGTGACAGCTTCCTCGCGACTCACAGGAAAACACACACCTTTCTCACATGAGCAGAGTGCGATCAGCAAATAATGCAGCAGGAGAAGGGTGCAGTAAATCCCTCACAATATGGTTATGTGAGCCTTCTGTACACACGACAATGAAAAAATAGAAAAAGGTGCAAGAATTTACACCAAACCTGTTTCTTTGGAAGTGCAACTTTTTAAACTTCTAATTATATCTTTGTGCTGTTAGAATTCAAACCCTTTTATGAAACAAAGCCTAAAAACTTCCACTGTCTTTTTCCAGGAATAATTGCATCTAAAGGAGTAACTAAATGTCAGCTATATAACTTACTGAACAGGGAAGAGAGCATACAAAGATATGAAAAAGAAAACAGAATAATCAAGCTGCCAAAATATCTTATCCTAGAACAAGATTGTGTTGATCCATTTTGGTTGACAGTGAGAAAACGGCCCATCAAATGTCCTGTGTCATTTTTTTTTCCCTTTTATTTTGAAGAATGTGAAGTTGCATCATTTCCACTCAGCTGCTCCTACTTCAAAAAAGCAAAAATCTATCTTGCATGATAACATTTTTGAGACGGTTCCTGTTGAACCCATCACCTGGGGCTAATGCAATTTGCTTTATCATAGCTGACACAGCTCTCTCTATGATTATTGAAGAGGGTTTGTTAAATGGGTAGAAAACCTTAAAGTATAGCTATTTTTTACTGCACGTGGCTTCGTCTCCTTTCATTAAAAACAAAATTAAAAATTCCTTTAATTTTTATATGTTTAATTATTGAAGAGACCCATTTCAGCGTGAAGAGCTGAGCTCCAGCTTCACCCCTCGATCTCCCTCTGGGTGGCAAAAGAGCCCTGCTGCTATTTTAAAAGATAGTGCAAAACCTTTTAAAATATCTGGAATGTGAATAAATAAAGTCTAAATATCAAAATGTTGTCATGCATACTAATACACACTAAGGTTTATAATGAAAGAGTTTATTTGGGTGTATGGATATAACAGTTAAAAGTCAGTAAGATAGAAATATGAACTAAAACAGTCAAATATATAATTTTGCACAAATTAATAGGTTTTATTATAAGTTAGGTCAGCTGGTAGCTACATTATGTTATGTGACGTCACCCATCTGGAGCTAGTAACTCCCCCTTGGCCACAACATCACAGCTGTGCAGCTAGGCAGCGTTCTCATCGGAATGGGTGGGGATGGTTGGCGGCACAAAGATAATTGATTTGAGAAAACACTTTGGGCCGATCTTCATAAGGTTTGTGTCTTAAAACAGGTGCAAACATATATGAATCTAAAGAGCAGATCCTTAAAGAAGGCGGAAAGTGATTGCATGTGTGCCTTTATCAATATGCAGATCATATGCTAATGACCTGACTGCACAAATTCATTGGTGGAGGATATGCCCACGTGTAAAACAATTTTCCTAAATCTGAAATTCCATTGCGGCTGCAGTTTTTGAGTATTTTTTAGTGCATCTAAATGTCTGGCGTAAACTTACGCACAAATATTTCTGCATTCATTGTGGAAATCAAGAAGGCGTTGTTACAATGCCAGACGATGGATAGAGATTCTGTACGTATGTAAACATATTTGGATGGTCACACGTAACAACACTAGAATGATATTAGTAAAGAATAATACATCTACAGCCAAAATCATTAATTAATGCAAAATCGTTAATTAATGCAATCAGATGCCATAAAAACTTTATTCAATTAAACCAAATTGAAATTAAAATATGACTGAAATGAAACATTCTGAGGCCAATCAAAAGAAAAGACAACTTTCAAAGGTTCTGTTTCATTTTTTTTTTTAAGTTTAACATCATTTTTGTAATTTTATTTTTTTCTTTTCATTGCAATTTCTGTAAAGTGCACTGTAAATGTTATTTAGTATCACTAATTTTCATCCAACTAAAGAACCTAGAATCTCATACATTCTTTTAGGAAAGGTTTTGGTTTGCACATTGTAAGCAATCTTTATAGATTAAATGCTTATTACAAATACTAAAAAATATTATACATGCAGCTTAACAGCCCTTATTATGAAACTTTTAAGAAAAAGCCCTTAATTGGAAAATATTTTTTACAGAAAGTAAAATGATAAGTAAATAAATCTAAAAACAAGAAGTAAATAAATCTGGAATATTGGAGCCTGTAGAGTCCAACTTTAATGGTCAGTAGTAACTTTAATTTCCCAAATGGTAAACTGATGTGCAGTATGTCCACTCAAAAATTGAAGGTAGATCCAATGTACACTAACAAGTTGTTTTGGAAGGCTTGCTGTTTTCTGTCTTACTGAACATGTGGACATAGCCAAGCAGTACAACGTTTAGCTGGAGTCTCTTTCTTTGGTCATAAGAGACTAATATTATACTTTTTGGCAAAAAAAAGACCAAAAACACTAAAAATTGCATGTTATAGTGCCTCCTATGGCTCTGATAACCTTTTACAACACCTGCCATTATGCATGCTTTAAGATCCTGAGGTATTTTAAATGAAAACACTGAACTGAGCTGAAAGGAAAAGATCCAAAATATATGGCCAAGTCGATGTAGAGGTAGTACACTGGACACAAAAACAGCTTTCTTTCATAGCCATTTTAAATAAAACCTGTATTTGACCAGAAGAGTCGACCAAAAAGTCTGGATAATCTATAGAGATTAAGAAAAGAGAATTTCTTCTTTTTTCTCCTACTGAATAAATGTACCCAATCTAAAGGTTAGACTTTTCTAAATGTTTCAAAATGTGAGCTGAAACCACTGTGATAGCAGCTGAATTTTCTTCAATACTTTTTTTTTTCCATATCTCTCTTACGAAAGTGCCAAGAAGTGTAAAGGCTGATTTAAACTCAGAAACTATTGACACGTTCTTCAGCATGTCTGCATCAATAGAAAATGTCCATATTTCATCTGTATATTGTGTTTTTGTTGCATGCAAATCCATCATGTGATATTGTGGTGTTTCTGTGTGCTGTGAAGTGAGACCCACTCCCAGTAGCTGGAGCCTAGACAGTGCCAGAGAGCGTGCACCATGCTTCTCTGACAATGTCAGCAAATCCATATGCCCTCCTGTACCTCCCAGGCCACCATACCAAGGTAAAATGTCCAATCATGGTGAACTCCCCTCTGATGAATTGTACTAATTTTTCCATCTGGCTTTTGAACACCTGCTGCCCTCGATGGCTCTCCTTTCTGGTTTCCTGTCTACCTTCTACTACAGTCTACAGCTCTCTCTATTCTGACTGGCTTCAAATTCTGATCATATTTGTTGTGAAATGTGTCTGCTTAGCTTACTTAAGTTATTTATTTTTATAAAATGTGGTCGATCATTTGGTTTCATCTGTAAATAAGAAGTCTAAAATGTAAATAACTCTTTGAGCTAATGAGAGAGGGGCATTAAAATGTGTTAAAATGCATTTAACGTCAGTGTTTTCAGATGTAGTGTAGTTACCCAAGAGCATCAGCAGCAGATGGAGTATCTTTTCTTCTCCATGGTGCAAGAACAGCTGTTGGGAGTAGAATCAGCTTATGGCAGTCCAAAAGACCTGCACAACAGCCGTGCTACATGATTTCACTGATGCTTTCAGCTCAAGGCCTCTGCTTCCTTTCTTCTTGTTGCCTGACTTCATATTGTGTTTTCTCACCAAGTGAAAGCAACGTCCCTCTTATTTTGTCCGTTCTCTGATTTATTTTTTATTTTTTTTGGATCCACAGTTTCCTTGGCTAAAAACGCAAGGTCGCAGTCCCCAGGTCCGATGTCCAGATCGCCGCAAAAGGTTGGTCCTTGGTTTTGTTCATTCTGGAAACGGTCATTATCCGTCTCTGTGTCTAACGTAAGACAGAGGGGGCTTGCATTAATGCTCACTGGAGCTCCTCTGCTGCTGATTTAGGGCGTAATATGTCAGCTGTCCCAAGAAGGTCCCAAAACGGGATTGGCCTGCGGGCATTCATTGTAATACCTGAATATATTCTGTTCCATAGGGATGTCATCTGTTCACTGAAACATATGAAAACCGACATGGATTTATTAGGCTTCTCTACTGAAGCTTTTTAAATAATTTATAGTGCTTTCAAAGAAAGAAATCCTACCCCTTGAATTGTTTTGCAATTCTTAACATTGGTGCTACACTGCACCATATTTTAATCAGAATTTTTATTTTTTTTGTGAGACCAACAGAAAATAATCAATAATTTTAAAGTCTGAGGACTTTTATGATTTTTTTTTTATTTGTCTGTTCATTCAATATTTTTACTGCATTTATAGTTGAGTCTCTTGGGCTATGTCTTTACCACCTTTTTATGACATTTTTAAGAACTTATTGGTTTAATAGTTCAGGCTCAGTCAGATTTGATGGAGCAAATTAAATTAAATTCAGTTTATTTATAAAGAACCAAATGATAAAGAATGTCATCTTTAGGCACTTTACAGAGAATATTAAACCAGATCACACAGTCAAACTGATTAAAAGTTTTCTACCTAAGAAAAACCAGCTGATTGAATCGACTCATTGACTCAAAGGCAATCCCTCACACTAAGCATGCTTGTAGTGACAGTGGAGAGGAAAAAGTCATTTTTAACAGGAAGAGACCTCCAGCAGAACCAGGCTCAGTGTGAGCGGACATCTGCCAAGGCCGACTAGGGTTCAAGGAGATCTATTCAAATAGGTGAATTAACATTTTTCACACTTGCCTCTACTGACTGGGCTGTTCCAACTCTGAATATGCTCTGATTTAATCCAACTCTATTGTAGCACTGGCTTTATATTTATCATGGTCGTCCAGGTAGAAATAAAACCTCAACCATGATCTTAAAACAGTTTTAAACAATTTTTTTTTGGCTGGACATTAGCCACTTTCCCTTTAACCATCAAACACTGCAAATTGTAATTACATAAATAAATTATCTACAGTAAACAGAAAAACTACAATTTCGAAAAAATTGGCGTTTTTCTTTAAAAAGTATTTTTTGCTTCAATGAGGTGGGTTTTTTATTAGACGTATCGAAAATCTTATTTCTGTACAAATCCATTGGAAACACTTTGTTTTTCGCATCACACAAGTGACATGATTTGCAAACTGGACCTTACTGCCTTGTAAAAAGACGAAGAAAAAGACCGGAAATAGTTTGAGGATGATCGTGCCTTCTGGAGCCGAGGCGGAAATATTGATAGATCTCATGCGTTTACATCCGCTGCTGCCATTTTTGTTTTCGCTAGTTATCGCATTAAACAAGGCATTCACATACACTTTAGTGTTTGTTCTGTAATGGAAATACAGCTATTGTAAAAAAAAAATGCATTTGACAAATCTTCTACATGAATTACAAAGAAATGGAGTCCACATTCAACAATAGTCATTTTTCAGTGGCCGGTGGTTAGCACGCATGACCCATTTACACTATGGAGGCCTCAGTCTTCGACGTGGAAGGATCGATCTGTGTTCAAATCCACACTGTGGTCCTTTGCCACATGTCTTTCCACCCCTCTTGTACCCCCTTTCACAACAGCCCACTTTACAATAAACAAGCAATTAGTGCTGTAAAAACTAAAAAAAAAAACAAAATGTAATTTTCTTGTCTGAATCATAATTATCCTTTAGACCGATTCTAAGCCCTTCATCTCTGCATCGCATCCAGAGACACCATGGGTATTCTATCTGCCAGCCAGTCACTCACCTGGACCTCCATCTAGTAAAGTTAAAGACACCTGAAGTTTGAAATTTTTCTGGTAAAATGCAGGGAAGATTATACTTGGGCTTAAAAAGTTCTGCAAGGCATTATAAATAAAAAAAGAGTTTGTTCTTAATGCAATGAGATCAGAGTAAGCTCCACTAAACGCTCCTTTCAGCATCTATCAGCAGAGGTGTTGAAACAAGGGTTTATATCTCTGAACTCGCCGTGGTTTTTTTTTTTTTCTTAACATTTATCTTCAGACAAACTGATTATTCTTGCTTTGAGTTCAGGGTCTTATTTATCATTAATGAGCTTCTTATTAGTTAATACCAGCCAGTCGAAGCAGCAGAGGTTTGGGGAAAGGTTAAGTAAGCACTGCGAGGGCTTCTAATGAGGGTAAAAAGTTGTTTTGAGAAAGAGCTGCGCTGTAGCTGGTCTCTGCCCTGCTGGATGTATCTTAAATTTATTTTTTTCTATAAACAGAGATAAGCTCCCAGCTTGGTTGCAGGTGTGATGTTTCCTCACGTGTGACAATAATTTTCCTGTGTTTCTGTCCTTAAAGTGTGAGTGACAGTTCAGCCCACACATTGTTCCTTCAGTTGGATTTGTGTGCAAAAAACCATGTGCACACCTGCCGGGTTTGTTTGTGAGCGAGTTTTGCTGCAGCAAAATGGAAAGCCTGGAGCGAAGCACCAAGCTGCCCATCACTGCACAGCACAACAGTCCAAACCTCTGGAGACCCCAAGCTGGGCTGCATTATCCAGCGCATGAGCGCACACACATCAAGAGGTTGCAACTAGGGGCCCATTACCAGCCTGCAAAACCCTAGGGCAGCAGTGAGACTACAGAAAATACATGCAGCAATTCTGTCAGGGCTACACTTTCTCAACTTTAGGAGCAGAAACAGTGTTTGGTCAAATGTTTTTTTTATTTTTTCAACAAAAAAGTAACAAGTTTATATTACTTATGAGTGTTATATTAAATCTATAAATTCTTATCAAGCTTGACCCAGCTGAGATGAGGTTTCTCCACCTGTGCATGTCAAATGGTTCCCTTTCTTTGTGCATGCCCTCTGGAGCATGAACTGCACTGATCAAGTTCATAGTACACTTAATCCAATTACCTTTTAGGAGACGCACTAGCAGCACAGTGTAATTGCGCAGAAACGCATTTTGAAGAATGCTCAGAGATGGGCAGCATTCTGTGTTTTTTCATAACTGAGCACCGGAACCATTAAAGGAATATAACAGCCTTGTCTTCTCTGGGAAAAACTACCAGATAAAGTACAGTCATTATAACTACGTAGGCAGAAGTAAAATGTTTTTCAAATGTACTGAGTAGCCTATGATTATTTTCATATGTGGAAAAAGCACCTCCAAATTACTCACATAATTTGTTAATGCTCCCTCAATAATGAAGTAACTTGATAGAATTATTAATTCAGTTCATTACATTGTTAAGCCTTTTAGTTTATTTAGTATTAACCAAGGCAGTTAAGCTATGCTTAAATTATGAAAATGAAGGTAGTTTTTTTTTTTTTCTAATTGGAGTTCTGTGGATTTTTAAATAGCAGTTGGCGTATTACCCGCAGTAGCAAGTGAAAGAGTGGCAAAAGGAGCAGTTTTTGAGGTAATAATAATTCCCATTTGCAGTTTGCCACAAACCAAGCAGAGGACATGGCAGATTTTTACAATACATACTGGAGGTGCACACCGGAAGTTGGTTATGCAGATAAATTATCATTTTTTTGTAAAATTATTTCGATTTAAAACATAAGGCAATTCAAAGTTTGAATTTATTCTCTGATTTTAAGCTTTTTAAGGGACCACAGTCGCTTAGGATGTAGGAGTTTGCTCTGAAATAGAAGGGTTGACGGTTCAAGCCCCAGGTACGTATTTCAGTGTCGTTGTGTCCTGGGGCAAGACACTTCACCTGCATTGTCTACTGGTGGTGGTCAGAGGGCCTGGTGGCGCCAGTGTACGGCTGCCTCGCTTCTGTCAGTGAGTCCATCAGTGTGTGAATGCGTGCGTGAATGACTGAATGTAGTGTAAATCTCTTTGGTCTAGTCCTCTGACTTGAAAAAGCGCTTTATAAGTACAGGCCATTCACTATTTTTTACTTAAATGATCCCTGACTGCTGTTTGCATAGATGTTTAAACATCTTTCTTTCTTTTTTCTTGATCGCCTGTATTTTTGCCCATTAAGTTCTGTTAAATGTAGAAAAAAAGATGATCACACTGGGAGTTAAATGGGAAATATAAACCTAAGGTCCATGACTTTTATACATAACCTAATGTATAGCCACTACTGAGGGCTACCTATAATCCTTACAAAGCTGGATGAGAAACCTGCGGTCAGTGGATATATGATTTCATTAAATTCCCAATTTGAACAACTTTCGGTTGCATTTCCTGCATTGATTAAAAAGTAGGGACACCCTCCCCCAATAAGGTAGAACTGTATTATGGAAATGTATCTAAAGCCTGGTGTATGCTTGATGCTTCTGCAAGGTCCGTGTGGCCAAATTACGTGACTTTAGAATCCCTCCATGCAGCATCTGCACAGCCTTTCCACCAAGCACCCCTAGGCAAATTTGTCTCTACATGGATAGTTCTGACGGAAAAACATGGTGGCCAAGTGAACAGTGAATGCATGCTGCAAAAGATGTGTTCCTCGCATTTCATTTGCCCACCAAACATATGTGGATAAATTATAACCTAGTCTTACATCGACAGGAACACTGGTAGTTGCTAGGACATTGGTGCTCAGTTAGGCTGAGCATGGGGGCAAAACTGTCCAAAGCTGCAGTCGGCTCAGAGCTCCTACTTCCAGTAGGACAGCAGGAGAAAATAGCCGGAGCTGCAACAAAATGCTTGGATTTCAGAGTATTTAGTATTGGCAAGTAAAAGTCCTCAGTCCATTTGAGAATACATGGCAAGACCTAAAAATGTGATAATCAGCCAGTCTGACTCAGCAAAAAATGAGCTACAATTGTAGTCTGTAAATGCAAAAAACAATTAAAAAACATTTAGCAATCTCATAGAATGTATTATCATATTAGCTCAGATCTTGTCTTTAGACAGAAGTGGCATCTTGTGCAACTCAAAAGTGCCATTATGTAAAAGAGGGGCTAACTATTTAACTGCTATGGCAGGTTTTAGTCTGAGATCCTCTAAATCAGAGGTCACGGATTAGGGACCGCGGTCCTGATCCGAATCCATAGCCTGATTTAAAACATGTATAAATTACCACATGATGTCCGACGGCAGTGTCTAATTTCACTTGGGTCACTTGTATGGTAAAGCCCTCTGGGACCAGGCTGCACGTGATACACATTAGCCAATGAGCTGTGTCAGTCAGGGCTGTTGTTGCTTGCTTATTTTATACACAGCAGGCAAAGCTCTGGCAAGCCAGGCTGTGGGTAACGATGATGAGAAAATGTGAAAGAAAGTGTAGACTGCTGGAAGAAACGTGGTGAACTGGTGACAGAAAAGTGCAATGGCGTGCTCAGAGATGACCCTGCACATTTTGAGTATGTTTGGCTCAACCTCCTGCTGTGGAGCAGGATTCTCCACCATGAACAAAATTTAAAAATAAATATCGATACAGGCTCATAATGAGCACCTTGATATGTGCTTGAGATTGGCTTTGTCGCCAATCAGACCCAGGTTTAAAACCTTGCAGGTCAGCCTTAAGCCCACTGCTCTCATTAAGCCAAAAAAACAAAAACAAACGGTCAGTTCAGGTGTTTTAAAAAATATGTGAATCCGGAAATTGTCTATATACCAAACTGAAAGATTGTTGTTCTCTACTTCAAAAAACACTTTAGATTTTAAAATGGAAAAATGTTTCCAGACTTTTACTGGTTGTTTGTTTTCTTTATTCGGACTCTGATTTTGAATTGGTTACCCCTGCTGTAGGTGCTCTGCTAGTAGGTCGATGACTTGAGGCAACGGTTGTGATTCATAAGCATCTAGGAATGAAATTTAAATGGCTTTGATTCAGTTTATATGAGGCTATTACATTGATTTTTCCTGCTGTATATACAAAGTTTCTGCTTTAAAATACTCTGGGACAACATTTTGTTGTGAATTTGTGTTTGGTATTGTATATTTACTCAAGTCTACAAAACAGTCATTAAAAAGAAAGCATATTAATCTATCTTCAAATCAATCAAACAGAACAGCAATGTTCAGAGCATTATGTTTCAGGAATAAGATTTAAGTTGTTTGCAAAAGAAAACTTCATTCTAAAGAGGAAAGAAACAAACTCATGAATAAATCAACCGCGAGTTCACCTTACAATAGAAGGTCATAGATTTTATTTTTACAAAGAGCTCCTTTTCTTCCAATCCAGCTTCACTGATGCATATTGAACAAAGATGAACAACCTTCATTGGAAGGCAGTTTATGCATCATATTTTTAGACTCATAAAAAAAGGAAAAAAAAAAACTTTTTCTATGTTCTCATGATGGCTAATACACTGTTACTGGTAAAAAAAAAAGCCACCATATTTAACAGCAATAGACTGTGTTTGGATGATTTGCCAAATATCCTGATGAGGTATGTTTGTTATTAGATAAGATAGGAATAAAGCAGTATAGAAATCTATTTATTTATATAATTCCCAAACACATAGGGGGGGATAAAGATGCTAAATGAGCATTTCACATTTTTAGCTGTTAATGCAGTCTGAAAATAGCTTTAAATAAACAGTTTTGTGAGTCACAGCTGTGTATAGGGATTGATTTTATGTAAACCTACAGTCCATGCAGGAATTGATATGCTATCCATTGTTCTTATTTCATAGACCACCATGCCACCCTTCACTCCTTCTCCCACTGAGTGCCAGTCCACCAGCTTGGTCTCCAACTCCCCAGTGCTATCTGGCAGCTACAGCAGTGGCATCTCCTCCCTGAGCCGCTGCAGCGTGTCGGAGGCCTCCGGCACTGAGCTGCCCGCCGGCGACCACCCACCCCACCCTTTGCCACCGCCAACTCCCCTTCCAAACTCCATCTCCAGCAGCTCAGATGAGCCCATCCGCAGAGAGAATAAGACCCCTCCTCCCTACAGTGTGTATGAGAGAAACAACCCCCGGCGCCCCGTGCCGCTTCCTCACAGCCTCTCCATCCCACCCCAGACAGACCCCCCAGCCCTGCCGCCAAAACCTCACCAGCTCCGAACAGGCAGCATGAAGCTGGACGGGAATGCTGATCCTCGGGTGCCCAGACCAAGACCTCTTCCCAGGAAGGTGTCCCAACTATAGGTGTCTGTTTTTGGTAAAATAATACAACACACTGGCGTATTTTGCACTTTTCTACTAGGCACTCACTTTTTATGCGATTCACAGTTTGGCACTCCAGAAGCTCCAACAACAGAGGCAGACTTACCGTCTAACAGTCAGTTGGAAACTAACAAGACCGTAAAAATACCAGATAGAGTTTAGCTCTGCATTTACAAGAGGCTTTGACATTGACTTTAACCAGTCAGTCATAATATATGTTTACCCAAACATTCTAGAAATAAAACACAATTTTGATAGAAATAATTTCAGATGTATGTATATTGGTATAAATGAGTTTTTTTGCCTTAAGTATTGGAAACGGAGTGTTTATCTGTGAGTCTTGCACGTTTTTTTTTATTATTTGTTAATTTCTTTTTAAATAACTCAGTATATTTGTATACTGTTTGGCGAAAAAGAAAAAAGGTGCTAGAGGCCTCAAATATGCATTTCACTGAAGTGTAGAAGACAAGGGTGTGTTCTCATTGTTACATCCTCAGAAGTGAGGGTATAGATACTTTTTAAAGGAGCTTTTACTTTAACTGATTTCATTTTAGAGCTGTTTTTAAAAAATGCATTTGTGTCTTACGTTTCTTGCAATAGTTGGAACAAAATGGGGGCCAGTTTGAGATCGTCAGGATTTCGATTAATACCACTGTTTTAGGGTGTTGCCATATTTTCAAAATTTGTATTTAAGGAATAAATAGAAAACTGTTGACTTGTCACTTAACTGCAGGTACAGTATTGGCAAAAATTGTTTGAAACTCTAAGCCTTAATGATCTTAGGAGGCCATGATAGTGGTAACCAGCCCTTGCCTAGTTGTGACCAATTGAGTCATTTTTCTATAATATTGCAAAACATCTAATAAAGACAAACGTAACAAATTTTAGGCTTCTTTAACATCTCATCTTAAGTTTCTACACGTCACTTTACTAACCAACACACTGAGCTTCTTTCTTTGAATTCAGTTAAGTCATGAAGCTTGACCAATGCATGCACTTCTATATGCTGCTCTAAAAAATAAAGGGAACAAGTAAACAGCACAACATAGCTTCAATTAAATCAAACTTCTGTGAAATCCAACTGTCGACTTAGAAAGCAACCCTGATTGACAATCAATTTCACATGTTGCTGTGCAAATGGAATAGAAAACAGGTGGCGGCAGCAGGGTCACTACCTCTGACTTTGTGCCAGGCGGAACAGGAGGAGCACTGCCAGAGCCCTGCAAAATGACCTCCATCAGGCCACAAATGTGAATGTGTCTGAATAAACTATTAGAAACCGACTACATGAAGTTGGCATGAGGGCCCAAAAGCCACAGGGGGTTGTGCTCATAGCCCAACACTGTGCAGGACACCGTGGCATTTGCCAGAGAACACCGAGATTGACAAATTCGCCACTGGCGCCCTCTACTTTTCACAGATGAAAGCAGGTTCACAGTGACCACACTGAAGACACCGTGGAGAGCAAACTGCTGCTTGCACCATCTTTTAGCATGACCTGTTAGGCAATGGGTCAGTTATGGTGTGGAGGGTCACACAGTCCTCCCTGTGATCGCCAGAGGTAGCATGACTGCCATTAGGCACAGGGGTGATATTCTCAAAGCCCTTGTAAAACCACATGCTGGTGCAGTTGGCCTTGGGTTCCTCCTAATGCAGAAGAATGCTAGAACTCATGTGGATGGAGTGAGTCATAGCTCCTGCAAGATGAAGGCATTCCTCAGACCTAAATCCGATTGAGCCCACCCGGGAACATCGTGTCTTGATCCATCTACCAATGTGATGTTGCACAACAGACTGTCTAGGAGTTGATGCTTTAGTCAAGGTGTGGGACAAGACCCCAAAAGGCGGGCATACACTGTACAATATTGTCAATCTTTGTACTCAGCTATAGCCCCATTTAAACTACCCTCTAAAAACTGATCTGTACCAAGTTCAGACCGAACTTGGATTAGTTAACTGTGCCAAGCTTGGTTCCTTGTGATCGTTTACACATCATGCTAGCAAAGTTCCTTGCCTCCTAGTGGCGTTCCATGGTACTAATACTCTCTAGAGGTAAACAAGCAAATCAACATGAAAGCGCCCGTAACATTCAGGAAGTTTATTATAATAGTGATATTTCCTTGTTTGCAGAGAGAAGGTGATGAAGTCAGCCTTTGGTGAATTTACTTGAGAGTCAGAGCTTTTGGGAAGTGGATATGTCAAGCAACAGTCTAATCAGGGCTTACAGACCCAGGAAACAATGACAGACGTTGACGTTGAGGTTCATCACCCTGCTAGGCACAATCATCACTGGAAATCGTGTGGCACGGTAGCTAGCCCTACTGTTAAACTAGTACCAGTTTAGCGTGGTTCAGTTGTGTCTGACACTGTTAGTTTCAGTTTTATGTTGCATTTACATTCAACAGTTATCTCGGTTACCATGCTTGGACTGATCTCAGCACAGTTTAAAAAGGGTAGTGTAAATGGGGCTCAATTCTCAAACAGTACGACGAAACTGCAGAGTTGAAAACTTCACAGCTCACGATATATGCTCTTAAGCTGTATGGCCCAATGCTTTAATGCGATCTAACTGCTCACTCTATGAGTCCAAAGTGCACACGTCGAACTTGGCACTGAGAGATGCTGCTGGTCAGATGCATCCATCTGGGAGAAGAGAACTTCCCGTTTGCACATGCGCAGTGCGCAAGATTCAGATAGATTGGTACGTAGACGCTCATAGCTCTGCTTAAACGGTAAGATTTGTTCACGAACACCTTTTTGGTGTTGTGTGTGACTTCAAATACAGGCCTCCATTGGTTAATACATTTGATTTACTGTACATTGAGGATTTTTGTGCAATTCTGTTGTCAGCACATTCAGCTTTGTACAGAACACAGTTTTCAGTAAGAATATTTCTTTCATTTGGATTTAGCATGTGTTATACATGAGTGTTCCCTTAATTTTTTTGAGCATTGTAGTTTGGTGACAGAGGTTTAATACCATTTATGTGAACACACCCTCTACTTTCTGGGTGATATGTACATGATAACACGTCTTTGGGTGTGGAGGGGCTTTAGTAGTTATTGTGCCAAAGGAAACTGAAAAAAATCCTATAATTTTTATTTCTTACCTCAAATCTTTCTGCAAACATCTCTGAAACGCTTGAAAATGGCATTTTTTAAATACGTCTTCTTAAAGATTCCAGTTGAGCCCTGCTTTGCCCTAATCAGACAAGCACAAAAAAGATTTTATGAAATGTAATGGAGCAAACAATATATGGAAGTTAGAAGAGGGAGTTTTGCAATCAACAGTGACCTTAAAAAATAAATAAACGGATTGATGTGCGGGAAGAATATCTTCAAACAAATCAAAGTCAAATATTTGTACAGTTGAGATTTGCTTTCTGTTTAATTAAAAACATGAACGTGAGTAGACTGCATGATGGGTAGTTGCTCTGCTCCGTTCAGCCACGTCACATTACATTGCTGCTGTGGATAGATGTCCGGTGGCAGGCACATTTCACACTGTTTTGTAAATTAGAGGGAATTTCAGCATAAATATTCAGCAAATTAACTTTGAGATGTGGGAGGGATGGTAGCTTTTAGCGTTGTTTGTATTTCAATTTTTTTTTCTATTATGTTGTGAATTTTTTGGAGATTAAATATTCACATTAATTAGTACTTGACATGTAAATTATGAAGAGATCAATGTAAGTATGCCAGAAATGAAATTTGTGTATTACAATTAATGTAAATACTGTGTTTTTAACAAGATGTAGCTATAACAATTTACAGCTTTGAATGTAATGTTGAAGCAGCAAATTATTATAAATGTTCAAACTTTTATTGTTTTGTGACTGTAGAGAAACTGAGGTCATGCAAAATGACTCCTAACTCATTTACAAGTTCATTAAACTGCCCAATGGAATAAAATTGGAGTCAATGAAAGATGTTATATATCCTGAGTTGTCTTTATGAGATGGGTTAAGGAGGGGAGTTGATGTTGATTAAAGCAATACAAAAAAAAGGGGATTTTTATTAGATTTTGTTATGAAGAAAAGTGATCTGATTATGTCTGTCTTGCTAACTGCAAAAAAACAAATGAACAGCATGATGAGCATCAGTAGAGATAATAAAAATGAAAGATGGGAGGCTAAAAAAAGTCAAAAACTGGTCATTATTTATCGAAAGCTAAATATATGTGAAATTATTTTATTTTTTTCAGCAACCAAATTAAGAAGTTATAAAATCTATTGAAATGTTATAACAAGCAAGTATGTCTCATTGGGAAAAGTATTCAAAGACATTTGCTATAAGAGTAGGATAACAATGAAATAGTAATATTACTAATCACAACTGAGGTTGGTTAGGTTGTTTAAAGGAGATGTGATCATAGGGATATAGAAAACTACTCTTACTGTAGTATTTAAAGTTATAAATAAGACTGAGCAGCTCTTGAAAATAGGAAAAAACAAAAATTTTGATCTAAATACATCAGATGTGTTCATCTTAAGTCAGAAAATGGTTCCAAGAAAAAAGCCTTTTAATAAAACATGTCTAAATTTATCACCAAAACAATTACAAAAAAGTTTTTGTATAGTTCAAACTGTTATACAACCAACATTTATCTTGTCACCAAACACGGTGAGCATGGTGACAGGGGAAATCAAAATAAATCTCTAAAGCTCCCGGTTACATAACTTTTTTATGGTAATGTTTTATAAATTATACGACTACAAATGAAGATTAAATCCTTTCTTACAGCTTTATTTTTATCAGGGGTTTCAATAAAGTGGAGGAGATTATTTTTTATTCTCTTAAAGCAAAACACGTTTTTATTATGGGCCAGTGCTTTTGAGTTATCTTTTGGTGATATAACATATATGTTTAGATTTCCTAAAAGGAGGAGTCTCTCTAAGATATATACTTCACTGAATTTCCCTTTTTAAGCTATAATAGGATCTCCTATTCAATTTTCTGAGATATTTTAATCAATCTGGTATGTTTAGGTACTTGTTCTGTGCCAAAAAAACAAAAAAACATTGGATTATGTTATTAGCACCTGAATGTGCTAATTTGATAGTTCAGAGGCTCAGTTAAAAGTTTTTTTGTTTTTTTTTTTGTTGCATAGTCAGGGCTTCAATCAACTAAAGGGGGAACTAACCTATTTTTAGAGCTAGTTTCTTCCACATCCTTAACATAGAAAATATGATTCTTCTAATCTGTCCTTCATAACCTTATCAGTTTATTATGTTGCAGGTAATCAAACCGAAGCTCTGCTGTCCAGCACTATATCGTGCAGAGATTCACCCCCATGGTCTGTGATCATCTCCATATAGTCAACTGCCAATGTGTATATTGTCCTTAAAAATGTCAAATCATTTAAGTGCTTTGGGTAAAAGAAAAAGAAAAGGTGTTAACTTCTAACATTTAAAGGAGCAAATATGCTTCTGTGGGGTGCTTGTTAAGATAGACTGGAGGAAGGGAGCCATGCCGTTATGCTCACAGCATTCAGAGTGAAGTTGAACATCATTATGAGTAGGACACCATTAAAAATACATGGGAGATTTGCTGTCAATCTGACAGAAATACAGAGTATGGGTGACATATATTTATTCCTTTTCTCACTGAAGTCTGAGGTTTGAGAAACAGAGGCTGAGCTGCTCGCTAGTAACAACCATAAATATGAAAAGGAGTGAAAAGAAGAAGAGAGGAACAAGGAAGTCTGAATAACATGATGGAGAGCCAAGGTGGTCAGGGATATAAGGGAGATGAAACCAACATACAGATCCTAGACAGTGAAATGGAAATAAGTGTCATAGCTAACCTCCAGCTGACCTGGGTCTCATGATATGTTGATTATGACTGCAAACTGTTCAAGCAGTGCACTGAATAGACAACGCTTCAACCAAAATGCCATTTTTATTAATTGTACAAAATAAATACAACTAATAGGCAGTTTTAGGTGTAAGAATCCTCTAAAACTTTTCAGTTTTATTATCATTTATATTTCAATGTACTCAATTTCAGAAATTAAAAACACAGATTTGAATCAATCAAATGCTTCATCAAAAATATAAAGGATATAAACAACCAAACCGAATTTGATAGAATAATTTTAGAAATCACATTGTCTTTTAAAGATATTTTACAGCTCTTAAAAAGCTGCCATCTAAAAGTAGTATTTTAATAAATGCATCATATAATTTTAATAGGAAGAAAAATTTAATTTTTTGTTTTAACTTTGTTGTTTTATTAAATGTGTTATAGAATTCTGATTGACTCATTCAAAAATATTGAGGATTGTCGACCAGGGAAAAGATAGCACTGATAACCGAGGCATTTTCCTAATGCAAACAAAAGTGGTCTAATATGTCTTGTATGTTCAATGCTGTGCAAACAATTTAGATTTTTTTTTTTTCATATCTGACTTTGTTAAACAAACAGTACTTAATCTGGGGCCTTTCCAAGATGGTATAGGTGGATATTGACAATATATGCATATGTGGTTTTGCCATGCCACAAAAAATCTCACCATTGTTAGGCTCAGAACAAAAGGACCCAGATTTCAAGGCAGAGAGACAGTTTTCACAAAATGTTTATTTAAGACAGAACTGTAGAGAACAGCTAGGGCATCTAAGGCAGGAACCTGTGGTCTTAAGGCTCAGTCCATGCCCAGAGGATGAGGTTTGTTCCAGACAGTCGGCTTCCAACAGGACAGGGCAGGCACACCCAGAGAGTCCCAGACGCTGGTGTCTCGGAGGTCAGACAACAGGCAGGAGATTAGAACCGAGCAGATAAAGGAAGGAAGGCTAATCCAGAGGGCAAAGCCAAAACCGGTGTCGAAGATGTGCTCGGGAGTCAGAGCCAGGTGATCAGAGGTCCGAAGAGGTACCGAAGGAGAAACCAGAATGGTGTCGGGAATTCGTTACAGGTTTGGTACACAGGCAGAAATCCAACAGTAGTCTGAGGACCGGTCAGGCAAACAGATCAGAACAGGGACAAGCAGGCTCATAGGTTAAGGGGAAGAACAGGCCTTGATCAGGCAATCAGAAACAGCCGGGTACTCTAGTGAACTCTCACCAAAGGCTCGAATAATCTGGCCCTGACGACTGGTTGAATGCTTGTTAATCAGAGGCTGAAGAGGGTGGATCAGATGAGCGGAAATTAGAATTTGCAGAGATAGACAGGTGAATGGAATGAGTAATCGGGCCAGCCATCAGCATCAAGATCATACCACCATCCCATACACATACTGCACAAAATAATCTTTTACACCAATAAATAAATTGGCACC